AATTTGATTAAATTGGCGGAGCTAATTTAATCATTTTCAGTTCGAATTTCGTTGTATTTGGAAATGTCTTAATTTGCAATAAATTCAGAACTGAGTCGAAAATTTCTGTGGCTTTGCTTGCTGCCGACGGTATCTCAGCGGTCGGTGGCATGTTCCACTAGCATCGTCCGTGATGGCTGTTGTTACTTAGCCGCGTATAGGAATTTTTGTAAATTTTCGAAACATGCTTGAAAATTTTATTTCCTGCTTGGCACCTTCCGCTGCATGTAGTAGGTCGTCTGCGATTTCTTGCCTATGGTTTTGTAATTTTAACGGGATTGTGCCTTGCGAATGGCTTCTGGAAGGTTTCCTGAATTATTTTGGAAGCATGGGTGAAAAATCAAAATTTTTGTAATTAATAATTATCTTTACAAACTACAATTATTATTAGTTACATTATCATAATTTAGTTAGCATCTATGTCGTAAATGTTATCGGAATATTTATCAACAAATGTGCAGAAAATTTAGATAACAACAAAATTAAGAGCGTTAGGCACAATCAAAGAATTCGAAAATGTAGATTTCATGCCTGCTAACACACTATAGACACCATTCCAAGTATCATTCAGTAAATTTAGCTCTGACCTCCATTCGCAAAATGTCTGTGTATACATAAGCAGTTTATGAGCAATGATCATTTGAAAATAATTAAATTTATGTACTCACTTAGATATAGAATATATGCCAAGTATTTCTGGCACTTTAATATTAAAAAAACTTTAAAGACGAAATAGATACCGAACATAATATTTAATTAAATCAATAATTAATTCTCATATGTTATTTCTTCTCCTTTCCTATTTTCCTTCTTCCTCTCTCTATAGGCTTTCCAAAAAAAAAAACAGTTTTAAATAATTTCGAAATATTGTTAAACAAATCATTCATGTGGAGACACTGGAGATGTACTTATAAACATTTCTATATTTTTTTGTGGATTTTAGTAGAAGATGAATCTATTCAATTTTGTGGAACAAACTTTCATAAACTGNCAATTTTAGAGTGTTTAGATAGTATTCCATTTTAATAAAGTACAAGCATTTATTTTCTTTTCTAGCACCCACAAAAATAGAATTATACATTGGTACATATATATTGCTGATACGTTAATTTGCTGAAAAGGTAATTTGATTAAATTGGCGGAGCTAATTTAATCATTTTCAGTTCGAATTTCGTTGTATTTGGAAATGTCTTAATTTGCAATAAATTCAGAACTGAGTCGAAAATTTCTGTGGCTTTGCTTGCTGCCGACGGTATCTCAGCGGTCGGTGGCATGTTCCACTAGCATCGTCCGTGATGGCTGTTGTTACTTAGCCGCGTATAGGAATTTTTGTAAATTTTCGAAACATGCTTGAAAATTTTATTTCCTGCTTGGCACCTTCCGCTGCATGTAGTAGGTCGTCTGCGATTTCTTGCCTATGGTTTTGTAATTTTAACGGGATTGTGCCTTGCGAATGGCTTCTGGAAGGTTTCCTGAATTATTTTGGAAGCATGGGTGAAAAATCAAAATTTTTGTAATTAATAATTATCTTTACAAACTACAATTATTATTAGTTACATTATTACAATTTAGTTAGCATCTATGTCGTAAATGTTATCGGAATATTTATCAAAAAATGTGCAGAAAATTTAGATAACAACAAAACTAAGAGCGTTAGGCACAATCAAAGAATTCGAAAATGTAGATTTCATGCCTGCTAACACACTATAGACACCATTCCAAGTATCATTCAGTAAATTTAGCTCTGACCTCCATTCGCAAAATGTCTGTGTATACATAAGCAGTTTATGAGCAATGATCATTTGAAAATAATTAAATTTATGTACTCACTTAGATATAGAATATATGCCAAGTATTTCTGGCACTTTAATATTAAAAAAACTTTAAAGACGAAATAGATACCGAACATAATATTTAATTAAATCAATAATTAATTCTCATATGTTATTTCTTCTCCTTTCCTATTTTCCTTCTTCCTCTGTCTATAGGCTTTCCAAAAAAAAAAAACAGTTTTAAATAATTTCGAAATATTGTTAAACAAATCATTCATGTGGAGACACTGGAGATGTACTTATAAACATTTCTATATTTTTTTGTGGATTTTAGTAGAAGATGAATCTATTCAATTTTGTGGAACAAACTTTCATAAACTGCTCATAATTTTCGAACGGCTTAACGATTCAGATGAACCAAGCATACGATATCGCGTCTATTCAGTTGATTCCTTTTTGTGTACTGGTAGCACTGTCAATTTTTAGGCAGCTGCCACACTTAGTATGTGTTTAACGACTAAATGAGTAATACATACCCATCCTGAGATAGAACATTAATGTCTTTTGGATTTATAAACACATGATAGTTTTTATAGACTTATGCTCTTTTTAAAACACACCATTTTCATCTAACATTTTTTTCCCAATGTGCCAGTTTACATCTTCTATTTAATCTTGTTTTTATAATTTGGGAACACCTTATATAGTACACATCAATAATATATAAATTAAAATAACCTTTTTATAACTTCCTAAATTTATTTTATTCATATGCTAACTTATCCAGCTATCACAAACTCTCAACCTCAATCAGCTATTTACGATCGCGTACTGAAAAATAAGTTTCACAATCACAAATTATAGGTGCTTTGCACTTATTTTTTTCCATTTAACATTTCACATTCGTATATTGCCAATGCTTCCTGTTTACGTTTATTGTCATGAGTTATTTCTGTGGTTGAAATAATTTAAAATAAATAGGCACTTATGTATGCTTAACCCAGTTATATTGGAATAAGTTTATATGATTTATTATTACATATATGTGTTAACCTTACGTTCACATATTTAAGGTACCTAAATATAACAATTACTCCTAATCTTTATCATTTGCTTTGCTTCGTTCATTTTATTGTTAAATATTTCTGACTGGCATTCAAGTAGAAAGGTTGAAATGAATGATGTTAAAGTTGCTAGAGTTCAAAAACTAACTTTAAAGGCCTTTTAATCTTTATGCGCTTTTGAAATACTTGAAATAGTAGTTACAAGTTCCTCTTATTCAATCTCAGGTTACGATTGGTTAGCCGATTTCATCAATATAATCAACAATAATGCTGTAGTGTGTGGTGTATTCATTTGGATTTGTTTATTAAAGCATCATTAGTTTTTAAAGTTATTACAGGTATATCCAGTGATATTTATAATTAGTGATAATCAAATTTGTAAATGCCAATTTTAAAGGTATATAGTTGAAATATATTTAATACATTACTAACTTTCGGTGACCATTACTACCATTTCCGGTGACTTTTCCATGTCCATTAATACCAAAAGTCTTTATACTTTTTTTTATAAATGAATGACAAAAGATGCTCTGAAATTCTAATGAATGATTCTAATGAAATATTCTCTTCTAAAGTTGCATTATTGAGAAATAGAACACATTGCTCTTTTCTCTCTTTATGGCTGTTCCACATATCTAACCGCTGTTTCTTATCCCTTCCACATTTGAGTATTTGAACAGTATCATGAGTCTTTTCTTTACAGATTCCGCTCCTGCACATCTATATAGATGTGCAGGAGCGGAATACAAATACTTTGTAATTTTGCGATTTTGCAAAAATATCCTTTCCCAATACATTCAAAAAACCAATTAGCAATTTGCACTTGGATATACCTACAGCACAGGGATATAAGATTACTCGTATACTTACTATATCTACTTTTTTGTCATAGTTGTCAAAAAAAAATTGAAGATTGTCTTTTATGTCGTACTGACGACTATTTCAAACAATCATAGTCTCTTCTGTACTTTAAAAATTATACCTACTCTTTATTATTTTTTTTCTACTTACTGACTGAAAATGTACTCAATAATTGCACTCAGGACTTTTTTGCTTTCATTAAGACCAATTTATTTACATTGTATTCCGAAAATTAAAGAATTTTCAAACTTCTCAAATAAGTACATTTGTCGAAACTATTTTGTCTTTTCCTAACCTCACAAAAAGATCTTGTAAGTTATTCAAATGACATCAGAAATGCAAATTCCCTTTAAGCTTACAATGTAAAAAAATTAAATCAAATTTACTCAATTTTACTCAATATTGTATTAATTTCGTCCTACATCCACAATTTTAATTGTATTAGTATCAGCACAACTTAAATTTTATGAGTGAAATTATTACAACAGAAGTGAGTGAATTTTACTCAAATCCGAGTTTCTACTAACTACCAAGTGAGCACTACACGCCATACACCACGCTACGAAATGACTTAATGGAGACGATGGGAATAGACAAAGACAACGCACGACAACCATGGAATCGCATGAGGTCACTCAATAATGAGGACATTTACTCCTATTTAGTTTAAAGTGTACCAAATACGAGTTTATCTGCAGAATTTATTTCACGGGTACCTATATTTGAGTGAATGTACTCAGTTTTAGTTCAAATATTATCACAAATGAGTGAAATTATCAAAATGCTCAATACTGGGTGAAAATGTACTCAATAATTTCACTCAATGGATTAATTCACATCGATTTTTTATGGTGCAGCTATTATAGGTACATACTTGTATTTTTAGCTCATTTCTCACTCATAAGCATCTAATACTCGATGAAAGAAAGTGTATGATGAGCAATGTCTTTGATTCGATAGAATTTTTGGAACATGTCGCGTGAAAACGATTCTGGATAAGCGGGCTTACGAATAAAGTTAAATATGGCACTGAAATTGCCAAGTATTAAACTTGGTCTATTTTAATCACGGATTTTCTGATGAACCCGTTTATTAAATGCATAAAAATGCATAAACAAAAATTAAAAATACCCATAACGTCCTTCCAAAAATACACACACATCTGAGTCAGGTGCGCAAGTGGTTGCGCCGTCGACCGATTCTCATAAAAAAATTTCCGGTATAACACGCAAGCGCGCGCCTAAGCTATCACTTTATTCTAATTCTCAACGTCGCGACGCTCATACGAACGACTTAGCCACCACTGTTAGGCGGCGACAGCACGCGGGTTTCAACACTGAAATTTTCGACGGTCAGTGCATCAACGAAAAAGAGACTATCCTCCAGCAACAATGTCTTCCTCAGTGGCGAGGAGCTCCAAATACTCATACCGCTCATCGGGAGCAGCTGGTGGTAGTGCCGATGTCAGCATCGAATACAGTGCTGATTTGACAGCCCTTTCTAGGCTTGAGGTAAAAATAAATCCCGACGTATGCCAGACGGATCAGATTACCGGAATCTGTCAGAATCATTTTTTTTTTAAGAACTGTGCAAACCTGTGATATTTTTGTGATCGTGTGAAGTGTACCGACAGTGATTTTGGCCGAGATAAACGTCAATTTTGTGATTTTCTTTTTATCTCTCTCAATGTGTTAATTTGTCACCAAAACCCACATATACACGTCACAAAAATAAATGCCATCTCTTTCCAACACTTACTTTACTCCTTTTAAATATACACTTCAATATTTTGTCACAATTTGAAATAACTAAATAGAGTCAGAGTATAAAGTCTAGAAAGAATTATCTAAAAATTACTATTTTTACAGGACAAAATTCGTCTACTTCAAGATGACCTCGAAATTGAAAGAGAACTTAGATCAAGAGTGAGTACAAATTTTTGCAGTAAAAATGCTTCTTCCATGCTTTTAAAAGACATATATGTTTGTTGGACAATAACCAAATTATCTAAGTTTGCGCTTGGATATTGCTTTCATATAATTTTTACCTCTATAAAGTTCTCTGGTCCTTAAAAAAATACGTTCATAAATGTCTGCACCACACTACCAAGTGAAACAATTACGTCACGACCAGCACATAGAAGACAACTTATTCACTGTTAACTAATAGATACAATATACTAATAAAAACATTCTATAATTTTTTAAGAGTGAAATTCCTTTCAGTGTACATTAAACGCTATTTTAACTGTTTCGCCACTGTATTCATAAAATTACTTTACATTTTCATTCTGCTTCACAAGACTAACCTCATTCATATTGCTTATGTTTTTAATAAAATGTTGCCAAAACTCTTATTTTCAAATGATAGTTTAGATAACGAGCGTTTTGTGGCCGTTTCATTCAAAAAATATTTTGTGCAAAACCTGCTTTTAGAAAAGTGATTCAATTAGGTTACAATCCGGCTATTTTAAATTTGGCAAGGTGTATTCCCAGTTTAGTTCATCTAGTTCAAGCTATTCCATTTCATTGTTCCAAAAATATACAGAAGGGGGGTTCAAAAATTTCGGAGATGAATTATTTCTACCTGTTTTCTAAATATGTAGATCTGCACTGTGACAGTTATTAATCATTTTTTTAAATACTTATAAAATAACATAAAGCATACATAATCAGTTTTTCTCTTCATAAAATTCAATTTTAAATTAATATTGGATTACTAAATAATACTGGTATAAATAAGTACATATAACTGAAAAAGGTATTAATTATTATAAAAAGTGTTTTACTCCAGTAAATGTTATATTTAATATTTCTGCTAATTTTTAAAATAGGTTAAAACTACGTTCGTGTCTACTTGTCTTGGATAACAATTGAAAACTAAAAGTTGGCATTTCCAGACGTAAAAATAAAACTATTTTCCCCTCCAATAATACTGAAATATATTTTTAGACAGAGAAAAACTACACCAACTTCCAACATTTTCCAATTTCTCAATTTTGACTACTAGATATTCATTGCTACCTTACGTAACCCCAAAAACCGACGCTTGTGCCTTGCGCATGTGATTACCTGTTTTAATCTATTAACCCATATATACATTTTTCTGTTACTATTATTGTAGTACAGGGTGATTACGAGAATAGGCGGCGATTACTTCCTTCCATGATTTAGAAAAGAAAACCTTGCCAAGGTTAAAGAAATACATTTTAAAAGATAATAATATAGGTTCACTATTCTAAATTATTGCTTTTACATTATTCTTCTTTTCTTAAGTGACACACACTAGGCAAAGGTTGATTGTTTGATTTTATTTTTATCTGCCTGTGTATGGGTTGAAAGAACATAAAATATAATAAAAATGTCTACTTACCTAAATCGTAGACTAATTCACATATGCTTCAATCAGATAAAAAAATATTTCAAGGCGATGCTTTAAATATAGGTGTATCTTGTCTGTTTAGGTAATAATTTCCAAAACAAAATCGTAAGTTAAGTTTAAAAATATATGTAGTTCATTTATTTAAAATAACTTGCTTCTAAGTTATTTCAATGAAATTTGGTATATCTAAAATTCTGGAGTACAGGTGTTGTATGCAATGTCATTTTATTTACTCTACAAAAAAAATTATATTTATTGCATGTCAAAAAAAAATAGATTTCAATTTTCTTCTGCAGCTGTTAATTAGGAACACTTGAGTTTTTCGGAAAATGCGTCTTATTTCTGTTTCTTTTTTACAAAATGCCTTTTACTCTTACATTTCTTAATTTGAAAATAAGTTGTTCCATTGTTTTTAAAACTGCATATAATCCAATGTTTTGTTAACTTTCATTATTAAATACATAGAAAACATTAAATAATGATTATATAAAAAATTATGTGAAACAACTCATTTTACTGAAAATATATAAACAAATTCTTTTTTTCAGAACTTTGAATTCTATTATCCCCATATAAGAGGCGATACTATAATTTTCTCATAAGTAATAGCTATAATACAATTTAAGTATCCTGAAGGATTTGCCAATTTTAATTTTCATTATACGTATTATAATTATATGTATTTCAAAATCCTATTTAAGTATAATCCCGTATACTAAAAAAAAAAACGGTGGATATTTATAATAAAAGACTCGGAAACATCATGAACAAATTAAAACTAAATTTAAATATGAGTAATAAATTATTGAATAAAATTATTAGAAGAACAAAGAGTACCATCACAAATATAAAAAAAATAAATACTTACCTACTTAATTCACCAAATCACGCACCTAAAATTAAATTAATGACTATAAAGCAATATTTGTACTATTGTACGTTAATTCTAGTTTTTTTCTTATGAAATACTTATACCTACATGTTTAAAAGAAAATTACCAGTGCATTGACCTAAACTTCAAAATTTTTTGTCTCTGAAGATTCACATTAACGTAAACATGGTTTCGAATTAGAAAATAAAACAATTATATGAGTTTAGTATGCTTTAACTGTGTTCCTAAATGCGTACCTAGCTATATTTACTAATTTTATTTGCATAATTCCATGCTAAGTTACATCTGTTCATATTAACAAAATTGAACGTATTCCAGATTGAAAGAGAAAAGGCTGATCTCAGTGTACAGGTTATCCAACTTTCTGAACGATTGGAGGAAGCCGAAGGTGGTGCTGAAAGTCAGGTAAACTTTTATCGTACATAAAGTTTGGCGGAAAATTTAACAAATCGATGAAATTTCAGTTTGAAATTAACAAAAAACGCGACACCGAACTGTTGAAACTTCGCAAACTTTTAGAAGATGTCCATTTGGAATCCGAAGAAACTGCCGCCATCCTCAAAAAGAAGCACCAAGAAATCGTCGTCGACTTCCAAGAACAAATCGACTCTCTTGCTAAAGCCAAATCTAGGTATGTATAAATATATAAAAATATATCATTTGAGTGAAAATGACAATAAATTGATGTTAACTAATATAGTTGGCTCTATATTATTAAAAATATGTCGATATGTTTCATTTCCGAGAATATTTCTTTCAGTAGCCCCATTAACCTAATATAAAGATTAAATAAACATGAAAATTATTTCGTGTAAACTACAACTGACATGTGTCATAAATAAATAGTCTTTTTCTTCAAACACTGGTTTCTCTAAATAAACAAGTACGATTTTAACCTAGAAACGTGGTATTGGAAGTGCATGCTTTCATTAAAAAAAATAGCTAATATTCATATTTCGAATCGCAGCATCTTTTGAACACAGAAACAAGATAGGAAGAACCTAACGCATTTTTGTCGACTACTAAACAATCAATGTTTAAAATACATCACAACTAGCGACTATATGCAGCTTGCGAACAATTATAACATGTTTGATTGTTTTTCTTAATTCTCTTTTATCACATGTATTAAGGTACAATATTGTTCAAATGAAAATGTACTTCCCCATTTTCTAGAACTAGATTTTTCGCTAAAAGAAGTAACTATACGCATTAAATATCATGTCATTAATATGCAAAAAGCATACGCAATTAAAAACAATTTGGAAAACTTCACGTAGGTGCTTTAAATAAGTATTCTTCCGCTGTTTTGTATCATTAAACTTCCAATTTTTTTATGTTGAAGAGATCTAATCGGTTTAACTAGAAGTTTGGCCACTTATACTATCATACGCTTATAGAAAAATTATTTCTGCTGTTAATTAGAGCTCTGTCTATACACCTTACAACTTCTACATTTTATAAGCCGCTAGTATGAAAAACAACTTTGTTACTTAAAACATCTTCGATGTGGTTCAAGACTGCAAACGGTGTTATCCTCTGCTGTTTACGCCATATACGATTTACATTCAGATCTTACTGATGATGGATATTTTCGCATAAGACCTTTCAAATAAAATGCTGTGTTGACAGCAACTTTTTGTATGTAGTTTTAATAATGTGTATGCTATATAGGCATAATTTTATTAATATCTAAATAAATTAAATTACAAAAACATAGTTTGGTAAAGAAATGTTACTCTAACGTTGTTAAGAAGTCTGCAAATAGGTGGATTGCAAAAAAAAACGAAAATAGAACAAAATTTGTAACACTAGCGCATTCGCCATTTCTTCGAATTGGCAAATCCAATACCAATTTTTGAAATTACATAATTAACCAATTAAAATGCAAATAAATACGTACAATACAAACTTCAATTACATTTGAAAATAGTCCTCTGTAGATTTTAATGTCTTTAATTTTCATAATAAGAGAGATATGGCTAAATTCAAAAATAGCATGGATTTTTTTTTATTCTTCAATCAAAACATAAATTAAAGTTTTGTGCATTGTATTTCCTATAAGAGGTATTAATAAAAGTCTATCTATCTATCACTTTCTCGTTAAAATATTATACAGTATGTGTTTAAATAAAGGAGCACAAACCCTACTAGATAATCTTGAAATAAAAATATGATAATTATGGCAAATAAATCTTGGTCCAAAGCTACTTCATTCGCATGTTAGAGCGTGTTTAGGTTTTTGAAAAACAACACAAATACCTCGAAAGGTATTAGATGTTAGATTAATGATACTTGGGCTGTCGATTTAACTAAATCGAGATAAAAATGCACTGAATTTGTGTGCAACGTTATTAAGTTCAGACTTTCGACTGAATATTTTGGAAATTCTATAAGTTTGATTTGCAATTGTATTTCAGTGGAAATAAATCTATACTATTTTATTCAAAACATTGACCATTTTCGAATCGTTTTTTGAACATAAAATTAACTTTTCACATATGTAGTTACATAAATTGAGGATAATTCTAACATTATTCTCCTTACAAAAAATATACAGGACATTTTTTATTGCACATACAATTTCGAATTATTAATTAATTGTTACTAATTAATCGCATATTAAAAGTGCCCATTTTTTCCTCAAAAATTTCAAATTTCTACGAAAATGTTTTTTATTCTTAATGATGACATTATATTTAAAATTGTATTTGGAACAAAAAATTCCCTTAAATGTTTTAGAATTATTTTTTATTTGTATAGACGGTGTTTATTTGGCTTTTGGTGGAATTTATTTTAGATTAAAAAAATAATAATATTCGAAAAATACTCAAAATAGATCTTTGAACGAACAAACTTACAGAATTTCCAAAATTCAGAAATTCCTAATGATGGTGTTTATGGCCACTAGTTGTCTACAAGTTCAGTATATTTTTCCCTTTATTTTATTTAGTCAAATCGTCAGCCCAAATTTAATTTAATAAATGTAAGTTGCAAATAAAGCAACTTTGAACTTAAGTATATTTAACCCAAGTACAGTCCGTACAAGAAGAAACATTGCAAAACACAGTATGCACTGCAAGCTGCTGCACTGAACACCACGCCGTCAATGCTTTTCTACCTAGGGCCTCGAATGAGGTTAACTCCAAGAAAGTGACGCAGAGGTCTTTTTGGAATTCTACCTCAACAAATATCGTACGGACTGTACCATTTAGTCTTAAGATTATCTGGTAGCATTTGTGCTATTCCTTCATTTAAATTCACTCTACAACCAATATAATTCATGCTTAAGTACTAGAATATTCACTAAAAAAAAATCGGTGTCGAAACGGATACAGACCAGATATTACAAAAGTACACACTTAATTTTTACGACTGTTAAGATTGTGCCATTTAAATTCTAAATTGAATAAAATTCGTTGCAGAATATTCTGATGGATGTTAATGGGAAGGTGATAGTTCAGATATGTTAAGTAATCATAAATTATTTCAATGTGCTAGATTTCATGGTTAATAAAATAATTGGACTTTAATAAATGTTCCTTGTAATTAAATTTAATTAATTAAGATGTATTTCTTATCCAAGATTAACTAAACAGATTTAAAGTCTTCATACACTACAATTGTATCCACATATAATCAAATGTATAAAGAAAAACAAGCAGTTAGAGAAGCCCACACGTGATATTTTATATAATTCTTAGCTTTTTTGTTGATGTTTTCTTTATTCTAATTCACTTGGCTATGAATACGACATAATTTATAAAAATGTAAGAGCTTACTTTCAGTTTATTTTGATTTTTCTTATACATAAGCATCCAAACTAAAGTTTGACCAAACCCAAAATTCCAAATCTCACCCGTGGAAAATATTAGATTAGATAATAGTTCTGATATTCGGTCCGCGCCGGCTTACTCCGCGATGATATAAATAACTTCTCCTAGTATCCTTGCCATATTTGTCTCGGTCAAATCGCCGTCGTATAGATCATACAGTTACTGTTGCAAATGAAATATCCATCCGAATATTTCTTGTTACAGGTACCGAGAAATAGAGCAGACACGTATGTACTCGTGCCGGTTTCGACCGTATGCAATAAATAAAACGTCAAATAAGTCACAGTGGGCCGTGCCTAATATCAACTAAAAATAATTATTTCAGAATATATACCAGAGAATTTGGAACACAGTTATTTACACATATTTTCGCGCTAAAAATAACCTTTTACTGTTTACGAGAGTTTCAGACACCTCCGAATTCTCATTTATGTAAAACCATTTTTTCGGACCAAAATTTTACGTCACTCTTTAATGCCAAATTTTTAACACCGTCCTGTTTTATTTTAAAAAGATAGAATTATAAATATATCATACACAGATATTATTTATTTTGCTTTGTTTTAAAAGTATGTGTAGTAGTTTCAACAGGCTGTTAATAATATAATTCTTGGTTTAATTCTTAAAGACAATTATAGATTATTTAAGAAAATATTTTCATTCCTTTGCAAAATAAACTGAAAGAATGTCAGTTAATGTTTTTATACAATTAGTTCGCGGATGTAGCTAAAAAGAAAGCTTGTCTTTGTATGTGGAGAGACATTCTTATTTAAAAAAATCTGCCTATAATCAAACGTACAAAATATAGTTTTATTTGACCAACAAATACAGGGTGTCATGAACTGATTACAAATATAATCAGGGAACTCAATAGTACAATTTGCTATTTCAAAAATTCTCTTCCAAAATGTTCAACATGTCCTCAGATCGACAGAATATCTTTGAGCAGAAATGTAACAATTTAAAGACCGAATCTTTCTCTGTCCTGTGTACAGGGTGGTTCACTATATTTTGATCCCCCCTTTAACTTTTTTGTTTTAAGAGTTATAAAAAAATATGAAATACAAAAGTTGCACAATTTTTTATGAATTTTTCGAAAATGATATACAAATAAAGTCCAAACAAAATGGCCGCTGATGTTAACTTTGTTAATTTAAATGGAACACCCTGTATATTTTTCCATATTTGGATAGAACGTTCTCTATCGAGCATAGTCATATAGGGTTTGTTGGGTCCATCTCTAACAATAAGCGAGATACTATTAAAAAACGAAAAGATGTTTTTTTTTTTATTTAGAAAATAAAACGTCTTGCAACTGTTAGACATCTTTCAGGAATTTCTGCATTTTTCTAATTACATAAGGATTTACAAATTTAGTAATATATTTTGCCATACCCGACATTGATATGGTCCAAAACGCGTATAGGTATTTTAACTAAATCTCACTAATTAGGCCGAGAGAGGCCTAATTCATGGACAATGTTATATGGTAGGCCGTGACAGTGACAGATAATGTCATGACAATATTGTTATTGTTTGACAGTTTATATTATTATTTAATTAAAATGGGTTATACAGAAGAAGAAAATTTAAATAAAGTTCTTCTCCATACTCTATATTTTTTTCTTACTATTCTTTTCCAAATAATATTTCAATTTTCTACTTCTGTGTAATCTATTTTAATCAAATAAGTAATACAAACTGTCAATCAATAATAATGTTATCATGACATTACTACCTGTCACTGTCACGACCTACCATATAACATTGTCCATGAGTCCTCTCACGGCCTAATTAATGATATTTAGTTAAAATACCTATACGTATTTTGGACCATATCAACGTCCGATATGTCAAAATATATTATAATTAAATCTGTAAATCCTTACTTAATTGGAAAAAAGCAGAAATGCCTGAAAGATGTCTAACAATTACAAGATATCTTATTTTCTAAATAAAAAAACCATCGTTTCGTTTTTTAACAACTTTTGTATTTCACATTTTTTTATAACTCTTAAAACAAAAAAGTTAAAGGGGGGGTTCAAAACATGGTGAATCACCCTGTACCTAAGTGCTCTTTTTGTGTAAGAAATCGGTAAAAGAAATTGATTAGAAGCTGTTTAGAATTAAAATGTATAAGTGTCCCAGAGTTAGTAATCGGATTTAATTCAGCAATTTAATGACTTGATTTTTTTATACCTGTTATCAAAACGGACCTTAAAATTTAAAAATTAGTGAAATAAATCCTTGCTCCAAAAGGATCACTCAAGGGTTATTTTTAAGAAAATAGTTTTGCCTAATCAAAAAATCACACTGAAAAAAGCAAACAAATACAAAATATATACAAAGTACACATGATTTTGTCTCGCACACTTTAAAAAGTTGTTGACGTTTCGAAAATCTATCTGTTTTCTGAACTTATTTTGACTTTTCACTTTAAACTTTCTAAACACCTAAAATTAAAACTCACAAAAAAAGTTCAGTAGACGAAAACAGACAGATTTTCGAAACGTCAACAATCTTTTAAAGTGATGTGTTTTTTGTACTATATTTTGCATTTGTCTGCTTTTTTTCGGTGTAAAATTTTTTGATTAGGCAAAACTATTGGCGCAAAGGTATATTTCAGTAAATTTTAAAGTTTTTCACAGGTGGCAAAACCCAAAAAATAAAGGAAAAAAAGTCAATAACCTGTTGACGTTAAAATATAACTAATAGTTCAAAATACTGACAATTTGTACTAGAATGATTATTATCGATAGGTAATATAATAATTATTCCATAATTTCGACTTTATTTGGTGACTTAGATACATAGATGTCATTATCTGAATGTTATCTTTAAAAAAATTGAGTACAAATTTAATTGTCTCAAAAATTGAACCCCCCACACTTCAAATGGATTTGGACTATACTTAGATACCTAATTTTTGCCAACTTCTTATTGCAGAGCTGAAAAAGAGAAGAGCAAATTCCAGAGCGAAGTGTACGAGCTTCTCGCTCAAGTAGAGAGCGTAACAAAGGAACGCTTAATCTCCGTCAAACACGCCGAAAAATTGGAGATCACCATCAGCGAACTCAGCGTCAGAATCGAGGAGTTGAACCGCACCATCGTAGACATCACCTCACACAAAACTCGCCTCTCTCAGGAAAACATCGAACTCACCAAGGAAGTACAAGACATCAAGGTCAACCTCGAAAACGCCATCTACCTCAAGTCCCAACTCGCTGGCCAATTGGAAGATGCCAGACGTCGCGCTGAAGACGACGAGAGAAGGCGCTCCCTCCTGGAAGCCAACCTCCACCAGGTCGAAATAGAGCTCGAATCTGTACGTGTCCAACTTGAGGAGGAAAGCGAAGCCCGTCTCGACCTTGAACGCCAACTCGTCAAATCCCAAGGTGAAGTTCAAGTATGGAAGTCCAAGTATGAAACCGAAGCTGCCGCCCGCGCCGAAGAAGTTGAGGAACTCCGTCGTAAATTCAATGCCAGGATCCAAGAACAGGAAGAACACATCGAAGCTCTCTTGGTTAAGGTCAATAACCTCGAGAAGCAAAAGTCTCGCCTCCAATCTGAGGTCGAGGTTCTCATCATCGACTTGGAGAAAGCCAACAACACAGCCAGGGAATTGCAGAAGCGCGTCGAACAACTCGAAAGGATCAACATCGACCTCAAGACTCGTCTTGATGAGACCGTCCAGCTGTACGAGCAAAGTCAACGCGATCTCCGCAACAAAGTCTCTGAACTACAGCGCACTGTCCACGAATTGGACAAAACTCGCGAACTTAAGGACCAACTTGCTCGCGAAAATAAGAAATTGGCCGGTAAGTTCAATCATTAAGTACAAGGCAATCAAACAGGAATCGTTTAATAATGTTTCGTCAGAGCGCTTTTGATGGATTTTCGTCTTCATATATGTACCTTAACTTTCAACTTCTCAAATGTTTCTTCAAGCTATAGATAAGTCTTTGACTTTTTAAAGGATTTTTTGATATTTGCAGCCAAATAGTTTTTTTTTTGTAAAGAGCCTCCACAAGTTTATGCATGGTGGACTAAATGCATATGCAGGAAGAGGATTATCCCAAAATATAAAGCAAAAATTTCAAGAAGCACTCCTTTGACAATGTTATTAAGCAATTCTATTGCTCACATAGTTAATTGTTGTTGGATATACATATATTTTTTTGGCAAGCAACCTGTTATAATTAAGATTAAAATTTGTTTTAGATGACCTTTCTGATGCCAGAATTACCATCACCGAACTCACCAGACGTCTGCATGAGGCTGAATTGGAAATTCGTCGTCTTGAAAATGAACGCGAAGAACTTACCGCTGCTTACAAAGAAGCTGAAGCTGTAAGTGGTCTTTTTTATATAATTTAATAAATATATCAAGAATCGACTTGTGAGAAATATTTAATGAGAAGTTGTTCATATAGTCACTATAGTATATCAAAAACCAGAAAACCTATATCAAACTCTTTCATTGGTTCTTCAATTTAAATGAGCGTTTTGATGTCGAATTAAGTTGTGTTATTATGATTCAAAGTAGATTTGCAACAAAAAAGTTAAAAGCAAAATTCATTCAAAACAAATCATCAATAAAATGTTGCAAGGATGTTCTGGTGCATGAACCATGCCACCTTTGAATTGAAAGGTGTAGAAATAAATGAATGAAATGAATGAATTCTTAATGATTATTTCTACGTCTATAGGGACGCAAAGCTGAAGAACAACGTGCTCAACGTCTGTCTGCGGAACTCGCCCAGTTCCGTCATGAGGCTGAGAAACGTCTTCATGAGAAAGATGAGGAAATTGAAGCCATCCGGTGAGTGAACCTTTTATATTCTTATTTCTAGCCGAGTTATGAATTTTGGATATGAAATCATTATCTGAAGAGCTCCATCACAGTTACGAAAAAGAAATGTGGTGTAAATATTTTATATTTGCAATTCTCGCTAATTTCAATGGTTTTCAGTATTAATTAGCTATATGGTTTGTTTTGCTGTACCTGCCATTCCAAAAATCAATTAGGTACTAGCATTGTCTCTCTGCAAGAGTTTTGTGGTAATTATTAATTAGAGAGAAAAAAAGAACAATAGGAGTTGTGTGACAATTTATGTACCCAATAAGTTGTAATAAGTAACCGATTGCATTTTCATATTTTATTGAACTGAAGTTACGCTAAAGATAGGTGGTTGAAGCTAACTAAATTGATTTTCTATTCTGTCATTCGAACAAAGCCTTAAAACATTATATCTATACGCAATTGTCAAATGATATAAAGAAAACGCATTTGAAACAATTTAAAAATTTAATTTCGGTAACTTTTAATAAGGTAACACAATATACATATTTCAATTGTGTGATGCTTCTGTCTTTAGTGGATCTTCACAGCGACTGTGTTATTTTAAATGGAATATCAAATTTTCTATTGCATTGTTACAGATCTTCTGAATTTTTGCGGTAATATATCTCCGATCCTTAAAAAATAGATAGGAATTATATTCAGAGTTTGACTGAAAATAGACTCAGCTGCTAATATGTTGAGTACGTAAGTACATACTGTAATTGAAAAAAAAAGAGTTTCACTACTTTTGAAGTTGCCAAGTTGGTGATTAATCTTTATTGATAAGTTCAATAACTATATTTACAATCGAATATCAGCAATTAAAGTTCTCAGTTCTCAATATATACCATAAAAGAGCAAAAAGTACAGACTTAATAATTAATTAGATGTGTATAATATGTTAGTTATTCTTTACTAATAATAATATACAAAATCAATTATAAAAAATTATATCCACTTTCTAAAATATAAACTAAACATAAACTATATACCAACAAGTTTTTTTTTCAAACTAAAAATTTATACCTGTATCGATATAATTTTATTTTTTGTCTTTTTTTATTTTATACTTTCTTAAACTTTGGCCTATTTATATTTCAAATCTGGTAAACATATTTAACAAATTTGATTAAAATAATCATGAAAATGAATTAATTGAAATTATTATTCGATAATAAGAATACGTTACAAATAATTATTTGAAAATGTTTAAAAACTGTATGCATACCGATGATGCCGCACCATACATTTACTCCAAAATGGCCTGGTTTTGGACTGGATTTACAATGTGGGGATTTTCAATGGACCAATAGTGTTCGTTGCGCCTGTTTGGCATACCATTACTGATAAACCGACTTTCGTCCGTCCAAAGAACATGCCGAAAAAGGTTCTGATCAACATTTACTACAATTTGGACCATAAAATTTTTAATAAGTTTGTTTTCAATGTGAAGCGCAGGCAAATACTCCAAATTCTGAATTTTGTATTAATGATACCCATTGTTGAACGGAAGATTTATCCAAATTCAATTCCCGTATACAATTTCATGGATTTTGTTCGAAATCCTGTAACAGTGTAGCTGTATTAACATTGTTTCTTACCCTTCGGTCAATTATTTGATTTTTCCGAACAGAAAATGCATCTTCATTTCGTCGCAGAGACGCTCTGGATACCTTTCTCGATATACTTAACTCTACAGCTCGTCTTGAATTTTTTTGTGACTCGCCGTAAATTAGCAACATATCAACTTTTTCTGAATGAGAAAACATTTTGTAAGCACAAAAGTTATACGTTTGACGTTCGTATTGAGTAATGAGAAGATTTTATGACATTTATGCACTTTAAACAACGAACATTCAATTATTTTCCAATGACTATTTGATCCTTCTACCCATAATGTGATTTTTAGATGGTATTTCTTTTGAGACTCTTTAGGGCGATATTGCTTTTAACTTTTAAAAGTAATACAGAAAAATTTATTTAATAAAAGTTTATTAGAAAAAGAGAGCTTTTTAACAGGAAAAAAATTTAGGTATGTTTCTGGAAAAAATATAATTGATGACGTCATATTAGTCGTTTCTCTGAAATCCCAAAGATAATACTTTCGATTGAAAATGGAGCTGACCTCATTCCATTTAATACCACGTGTCCCAAATTTGATTTAAATTTCTTATATCATCACAGTAGGTCCATATTATCGAGTTTGAGATACCCTGTACCATAAGTACAAATTATAAAATTCTTACGGTTTTTAAAAGTAGGTATAATACCTACATATAAAAAATAAACTGACATTACGATAGATAAAAAATATTCGGTCAGAATAAACTTATTACTTAAAAGCAACTAGTGAACTTTTCATTTAATTAAATATCTTTAATTGAATGCTGTTTCAATTAACTTCATTTTTGGGAGGTTACACAAAATTGGAAAACCATAATAATTAAGTGTACAAAATTTAATCTTAACCGTAATTATGTATGTATTAACTTTGTGTTGAACATTTTTATAATTGTAGTACATTTTTCACTGAATTAGCATTTAGTTTTAGCATTTAAGAACTTGGCAGAGGCACTAAAAAACTTTTGCAGGAGCACTACTGACAGTAATTACCTAAGTCACCTCTAGATGTGTGGGATTAAAATTTGGAACGGTTAATTCAGTTGGACAATAACTTCATTTCGAAATACTGCTGCCAGGTTTATTATAATTCGCAATATTTCATGTACATGTGTGAATATACAGTTTAGAAAGTTAGCGATAGAAAAATGTCTTAATTTATCTTTTAATTAAACAACGCAGTCTAATTATACTCAATGAAAAAACACGGTTCATTATATTTTGGGATCATTTTATCAGGAACGCGCTTCTGGCAACTCTAAAAATATTTAACCCTGATAAGCCGCGATCCGATTGGTTGATCTTCGAAAATAAATCGTACAAGGTATAAAAGGGTCCCGCTATCGACCTACATACCAGTAGTTCGATAATTACTGATGATTGAAAAATGTCCCGCGCCGCCACCACCACAAAATGGCGGCCAACAACTGCAACTTACGATTATAATTACGGCGTTGGCATAAATTTCTATCAACCCATGGTCGACTTCATAGAAGAAAAAGATAGCGGCAGAAAAAGGGGCCTGCCCCACCTTCCTTGGACGGATGAGCTGGGCCTGGACCAATACGATCCCATGAAAATTAAAAGTTACTCCCAAGATGATCTCACGAGAATATCTCGTAAGACAGAAGCCAGTGCGAAGGAAAGGTTAAGAGACTTTAAGTCGTGCGCTAGTTCTACTTTTGTTCTCAGCAAATCCGTATCGGCAGCGTCAATAACCGAAAAAGTAAAAACCGAAACGAAAAAGCAAAAAGCGATCATCAGGGAAATTAAAAAGTTAAAATCGAAAATGTACGACGACCTCAGGGACTACAATCCCGACAAAGACAAAGAAATCGAAAGGCAGCTGATGGCATCCCAAAAATACCTGCGAGGAAAGTCGGCCAGGGGAATTGAGGCCCAATTACTCTCCGAGAGTAGAAAAACCATCTCCGAAGGAATAGAACAGGATAAGTTTACGCAAAGTACGCTACAAAAGTGTAGTAGTTCCCGTAGCTTACATAAACACGTGAAAATAATGGATAAAAGGATGCAAGTGGAACTTGAAGACAGCTTTATGGAACCCCTCAGTAATCTAAGTACAGAATTAAAATGTTTCGATAGAAGATCGACGCATTACTTCATTGATCAAAGGTGAAAATGTAATGTTGTGTGGTTACTTGTTACATCAAGTGAGTACATTCAGAAATAGAAAGAACAAACTCTTTTACATAACAGATACATTGTGTCTATAAATACGCACAAGTTGAACTTCTGGTACCAGTGTTTGCTGCTGATTGTAATGCTATTTGCGTCTCTCTACTGCAGAGCAAATTAAAATATAGTTAAGCTTTAAGATCTATTCGTTTATAAACTAAATGCCTAAAGAATTTTTGAACTTGAATATATCACCAAAAATTAAATTCCAAAAAACAGAAAGATTTTACGAAAGTTTCCTTCAAATTACATTGTAAGAGATCATCGATATAATTAGATCTTACCATTTAATATTTATTTTACACAAAAGATCAAAAGTAATTGTGTTTGAACTGATCATTCGTTGATATGTAGACATGGGAAGCATTCCAAAGAAACTCGCGGAAATATTTAAATTACGTTTAAATATCATCAGCAGCGATATTTAAGAAATAAGTTTGTAATCACACCAATTTATATTGTGACAATGAATTTTTGGAGATGGTATCACTAGTTGAAGCAAATCAGCAAAAAAACTCTTGCAATTTTTCTTGAAACACAATTTTTGATCAATGTTGATGACTCAAGAGGCATTGAAAATAGTACATCAAATTTAGTGTAGTGCAGTTTCGTCATTTCATGCAAAGTTAAAAAAAAAACAAAATTATAATCATTTATCGAGTTTTTGCTTTCATAAAATAAAATGAAAATTGGAAATGTTTATCTATATCTGTACAATTATCTCTTGCTCTCTTACCCTCTTTCTCTCAGCCTAATTCTGACGAAGCTGGTTACATTTCCTTCGAAGTTTACAATATTGTAACTGCACTGTGCTAAGTTTGAATTCTATATCTTTAATAATTGCTGAGTAATTAATTTCATTTCCAATTGGTGAAAGAAAGAGTCCTTGATTCATTCCAGGAAATATGTTAATCTTGTTTTCGATTGTTTCGACGAGAGAAATAAGTTATGAAAATTTGTCACAACCTTGCTGCTGTATGTACCTACTTAAGTTATCATTTCATTTCTTCCACAGCAAAGCTACCAGCATTGAAATTGAACAGCTCAATGCCCGTGTCGTCGAGGCCGAGACCAGGCTCAAGACCGAGGTCGCCCGCATCAAGAAGAAGTTGCAGATCCAGATCACTGAACTTGAAATGTCCTTGGACAGCGCCAACAAGATCAACATTGACCTCCAGAAGACCATCAAGAAGCAGTCCTTCCAGCTCACTGAAATCCAAGCTCATTACGATGAGATCCAACGCCAGTTGCAGGTCACCTTGGATCAACTTAGCGTCTCCCAAAGGAGAGTACAAGCCCTTACCGCAGAAGCTGAAGAGATCAGGGGCAACTACGAATCTGTGAGTACTTGAAATGAGTTTCATATTTTCTTAATTGTTGCTAATAGAAGTCAGTTAACATTCTTATATAATTGGGTCGCTTTAAGTCTTTCTAAAAATAAGAAGTGTTAGGTACTAGCCAAAAAGAAATAAGATGATGAAGTTGTATCATGAAAAGAGTTGCAACTGTAAATCCCTTTTTTATAATTCGAGAGAGACACAATACACTTTTTTCTATCAAAAATGTCACATTGTTGACTCAGGAAAAGCTTCCCTTTTTCCTGATTTTGACAGATAGGTAGGTACCAGTAGCGCAAAATATTTACATTTATTAGTAAAAAGTTTAATATAACAATAAACCTATATTTTGATACACCTATTTGTTTTGAAACAGATATAACTTTAGTGCAAACTTTTGGAAAATGAATTTATGTAAGGACCTACCAACTCTGACCTTTTTGTTTGTTATACTAAGGCAAATTACTTGATTACGAAAACTTAAAATTTTACTTTAGAGATGCTGATTTTATGACTTAAAGTATACCTTCCTGCATGCTTTAAAATAGTTTATAGATATGATCAGTTTCTGACCAGTATCATTGTTATTTTTACTCTTTTTTATTAGGCCCTTCGTGGTAAGAGACAAGCCGAGCAACTGTACGAAGAAGCTGGCACCCGCATCAACGAACTTACCACCATCAACGTCAACATTGCTTCAGCTAAGAGCAAAATTGAACAGGAACTGTCTACCGTTGTTGCTGACTACGATGAAATCACTAAGGAACTTCGCATTTCAGATGAACGCTTCCAACGCGTTCAGGCTGAACTGAAACATACCGTTGAAATCCTCCATGAAGAACAGGAACGCGTTGTGAAGATCGAGGCCATCAAGAAGAGTCTTGAAATTGAAGTGAAGAACTTGTCCATCCGTCTGGAGGAAGTTGAAGCCAATGCTATTGTTGGAGGAAAACGTATAATCAGCAAATTGGAATCTCGTCTTCGTGATTTGGAAGCTGAATTAGATGAAGAAAAAAGACGTCACGCTGAGACCATCAAGATCTTGCGCAAGAAGGAACGCACAGTTAAGGAAGTCATGATCCAATGTGAAGAAGACCAGAAGAACATCGCTCTTTTGCAAGAATCTCTTGACAAATCCAACCAGAAGATCGTCTTATTCAAGAGGCAGTTGCAAGAAGTGGTAAGTTGAAGTTGTGTTACAGCAAACTTTTGGGGGGTTAAATGGATAAATCGATTTAACAGGCAGATTTATCGTACGATTCTTTCCGTTTATGTGCAAATTGTATCGAACAGAATTATAGTAGTTTCAATCGCAGATGATATGTAACTGTCATGACATTTGTTATGAGAAGATTTTTTCGTGAATTTTCACTTTCTTCTTGAATTTATTTTGATAGCAAATATTCCATTACCTATAAAATTTTAAGGTTTTGGCCATGGACCAGCAACAGACTGAGGAATGAAAGCCCGAAACGTTGTTGTCGATCCTATGAATGCAACAACCTTCAAAACTTCATAAATTATCTTTTCTATTCTCCATTTTTCGGTCTTATTTTTCACTGGAGCAAATAAAACTTACGTCTTCGTCAAGTTGTAGGCGTGTTAGTTTCGTCCCTTTTATTCTAGAAGAGGAATAAAATGCCTTTGAGAAACATTGTTCATTTGACAGGATTTTCCTTCCAGCATACTACTGGAGGTAGGTACAAGGTGAAAAGAGAGATATATGTTATGAAGGTACATGCTATCTCTCTCTCGCCGAACGTGATTAGCTTACGACCAATCTCCGATCTCTATATATACGTGACAGGAACAGCCAATCGCATTCGGCGAGAGAGAGATAGCATGTACCATCATGTCAGCTATCTCTCTCTTCGCCTTGTAACGCGCCCAACAGTATATGCTCAAAGGGACTTTTAGGAAAAAGAAATATAAAGTAAAAATATTAACTGTTGCGATTTTCAGGAGGGAGTTTCCAGCCAGAGCGTGACCCGCGTGCGCCGCTTCCAGAGAGAATTGGAAGCCGCAGAAGACCGTGCCGAAACCGCCGAATCAAACTTGTCCCTCATCCGCGCCAAGCACCGCACTTTTGTCACTACCAGCTCGGTACCCGGCTCCCAGGTCTACCTGGTGCAGGAAAGCCGAACAGCCGAGATTTAACTGCCCATCATAGCGACTAATAAACTGCCTCATGTGTCTTAACATTACCTTTATTTCGACATGTGATGTAGTAAAAATATGATCATGTTATCCAAATAATTTTTTATTTTTTTTTCTTTCGTGCACATAATAAATAGATAAATATATATATATAACAACCACTCTCTTTGAAATATTTTCAACATAACGAAACATACACATTTCATACAAAAATAAAAAACATAAGCGATTTATATTTGTTTCTCGATCGCACATGTAAATTACGTTAGGAGGAAGAAATATGTAGGTTTCAGAATGTTATTGTATCAGCTGTATTCTTTTAATGGAGATGCAGGGGTATTGAATATGTAATATGTAAGTTGAATGTACTGTGTAAGAATAAATTGCTTATATACAGTTCAGGCCTTTTTTTTAAACTTAAAAAACAAAAATTTGTTCTCGGTAAAGCCTGCAAAATAGAAATATAAAGACGCATATAACAATAGACCTTTTTAGTAGTGACGTCACATGCGCCAAATAATAGGCAACCCCATAGTACACATTGTCATGAAGAAGATCGATTTTCGACCTTACGTACTTTGGAAATAAGTGCCAAGAAAATGTCTAATTTGTTATGACCTTAAATATGGCGATATTCTGGCTAAATTAGAAATATTTAAGAAGTACGCTAATGATGACAGCGATGATATATCAACAAGATCTCACCTGCGTATGAGGCTATATTTCCCGAGCATGCGCATTAGGGATAACACGGCTAATGTTAAATTTTTACTTTATTTAAATTTAGGAATATTCTTTTATATAGTTTTTGTAAGTTTTAAGCACATTAGTGTATTTATTTTACGAAACACTGGTTGTTCTTAAATACTTCCAAATCATTGTAAAAATAAATTAATTTGAAGTTGTTCATTGCTATAGTATTTATGTAAATAGTAAACAAAGGTCAGATTCGATCGGGACAATTTGTTGCCGGTTGCCTAATCATGTGACGTTACACTAAGAGTCTATTATTCCGCTAACATAAAAAGAATTCATAAGCTCAACTTTTCACCGACTTTCTAATATTTCTGGCAAGGCTCCGAAGATATCGCAATTACCGCCAGAGGCACCCACAACGATGGTTAAATTTCATCGCTGTTTCTAAAATTTTACTCGCCAAGCTATCCAGAGTGCATTCGCTTTTTCAATAATTTGACTGATTTGATTAATGTAGAAATTTTCGAACATTTTAGATTCCACAAACTACAGTATTTACTGTAAAACTTTAAAGGACAAAATGCAATAAAAATATTCAAACTATCTTTAAAGTGGCGACCGTCGATTGACTTTGGACGAGATGAAGAGTGTTTCCACAAATCTCCAGATCTCTTCTGCATGAAATTATTACTAAAACACTTGACTATCAAATATTGTGTGTGAGATGAATACCAAAACAGCTCACAGATCAACACAAAGCCAACAGAATCGCACCTTCACGGGAATTTCTCGAGCGCTTCGAACTGGAAGGTGTACAAATCATTGACAGTATCGTGATTGGCGACGAAACATGGGTGGTTTACTATATCTCTGAGTTGAAATGACAATCAACGTAGTGACGACATCTGTCTTCACCATCAGCAAAAAATCATGACAACTGTGTTTTGGGACCCTCAAGCAATTGTTCTCATTGACTTTTTGCCTCAGAAGGAAACAAATGCTACGCGGTACGGTGAAACGTTAAAACCAGTGCGCACGGCAATACAGAACAAAAGAAGGGGAATGTTAACGAAGGGAGTGGAGTGTGCTTGTTGCAAGGCCAGTGCACATCCTCATGCACACAGCCCAGCTCAAAGTAACTATTGGATTCATTCGGTTGGAACATATCAACCACCCCGCTCACAGGCCTGACTTGGCACCTCCTAATTTTCATATTTTCTCTTCTCTGAAGGTGTTTAAAGGTAGGAAAAGGTTTTTCTATGGACGATGAAGTCCACAGTGCCGCGAAACGATGGGAAATTTTTTTTGACGAACGTATCAGAAAGCTCATCCTTCGGCTCACAAAGTGCATTGAGGTTGAAGGCGACTATGTCGAAAAATAGTGTTTGATGTACCTTTCAAAATATGTAAATTTTTCATAAATATACCGTTGTTCTGATTTTTAAAAACTTAAGTAGGTACTCTTATAGTCCTTCTGAAGTCAGTTGAACATGTATAAAACGCCTAGCAATAAAATTTAATGAGATTCATAGGCGTCCTTAAAAAAGTTTTTTGCTGAAGGTAAAAAAATTATAATAATTTATAGGTATATAATGTGTAGAAAATTTCTATTATATGTTCATTTGGTTTTAATTATTGATGTACTCAAACAATTTTATTATATTGATGGAAAATTTCGATTTGTTCTGTTTCAAAAGGTCTCTAAAATGCCATGCTGTAAAAATATTACTAAACAAATATCCCTGTTATATCTCCCTTTCACAATTGTAATATGAATGATTAATAGAAGGTGCCTATAATAAATTAAAATTATCTGAATCACACCAAATTCCGAATTGCTGCACTGCACTGCTAGGCCATTTGTTGACAACTGAACTTATGGCCAGATCGCCCAGTGCGGCTGTGTTTGTGCCGCGTTTGAACGCGCGCTCATTCTCCAACTGGGCGACCAGACTTGTATATGGGCATGGCTAAATAAATATGGGAAAAAGTTTTTCAAAAATTCCAATGCCGCGTTGCTGCGTCAGCGATCGAACCTGTACATACTGCCAACCTCTTGGTTCTTCAATTGAGATCGAAAAGAATATACTTTGTGGATAATATTTTTTGACACTGAATATATTTTCTGATATTCAGATTATGGTGAGGATAAGGAAAACTAAAAACTCAAAAGTAATTAAAAAGAAATATACTTATATTCAATAAAATGCAAAATAACACAAAAATAAATATATAAGAATGAGCAGTAAATTAAAAATAAAAGTAAACTTAATAAAAAGCATTTGTTATACAATAGGACTACAGTTGGTTGGGGGAATTAGATATTTTTTTAAAGATATCCTTTTATTACAAGTTATAGAATCCAGTACCCAGGTTTCCCTAACACATTTTACACCTTCGTACTTGACATACTCTCCTACTACTATGGCCGCATTTCTTGGAATACTGCAAAGGTTTCCCTTACATAAAAGAACCAGTTCTTTTAAGTCTGAACACCTAGGTATACTTCCCTTTGCTATATAGATTGGTCCACAATCTTGGAAGATGTCCATAGTATATGATGGTCCAAAGGCTTGACGTTGTAGGCGGCATCGCTTTTGGTAAATAAAATTTGTTAAGGTGGTTATATAGCATGTCCCTGGTTGAGGAGCCACACTCTTAAGAATTTTCTTAGTTTATTTTTTAGAAAACGTCATTCTTGATAGAAAAAATTTGCTCGTTTTGTAATGGTTGTGATAAAATGTTAATATTTCGATTATAGTTTATATAAGGTGTTTTTGAAGTCCATGTCATAACTTCAGAGTCATATTTCTTGTATTATTTTTGTCTCAGAAGTCTTAATAAAGAAGGGGCTTAAAACCACCAGCTGCTCAGATACAGTGTGTACAAATTTAAAGATAATATCACTTTTTTCTCAAACATGTCTGAAGAATAATAACTTGTTCCAAATACACTTTTAAATATATTATCATCAAGGGTCATCTAAAAAAATCACTGTAGATGAAATTTTTAAATACCTAAGCAATGGTAGAGTAATGGTCGTATTTAATACAGGGTGTTACAAGTTTGACTGCCTTAATTTCAACAGACGATAGAATACATTAAAATAAACAAAAAAGCCAGCAACCACCAATACGCAATTCAGTTGGTATCTGGATTTGACCGTGTCGGAGTGTTTTTTGCGTACCACTATTTTCCTTTTCTTGAGGTGTTTTCCAGCGAGAGCACGAAAATTGGATTCGAAGGTGTCGTGCATGCATCGAAAATGGTGGTGAACATTTTGAGCATATGTTGTAGTTTGTTTTGTACATGAGCATTTGAAAATTACTGAATTTTGTTTTTTGGTAAGTACCTAAATTATAGTACGCGAAGCACAAAGGCTCCATCTATCGCGCTGACTTCCACTATGCCATTCAAATGGCTACTACGGTGGAAGCGACCTGCTAAAATTTGCCAGGTACTTTATTGCACGAATGTCGCCTATAGAGGGCGAAACTAAACGACTTACCTAAATTATTTTTAATACGTATGATTATTTGAACGACGTGAATCTTTGGGTACTTTAATTACATATTTTTCAAATACATAATTTGATTAAAAGTTAAGTTCCTGTTTTAAGAGATTCATAATTACTAAAATTCGAGCTAAAATTTAAGCACAACACTAGGTATCTTCGTACTACAAAATCGATACATTTTATTTTATTTATTTAAAAACTGGAAAACAGTTGTCTTGAAATTTACTAAATGTTTCACAATAATAACTGTTTACATTTTTTCCGTAGGACAAGTCTGCCACGTATACAAGTGGTGTGCATCAGCGCTGTTGTCACGTTGTGATGAAACTCCCCAATATTAATATGCGCTGAAATTTGAAAACTCTTAATCTTACACCTCGGTAACTTTTTTGTTCATTTATGATTACTCTATTTCATGCTGAAGTACTGGCAGTCAAATTTCTTACACCCTGTATAGTTTGATCTCTAGCCATCAAATGTCTACATAAGCAAAATTTTTTATTAAGAATGTTTTCTCAAAAAAATAATTAAATAAAAAGTTTACGGGAATGTGGTACCCTATCTAAGGATGACTGTATACATAGTTAGATGGTTAGAATGTACTGGAGGGAAAGAAAATTTATTTTTCAAAATACAGAAAAAATTATTCTTGATTTCATTCTTGATACTTTTAAAATTAGAAAGATATGAGGACTTCTATGTTCACATGTGGAATATTAAAATAAAGGTGAAAAATATGAAAATGGCGTATTTTTTACACCATAAAATGTATTAAGATTAGTTGTTTATAATTATATTAGAATTTAATTTTTTGGATAAATCGATAGTTCTGAAATAAAATAAATGGTGGATAAAGTAAATTGGTTCGTCGCATGGATATTTTTTAAATCCGTTAGCAGTTCTTTAAGAAAAATATTTACTTTAAAAAATTATCAGAGAAAAGTTGATATTTTGAATATGTTTCGCATAACAAAGGATTCAGATTCTCACCATTTCAGTTTTTTAAGCTTTTTATAATACTCACTTGAACTGCAGGTGAAAAGTCAGTTTCCTCAAAATCTTCTTCTGGAAGCCATTTCCCTTCTTCAAGTGACCTCAGGAGCTAATAAAGTGTCAACATAAGTAACATATACAGGGTGTTCGCGCTTAAATGTAATACAAGCGTGTAGCTTCTTTGTTTTTTAACCGATTTCAAAATTTTTTTATTTAGAGTGTAGAATAAAAAAACTAACTGTAATGCTGCTGTTTTTATTAATTCAATTCACGACCAATTAGGACGCGTTTTTTGACGTCAAAACAGCTAATTGGTATTAGCGATTTATTTTCCAAAAAACAGATTACGTATTCTCATTCAGCATCCCTTAAAATGTCTTATCACCAAGTTTCATCAAATTCGATACATCTTCAGGCAAGCACTAGTTGGCCCTGTTATTACATTATTAAAAAACAGCAGTATCACAGTCACAGTTTTTTTACCCTACATGTCATAAAAAAAAAATTAATAAAGAAGTTAAAGGCTTGTATTACATTTCGTGACATCATGGAGTGCTCACCTGAAGATGTGTCGATTTTGATGAAACTTGGTGGTAAGACATTTTAAGGGACGCTGAATGAGAATATGTAACCTATTTTTTGGAAAAAAAATCGCTAATACTAATCAACTGTTTTGATGTCAAGAAAACGCGTCCTAGTTGGCCGTGAATTGCATTAATAAAAACAGCAGTATCACAGTTAGATACATTTTTTTTACCCTACATTTCCAAATAAAAATGTATCATATTTAAGCGCGACACCCTGTATATCGGGTGTCCCAAAATTTGCGCAAGATTTGAATTTTACAATATTTATGCGGTGAAATGTTGCCAACGAAAAAACAAAGATATAGTGTGAGCTGTGAGTTTTCGATTTTTTTAGATGTTGCTGTGGGTGTGTGTCCTCTAGTTTTTGCTTTTTTTGTACAATATGTTGTGGGTATAGATTTTTCTTTTTCTCCTGTGTCGAGATTTTTTTTGACCTGTGTGGGGAGTGTTTTTGTTTTTGTTCTTTTACATTTTCTCGCTCTTTTTCCACGTGTTTTTCTATACAACATCTCGGCGGTTTTCGCGAGTGTTTTTGTGAGTGTCGGGACACCCCTTTTGGGCTGTGTTGTTGAGTTTTTTATTTTTGGAGGCTTTTTCTAGTGTGTTTTCTTGTGAGATTTTTGTCTTTTTATTTTTACAGTTTTCTTTTGTCTCGAGCTGTGACCCGTGTAGTCTACAGAGCGCGGAGAGTTCGTTGAATGGGTTATGGATTGATGATTGGGCTCATTTTCATCTTGATGGATTCATTAATAGACAAAATTATCACATTTAGGGCTCAGAAAATTCACGAGTGACTGTTGAGAAACAAATGCATCCATAAAGTGTAACTATTTGATGAGGAATATGGGCTGGAGGCATCATCTGACCATTCTTCGAAACTAGTCAAGCAATATCAGTGATGCTTGCTATCGCGACATGAAAATCGAGTTTTCTGTGCCTAAATTGCAAGACATGGATGTAGATGACATGTGGTTTCAACGAGATGGTACCACATGCCATGCCCGAGAAACAATTTTATTAATGCATGAATCATTTCCTGGTCCTGTGACTTCCCAATTTGGTGATCAGAATCGGCTGCCTAGATCATGCGATTAAACACCGTTGGACTTTTTTCTATTAGGAAGGAGAAAATTGGAATACACTGTATATTTTATGATTCAATACAAAATTAACAATTTTTAATTAAAAACCTGTGATTTCTATCAAAATTACTTCTTGCCTGAATTTTGGGACACCCTTTATTATAACAAAGTAAATGAATAAGGTTTATTTTACTCATAAATTATTTTTAGCGCAATAAAAAAAATTAAGGAAATTACTCACCCATTCATGTTTTAGTATCCAGCATCCCATAGTCATTGCTCGTAACATGTTTATCGTCCGTTTTGGCTCTCCAGCCACTAAATGTGTCGTTTTACTACTAACTTCATCTTCGATCACAAACCCTCCAAGTTTTCTTACAATCTGGTTAAATATCTGGATATCTTCTTTGTGCAATTTGGTACAAACAATACTTGGACGTTTACTTTTGTCAATTTTTAGTTTTTTATTCGAACTCATTTGTGATTTCGTCTGAAACTCCATGGTACTTCTTCTATTCACAAGTGGTGTGACCGGTACGATACAATTTTCATCAGAACTTGAGGTACTGCCATTTAAATTTAATTTCCTCCTAGGATTCTGGGACAATCTAGCAGATTTCCGCCTTTTAATTATTTCCTTCTTTTTCGTGGTGCTTCCTGGTGTTGCTTTTTTAGGCAACTTCTCGTTCTGTTTATTTGTAAATTCTGCGGCTAGCTGACATTGTTCATCAGCTTCGCTGTTTCTTGAAATTTGTTTCTTATTCTTTTTAGTTTTCCGTTTTTTTGATACCTTTGCTTTGTCCTCTGTTTCTGTATTTAATATATCCTGGACGCTGATTTTATTTTGGTCAACGAATTTTTTGGCTTTAGAAGTTAGCAATGTGTTGGGAGAAATGGTTACAATATTACAATTAAGTACCACTCCTTCCTCTGATTTTCGCTTTTTTATTTCATTTCTCTTGCACTCCCTCTCTGATTCGTCATTTGTGATTACTTCCTTAATCGATTCATCTGGATTGTACAATTTCCTTGTTCTATTCAATTTTTTGTTACTTCCCTTGCTTTTTGAAGAATCTTGTGAACTATCTGATAATGAACAGCTTTTTTCAACTTGCTTAGACAAATCTGAGTTAATATATTTTTTGGAAACCCGTTTCCTTGACTTTGTTTTTTTATCGCTGAACTTTATCTTTCTACTTTTATCTTGAGGTGTAAACTGTTTCCCGGTAGAGACATTGTCAAATTTGATGGCTTTTTTTGATTCATCTTCAATATCTTCTGCCCTACTTAAGGTTCCTCCATTCTTATTACACTTGCTTGAACTAATAGGCAAATTATTATTTTTAGTTTTTTTTGCAGGGCTTCGCTTTGGTGGTACATCTTTGTCAGATTCTACATCATTATCTGATTCCGTTCCATTTACATCAGGAGGTAGCATTGTTCTTCTTCTAGTATTATAACCACTTCTACTTTCAGTGTATTGTCTTTTTCGTCTTTTTGTAATGTTTTCATCTTTTGACGGTGTTTCATCCAACATATCCAGCACTTTCTCTATAACACTTGAATTTATTGGACTGAAACTATTCTTTCCATTCAGCGATGTCTCTTTCTCCATGGATTTTTTATTTAAATGTAATTCTAAGATGTTATTATTTTCTGAGTTCTTATGGTTCGCAGTGTCAGCAGATTTATCTTTGCCTGAATCTGACGATATCTGCAATGTAGACAAGTTGGTACTTGTTGAAACACCTACAGCTTCATTCGCTTTACCAGAATCAGACTTTTCTTTATTCAGGGAAATCTGAAGGGAAGACATGTTTGTACTGGACGTTTTCTCCACAGTAACAGTAGAAGTTATAATCGAAAAACTATTCAAAGCTGCAACATTATTATTGGTATTACAGACATTTTTACTAAGGATCTGTAATTCAGTAGACCTGCGATGTAGTTCCAAAACCGAGTCACTGGTTGTACGAGAACTATTTGTATCAGCTTTTAATTTCGATCCACTGTTACTATGTGATCTAGTTTTCCTTCTATACCCCGTATCCTTTGGAATATTAAATTCATCCTCTACCGACTTAGGACACGCTTTGTCGTTACTTATTTTATTTTTAACGGGAGTCTTTTTGTGATAGATACTTTCGTCAATTGAACTATTCGGAACGCAATTCTCCTTGGCGTTGTCACAAACTGAGTCATTTAAAAGCACCGTATCCTTCAGTTCTGATATGCCTTCAATCTTTCGAGACAAGTTACTTCTTCTGGACTTTACATTACCTTTCAGAGGCGTTGATTTTTCTAAAAATGTTAAATCCATATTTGAATCCTGCAACTCATTCTCAAAATTGATGTCATTGTTACTGTTTGGTAAATTGGGAAACAATGAACTTTGTCTTCGTCTTATACTTATACCATTAATGAAAGGACCTAAATCTGAGTCATCGTCAGAAGGTAATTCACTGGGCACTTTTTCGGTGCCCGAGTTGTTACCCCATGCAATTGTTTTTCTACGAGAACGTAAAATTTTTTGCACTTCTATATCCTGAGACGAAGGAAGCTCTTGAGAAAGTTTGTTAGATGATGAAGGAACTGGTGTCATTAGAGTTCGGCGTCTATCAATAAGGGCCTGCGTTGAAGGCAATGGAGTTCCAGTGGCTAAACTACGATGGAGTTCGTCTCTAATAAGACTTTCATATTCTTTCTGCAGTTGCTAATGAAACGAAAATATATTTGAAGGAAATTCTCTTCGAATTTCTTATTAACCCTCATTATACCGTCTATAATGATTTAATTATTGTTATTTCAGTTAGTTTATTTGTGTCATTTTATATAATGTGAAAAATTTAATGAATAATTTAGCACGGTTGACAAGGGTTAATAATTTGCATAATTTACTAAATTTTATAAAATTATATTTATACGCCATGAAAAAAATCAAAGGTCCTGTGATGAGTGCATTATAACAGTTAACTACTTATGAGAATAATTTTAATAATAATAATAGCTTGAATAATAGATATAGCACTAAAAGTTTTATATTGGACAATGTAACTGTCAGAAAAATGAACAGATATAGATACCTAAACAATGACTTACTGAACACATCGATGAAACATTACTGTCATAAGTTTCCGTTCCCAAAGCTGGAAATTTTTTTTCAGGTACTCTCATGTTGTTACTTCTAACTGCCTCTATCCATAGAACCGACACTAAATGAACTTTCATCAGTTTGGCTTTTTGATACGTTGTAAAAGAACCATCCTACAAAAATCAAACAGAAGTAATACTTTTTATTAAAGAACACAAAATATCTGCAATGATTTTGGTTATAACTTAACACCATCTATAACTATCTATTTTTATTCTACTGAGGATATGTTTGAAGAGATATTGCAGACAGAAAAATGAAATTGGGCATAAGGCAAATTCAAATTAGGTAAAATTGGGACTAATTATTAAGACATAATGTAATATAAAATTAAGTTTGAAAAAAAAATAAATAAATAATAAGGAGGATGCTGTGAAAGGCAGAAGCATATCTAAATCTAAACTATTTAATAACAAAGTCTGAGTAAAACATAACCAAAACTCAAGCCGAAACTTTACTGCATTAAACGTTAAAGTAATCCTTCCTGTAACCTCATTTCTATTCGACAGACAACTAACAATGTTTAACGTGAACACACCTCAGAATATACTAATTTTGTACTAAATAGCTAGTTCCTATTCCTAATTTAGTATTAGAGGAGGGATTCATTAAAATCATATATATGACTAAAACTCATAATTGTCTCTATTTCATTTTTGTTTTAATGCAGTACAGTAAATGTATTACTTTAGAAATACCTTAAATATAACATGCGTAACATCCTTGGTAAACTTGTCCCTTATAGTAGCTCCCATAGCTTTCATAAGTGCTTTTGCACCACTGGATCGATCTTCATCTTTACTTTTAATTTCTACGTATGCGACAACCCCATTTAGCAATTCATTAAATGGGACAGTGGATGGACAACTTGAAGCACTTGAATGTTCAGAGCTAGATTGACTTATACAATCCAATAGATCATCTTGGTTATCGTTTCCATTCTGGCGATTTTTCTGTTCTAAAGCTCTACGTCGCAGTAAAGCAGTAGGGCTTTCACAGTAGTTTCTTTTAACTTTATGCAATGGACTGCCATCAACGTCTTTTCTTAGATCTTTGGTTCGGTTACGTTTATATTCTTCTATGTTATCCTTTTCTGAATTGATTAAAGTTAAAACTAACTGACGTTTTATAGGGCAACTCATAAGTTTTTGGAAAAAACTGTCACTCAAATCTTTTACACTGGTCAAGTTTTCATTTGATTCTGTACGTTTCACTTTTAAAATACGTTTACTTTTGTTGGTTTGTGGGGTGAGATATCCAGTACTACATTTAGGTCTCATTTTTAATATTATAAATAAAAATAAACCTGCAGAAACTTGCAAAATATGTCTTACTTAAGAAATATGAAATGGTGATAAGCATTAAGCAAACAAAAACAAACAATCAATAATATTGAAATTAGGTGCAGTTCACAAAGTCCGCTAATCCGCGATAACAACTTCACAGCTAATATAAGAAATAGAAATATCATCGCGTGTTAAAAAGTGTAGACGCTATAGAGAGAAAAGGCGATAGCTCTGATGCTTTCCCTCTCTCCCTAATCGTTGTGGAAGGAGTTGCTTTAGCCAATCACGAGCCTGCGCGAGATAGAAAGGTGATACTCAAACTATCTCTTTCTCTCTATCCTACCGACATAACTAAACACTGAACAAGTAGTAGAAAAAATAACAGCGCTTTTCATGACGCATATTTATTTGTTCTGTTTCTGTACCTTGATTGGAGAAGTGTTCTGTGTTCTGTGGTGGTTTATTTATATGAAACACGTCATGTAATGTACATGTGATTTTTTGGTTGGGTTTTGTATTTTGTTTATATACTTCCTGTATTTATTGTACTCCAGTTAATAACCACTGTAATCAGAAAAAAGAAAAATTGTCATAATTTTAAACAGTGAATATAATAATTTTGTCTTCTGCCATCATATAAGTAAAAATATAACCAGTTTTATTTTCAATGAATGAGTATGGCTCTCGTTTGCTTCCTCCAGCCAAAGAAAGCAGTACTCGCGCTGCGTGTAAGAAATGTGGCTACGCAGGGCATTTAACTTATCAGTGTAGAAATTTTGTTAAAGTAGATCCTAACAAAGAAATTGTTCTTGATGTTAGTAGTACAAGTAGCGAATCAGACCAAGATTATCTCACCCCTCTTACAGAATTAAGGGAAAGAGAACTAAAAGAAAAATTAAAAAAACAGAAGAAAAAGAAACATAAAAAGAAATCGAAAAAAGTCAAGAAAAGGAGACATTCATCCACATCTGATTCTGAAGAAGATACTTCATCAAGTGAGAGTGATAGCGAAGCTAGTGATACGAACCATAAGAATTCAAAAAAACATAAACACAAGAAAAGAAAGCATGAGAGAAAATAATTTACTTATACAAGAATTGATTTGAAAAAGTACAATCTGATTGTACTAAGGAGTAAGCAGTCGTTTTTCTTCAATCGTGATGAATGTGTAAACGTACCAAAATTTTGTTTCAAATGTGCTATTCGTAATACCTATATTTTTAAAACGTAATGTAAAGTGAGCTTATAAACAAGATTGTAAAAAGAATTTGTGAAATTGTCTTCCTTTGAGATTGAAATAAAAATGTATAATTTAGGTGCCTATTTTTTCATTAAGGAAATGTCAATTTTAGTAGAAAATAATTTTAGGAAAATTTACATGTTATTGTTCCTATACGGGATACTTCTAATAGTTTAAGATTTCCTTTAATTATTTTGAGTAACCTGACTTGTGCTGTATACTGTTCACGTCTAATAACAAAACAATTCACACAAAAATTATCATGCATTTAATAAAGTTGAAATTATTTACCGACAGTAACTCTTGAATAATGCTTTCCTTCTTAATTTGAGCGACTATTTGATTTAATGTGAATATTACTTACAATGCATTACCGTTATGCAAAAATAGATTCAAATTAATTTATATCCACGTTGAATTTAAATTAATCTCAAAAAGGAATCACAGTGGCCACCCTTTTATTAAATTAATGAAACTTGTCAAGACAATTTTTTCATTCTGAAAATTAGAATAATTCTTATCATGATAGGCATTGGGTCACATTTTGCAATTTTTCTCGAAAAAAGTATCAAGAAACAAAAAAGTTTCTAAATTCAATAGCTTTCTAGCGGACTAACAATTTTTAAGTTTAAATACGAGACCAAATTTTTGGCTCCAAAGACAAGGAGGCCCACGAAAAATTGTCTTAAGGGGATTCCCCGTGTCAAAATCTTTGTTGTACCAACTTTAGGTTTCTCGTACAGCAGAAATTTCAGGGGACTATAACTCCGACAAAGGGTACCACTTGGCGGAATAAAAAAAAATACGGGTCCCATAAATTTGTATTAAGAATCTATGTCCAAATTTTGTTGCATTAATTTCGGGTCACCCTGTATATAAACAAGGGTAACGTTGAGTATTGTCAAAATAAATATTGAAACAAATGACTGCATAGGCATAGCATACTAGGTTTGATTTGAGAAAAGGGCACGCTTACGTGCGGGAAATTTGTGTGTAAAGTTTAAAAAATTTGTGTTTAAATAAAGAAAATTCCATACAATATTTTTTTAAATATTAAAACAGACAGAGTTATCTGTTTTGTGCTATAAAATAAATGCTGTGTTGTGTAGTTCCTGCAGCCAACGCACCATGACTAAATTCGAGGCTACATGCAGTAAGTACCTCCTTTCCTCCTTATTTCTTAGTTCATTTTCATAGTATTGTCGTTAATATGTTATAATATATAATATTAATATGTTGTTAGACTGGAATACAGTAAACGGATTGTAGAATCATATTTTGTTCATTGTCACTTTTATCCAGGGCCGGACAACAGGTTTTTTTCTATAAAAAAAAAGGTCGCGCAGCAATTTGTCAATATAAAATTTCAAAACCTAAACACTTTTTAGTTTAATTCTAAAAAGAAAAAGCTAAAAATTTATTTTGTAAGATCTTGCCGAGGCCCCCCGATCTCGTGAGGCCTGATGCCAAAGCTCCCATAGCCCCCCCCACCCTAACCCGGCCCTGCTATTATCGAATGCAGGAAATGAAACAAAACAAGTCATCTGCACGATATTTATAAGGAGAGATTCTTTGAATGAGTTTAAGACAAAATTATTTAAACATTGGTCCACAAGGGTTTTCGAGATACAGGGTGTTAAAATTTTAAAAAATTGTTTTGAAAAACGAGAAGTTCCTAAGTTATTTTATTTTTGGAGTGTTTAGTAAAGTTAATGAAAATTAAAAAAGTTTCTTCGAAACCACAAGTTACAAGTACCTAGGTAGGTTTATACAGGGTATTCCACCTAAGAGGGATTCTTCTGTAACTCTGCAACTGTAAAATTTATTAAAAAAATGGTTTTAATAAAAGTTGTCTGGAATCATGTGGGCCATGTAAAGAAAATATTTATAGCTTTACAGGATATTCCATTTCCCGTAGGTGCTACATATCTTTGTTATTTTAAATGGAACACCCTGTATATTATTGCATTTTTGAATTCCTTTGTTAATATTAGGTAGATTTTATTAAGTGTACATGGTGTTTAAAACTTACCATTTTCGAGGTAATCAGTTGTTTTTGAATAAAAATCACAATTTCAGCTCTCTAAATGAGGCCAGAAATAGCGTCTAAACCGCCAGAGTTAGAAATCTACAGTTTTCACAGTTCGTTTTGGCATAAATTACTCTATCTTGTCATCTGTGAGCAAAACGTGTATGTTATTCAGACTCGGGAATACCGAGACCTACATTTAATTATCTTACGAGTTGAAAAACTATTTTTTTTCAAATGGAATGACCCATATTACTCGTCATGGGTGAATGCAAAATTGAATGCCCTTTCGACTGATAGAAGGTCCTCCATTTTGATTAATACACAAACGAATTCGGTTTTTAAAAGACTGTTCAACATTGGTCAGCATATCTGGCGTAATTTCTTGAAATGCTACTGTAATGCGCTGCAACATATCTTCTGCTGTAGTTGGTGGGGTAACGTAAACTTTGCTTTTTATAAATCCCCATAAAAAGAAATCGCAACTTGTCATATCTGGACACCTTGAAGACCAACTCGCTGGTCCCCTGCCTCCAATCCATCTATTGGGAAAAGTTTCGTGTAAAAACTGACGAACACAGTGGTATTGTGAGGTGGAGCACCATCATGTTGAATCCACATTCTTCGAAGTGTAGCTATAAGGGAATGTCGCCTAACAAATCTTCTTTGTTAAAAAGTTTAAATATACTGCTCCAGTTATATGCTGGTCAAAAAAGAATGGTCCAATAACACGGGTTCCCAAAATTGCTCCTCACACGTTCAAAGACCATCGTTGGCTATGAGTTGTCCGGAATTGGTGNTAATACACAAGCGAATTCGGTTTTTAAAAGACTGTTCAACATTGGTCAGCATATCTGGCGTAATTTCTTGAAATGCTACTGTAATGCGCTGCAACATATCTTCTGCTGTAGTTGGTGGGGTAACGTAAACTTTGCTTTTTATAAATCCCCATAAAAAGAAGTCGCAACTTGTCATATCTGAACACCTTGAAGCCCAACTCACTGATCCCCTGCCTCCAATCCATCTATTGGGAAAAGTTTCATGTAAAAACTGACGAACGCAGCGGTATTGTGAGGTGGAGCACCATCATGTTGCATCCACATTCTTCGAAGTGTAGCTATAAGGGAATGTCACCTAACAAATCTTCTTTGTTAAAAAGTTTAAATAAACCTCCAGTTATATACTGGTCAAAAAAGAATGGTCCAATAACATGGGTTCCCAAAATTGCTCCTCACACGTTCAAAGACCATCGTTGGCTATGAGTTGTCCGGAATTGGTGAAGATTTACTGTGTCATAATAATGGCAATTATTACTATTAACGAAACCATTTTTATGAAAAGTAGCCTCATCGGAGAACATGACCCGTTTCAAAAAATCATCATCTTGATTTGACATCTGAAGTGCCCACTGACAAAACTCCAGTCTCCGCTGAAAGTCGACTTTTAGTGTAATTGGTGTAATTGGATGTGATAAAGGATGTGCTGTATTGTGCTTTTGTAAAATCCTATGTATCGACATTATACTAATACAATTGCAAGGCCCTGTTGACGCTTTTATATAGGTACTTTTGGGACTTTAGAAAAGAACCTGATTTTTCTGGAAAACTATTAGAGATAAGTATGGATAAACTTATATCAGTCGAAAGGGCATTCAATTTTGCATTCACCCATGACAATTAATATGGGTCATTCCATTTGAAAAAAAAAGTTTTCCAACTCGTAAGATTATCCAATGTAGGTCTCAGTATTTCCGAGTCTGAATAACGTTTTGCTCTCACATGACAAAATAAAGTTATTTATGCCAAAACGAACTGTGAAAACTGCAGGTTTCTGACTCTTACAATTTAGACGCTATCTAGCCACGTTTAGAGAACTGAAATTGTGATTTCATTTCGGAAACGGTAACTTTTAAACACCATATACTAAACTGTACTTAATATTAACCATGGAATTGAAAAACGCAATAATATACAGGGTGTTATTTAAAATAACAAAATTATGTAGCGCCCACACGAAATGGAACACCCTGTAAAGCTAACAATATTTTCTTTACATGGTCCACATGATTCCAGGCAACTTTTATTAAAAACATTTTTTTTTTATAAATTTTACAGTTACAGTTACAAAAGAATCCCTCTTAGGTGGAACACCGTGTATATAAAATTTTCAAAATATCCAATGGCACGAGTTTCTAGGGTTTTCAGTGAAAGTAACCCCCAGTGGATTCAGTGGATTTTTATCTTCATTCTACATTTTTAGATATATTTTAGAAAAGGTGACATTTTTTTTTAATTTCAACACTGTCTCGAAGATTATCGAGTTGCAGATTCATGTTTATATAACCTTTTTGGTTTAAAATCATTCAGAGAATCACTGTTAAAGTTTGTGCACATACTCAATTAACACCCTGTATATTACATTTGTAACAAGAATTTCTACTAAATAAACTTTCCACTTATTGCAAGGGAGCGGTAGGTATTTAGCAAAACATGTTTTGTTACAGTAAAAAAGCATTTCATTTGGCGCCTATTTAATGCAGATGTTTTGCTGCGGTTAGTCAATTTCTACTAGTCGTAGCAAAAAAGTTCTGAGTCTTAATAAGTCATAGGTCAGGATAGGGTTTCATGGAAACTATAAACTTATTTGAAATTCGTTTATTATTATGTTACAGTTTGAAAGTTAATGAAATTAGATAATTTTCTATTGTATATGCACCTATATTTTTCTCTCTTTATGTAATTTCATCAACCTAAACTTAGATGTAGAATAACAATATTTTAAAAATAACTTTAGCAAAGCAAAACAATTAAATATCCATAAATTAAACAAAAATTGGTAAGTCGTATATGTTTGATATTTGTGGCATAGCAAAAAGTCATTCATTGATACTATTTTTAACTCGTAGTCGTTTGTGAGGCACACAACTCACCCATATAATAAATCATAATCAGTATCACAGTATCCTTATAAACATCATTTTTTTTAATATGTACATAAGCTGATATTAAATCTGTGTCAAAATAAATGTTGGATGGTTTCTTCTATACAGCTCGCAATTCGCAAAATTTGGTACTTATTTTAACACAAATTTAGTACGCACCTTTTAAAAAAATCTAATTATCGTGAAAAAGTCATGTCAGGTATAAAACACTTATAATTATTTTTCTCTAAAATCAAAATATATATACAACTTAGAGGAAAAGTTTACCTTTTTTTTTTTCGGTAATAAATATTATATAACAGTATTTACTTAAATAGTTTTGTGGCATAACACCATATACGGAAGAAATACTCGTCTTTCTTTAAGAGCGTTCCTTTTGAATAGGAATGAATGTCAGCGTCCATGCTATTATCTCTCAACCACGAAGTGGACGTCTCTGTGCTGTACGATGTTGGCTCTTTGTCAGTCACTTCACGGAAGTCATCTTGATCAGTTTCTAAAACAATTTTTTTTTAGTAAAAAGAAGTCATTTTGTACAAATACATTTTTGCTTAAACAATCATTGTTTACAAAGTAATTTTGTTGAATGACTGTTTCTTGTACATTTCTTGTAATGCGCCCAAATTATTGTCCAAAGAATGTTCCTATAGCGGTTCCAAAATGATTTCCTAAACACACGTTTGTGCCCCTCTAAATAGTCATTTTGAAAGCCAGATTTAGTTTTTCTCTCAAACAGAACCAATTAAATCGTGGAAAAAATTCGCGCGCTTGTGTACAATTATAGCAAGCATACTATTGATGTACCTGCTGAATTATCTGGTCTTTCGTTGACCTCAGTGTAATGCATTTTAGCCGAAAATTTGCACAGAAATACGTCCCCCGCTTGTTGACTTTTGATGAAAACGTTGGTTGTGTCGTTGCTTGCCATGCTTGTTGGACCACTTGGATGTGAACGAGAACTCTTTGGAAAAAATCATTACTGGGGATGAATCGTAGTGTTATGAGTACAATGCTAAGACAAAAGGTCAATCGTCACTGTCGAAGGCCACGAACAGCCTTGCCCGAAAAATGCCTAGTAAGTCAAATCGGCTGTGAGGACAATGTTGATATGGTTCTGGTTCTTCCATTATGACAACGCTCCAGCTCACACAGCCATCTCTGTACGTGACTTTTAGGCGAAAAACCACGCAACACCGCTTCCTCAACCACCGTACTCGCCTGATCTTCCACCCTGAGATCTATTTTTTTTGTTCCCTGTGATGAAAACGGAGCTGAAAGGGAAATGTTTTGCAGACAATCCAAAAGTGAAAGGAAAACAGAAGGTGGCCCAGCAAGGCATCGGAAAGGACGAGTAGCAACGAGAAGTGTATCGTGCAATGGAAAAAACATTTGAACCAGTGCAAATGGAGTGTACTTCGAAGATGACTAACGTTTGAAACCCGAAAAAATAAATTATTTTTTTTTTAAACTGGTGTTTGTTATTTTTGCCCCCCTCCCTTTATTTTATTTAAATGGGAGAATGATATAATTCAAATAACATTTACTAAATATTATATGGTCCTCATATAATCAAAGGAATATTGAAGAATGGAGCAATGATTCCCTGATGACGCCATTCTAGACAATTGCCAAGATTATCTGAAGAAATTAGAGACATGTAACATATGGCAGATGCGTTGTTTGTACCTAAACAGAACCTTTTTACTCACCTCCAGAAGGAAGCACCTTGAACGGCTCGTCTGACTCTAAAGGCTCGCTTAAACCAATCTCATTCTTTGCAAAAATCCTAATCATGTACTCATGATCCTCCTGTAAGTCTCTGATAGTGAATTTCTGTACGCCTTTTTGCACCCTGCCGATTTCCATCCACATTGTTTTCTTGGTATCCCTTATGGCAATGTTGTAACCCAAGAGTGGAGCACCACCGTCTGATTCAGGTATGCCCCATTCGATGACTATGGCGTTAGGTCCTATGGTTCTAATTTCCAGTGGTGGCGTGGGGGGAGATGGTACAGCTATAAAATAAATGTTTTGTGTCTTAAATACCAATTGTCTTACCGGCTTAAAATATATTTGTGAACATTATATTTCTGAATATATGGTAATGCTTCTAATGGTGTATATTTATTTTTCAATTACATTGAAATCTAGTAAATTATAAAAATTTCAATAGCATCTCTTCTTATGTACACCCGAGTGTACACCCTTTGGTACCAAATACTTATACAGTCTGTTTCATTTCAAATGAATACAGAGCCATATCTTCTTTCACAAGGAACATAGAGAAAAAATTTTTGACTGTTGTTTAAAGGCCATCTCTATGCACTTTGTGGTACCATAGTGTGTAGTCTGGGTCAAGCTATGATGTTACCAAAGCGAAAAAGCAAAGTGGCCGATAAGAATAAAGTAATGTCAGCGATGGTCGTTGAGTAATATTTTGTTAATAATAAATATAATATAATAATTTTAAAAGCAAAAATGAAAAAAAGGTAAGTTTTAACTTTTCACACAGGTACTTACTAGCATGAGTTCTCATTTTAACAACTTCTGACATAGCTGGAGCACTTAAACCAACAGAATTTTCAGCTGATACCCGGAACAAATAGTCACTCTTCTCCTTAAGATTCTCGAATGTGTATTCTAGGACGAAAGGCTCCAGCGTATATACTTTTTCCCATTTAGGAACATACTCCAGTTTCTTTTCAACAACGTAACCCGTAATTTCTGTTCCGCCATTATTCAGTGGTGGTTCCCACGTTAAGGTGGCGCTTCTGCTTGTTACGTCTTTTACGTTTAGATTGATAGGCGGTGAAGGAGGCGCTAAAATGTAACATTTAAATTGTAGAAATACGTATCGTGAGATTTAGTTAAGACATAACTGCTTCACGAAAGTGTTTGCTTTCATTTCGGTCGTAAAATGATTAAACGATTCATTTTCGAGGTACAGAAATATTTGAAAAATAATGCATTCTTCAAATATCTCTGAAGATGTTGAAAGTAGATCGGGGAGAGTTAAACTAGCGACTTAACTAAGTAATTAAATTAACTTCTAATAATTTATGTTAAACACGTTCTGAGATACTCGTGTAATCATTTTCCAAAAACTTCAACACTCTCTGCCGTGAACATCTTTCGGTCAAAAATGATCGAAGCAACTTCCTGAAGTTTTAGAAAACACTGTGTACAAATGGCATGCTTGTGACACAAAAGAGTCCATGAGTTGTAGATTAAGTAAGTAACTATAGTAGAATAGTATTCGATGCAAAGTAGAGGAAAAAATTATCAGCCTTTTATCAAAGGAAAATTGTGTCATCATTTTTAGGATGCGTAAGATGAACCGTTTCAAATTTAAAATGAAATTGAATGTAAAATCTGAACGTGAACTGATTCCTTCATCCCTTCATAATGCATAAAGAAATTACTCAATTTCTAAACCCCTTAACACCATACTGCACTGGATCCCTTGACAGGCAGTGATTTATTACTACACATCAAATATGATCCTACTATAGTAGAATATCCACTGTGCAACAAAACACAAGAGTATTTCAATTTTTTTTATCAAAATTCGATGGAACTTACTTTTCTTCTACAATTGAGACTCCATAAGTGAGATTGGTTACCTACCATTTATAATTCTCCTTTAGAACTGATTCTTTCCAGAAAACTTTTGATTTGAATAAAGAAGGGATATTAGTTTCAAAACATCATTTTAATGGCAAATAACTTTGTAAAGACCATTTAGAAAAAGTAATTAATAAAAATAATTACAATAGATCAAATTAAACACTATTTTCTGCTTAGCAGTGCCATTTATTTAAGTGAATAAATTAGAAATATAGATTACCGAACATTAGAGATCTGGACACAACCATGAGATTGTGCAATAGAGTAGCCAGTCTGTCTACCAAACTTAATGCTCCTCGATTTTTCCATGGTAGAGATTATTTGTAAAAAAAAGTTTTCCTTACAATTTCTAAAATTTAGATAGCAAATCTCACTTATTGAAATAATCGTAGTCAAGAGTTACACTATATTTAAATTTAAATGTTGTTAGTTTTTTTTTGTAATAATGAAGCAAAATTGTGTTTTTAAGACTTTGGTAGTGTTGTAAAAAGACATTGTATTAAAAATACTCACTATGCGTGCTAAGTTTTGCAGGAGGAAAAATGCCTAATAAGCAATAAAGCGTTTCGTCAGTTTTTTCAAACTGGTAATGGATTCCTAAGGCAAAAGCGTTAAATATGCATAAATATTAAATAAATAAAAAAAACAAAAAATAAATATAGATTAGTTAAATGTAAAAATATAAGTTAATAAAAACGTACTTATTCTGGATCCAGCGACTATAATGTCTTCTGGCAGGTAGGGGTCGCTAATTCCTATCGAATTTCTGGCAGTTATACGGAATTTATAGCCATGTCCCTTTTCCAAGTAGTTTACGGAAATGTTAGTGATATTGCCTTTTGTGGCGCCAATCTTTTTGAAGCCTTTCTTAGACGTGGATTCTTTTATTTCTACTATATATTCAATGATGTCTGATCCACCATCAAATTCAGAAGGTTGCCATTGGAGTGTAAATGAAGTATCCGACATTCCAGAAACGTCAAGGGGAGCTCGAGGCGGTGAAGGTTTTTCTAAAATGTTAAAGTTTTGTAACGGTTATAGACACTAAGAACAATATTCCTATTGACAAAGACTTTGTATTTCTTAAATGCTTGGTAATATCTTCCACAAATAATATAAGACATAGGACGCATGGCAGTATAAAATTATAATGCCCGTGAGAAGTAATTGAACCAAAATATGGATGTACGGTTCGAATGAATTAAAAAAAAAAAACAAAATTGTTTTTACATTAGTATTAGTTTTTTTTTACGGAATGATGCATGTCTGGAAGAAATTATTAAAAGGCTAAAAGCTGTGTTCCTTAAACGATGTATTTATTGTATGTCATAATTTTCTTAAAGGAAACATTTACTTGTATGTTTATAACATATCTTATATATTTTTTAATAAACTGAAGTATTAATTATATTAGCTGTAATATTTTATTGCAACCCTCCATCGTATGAGTATACCTATACACTATATATTTCACTTTTCATGGAGCCACCCTTACATATGTCTTATTTAATATCGAAACATTCACTTTCTTACAAGAAATAGTTGCCTGTAAAGAGATTATTCTAATATAATTTTATTTTAGTTTGGTTTTGAATCACAAAAAGGATATACTTTTAATGAAAGATATATTAGCGAATTTTTTTAGCTAAAAATATAGCTATATTCTAATTTAGCATCCACAGAATTTTTTCTAGAGCGAATTTGAATGAAATATCTTTAGTGATCGAGTTCCAAACATTAGGACCCGAACATTTAGTTTGTTTTTTACATTTGTGTAACCATTAAACTTAAATAAGCTTTTACTTTTTGTAAAGCTATTAAATTATCGAGCAAACTTTATTGATCATAAAAATAAATGAGGTACATGCCAAAAGAACTAACAAATAATTATCCAACTTCCTCTTTTTATGAATTTTCAGCCCTTTTTTTTGTTTTTATTGTTTTGTTTTTTCATTTTTTCGTAGTAATTTTACCATACGTTGGCCTAATTTTCTATATATTCTCTAACACGAATCCTATCCTCAAACTTTGTCTTAATAGTGCTTCAGAAATGCTAAACAAGAATATATTACTAATTTTTAGATTTATAATGTCCACCCATTTTTAAATTTTAGAACCGGATGCATATGACTATCAAATTCGGTTGTAAGTATCAAAATAATGTTTATAGAGATAGTTATTTCATCCTAAAATATCAAAAACATAATTAACCCGTGTTATAAAGATGACTCCAGAAAAGTAAAACAGAAGCAGCTACTTCTGGTTGTAGACAATATGATAATTTTATATATATCCACTGACCCTCTTTTCTCGATTTTCCTCTACTACTCGACCGCGTACGCGCGCTCGGTCGTTCTTGAGCATGTTTGTAGTATTATAAGTATTTCTACATTTAAAATCCGGCTGAAAAATTAAAATCGGACCACCTTCAACACATCCAGAAATTTTGCAAAATAGTGCACCAAAAAATTCAAATTGCAATCATGCCAAATCCAATGATGGTCCGACAGCGCCTGCTTTGTGCACACTTAAATATAAATCACTACTTTTATGCACATGGTCAGCTCTACAACTTAAAAATTGTCAGAGTAAAGAGTTAAAAAAAAGCTAAATTTTCTTGAGTTTTCTTCGTTTCTAAATATCCGATCGGATCGACCTCTCGTTTTATTCGTATTTCGATTCTCCACAGCATCCAGATTTTTTGATTGCTTGAAGTTTAGGTTTTATAAGCAAAAAACAAAAAAATGCATATATCTATAGACTGTCTTTTATATGATGGTACAGTCCGTTTGCTACTAGTAACGAGCGTTCAAATAAAAACGTGGTCGAAGTTGGCTCTGACACATTGGACGTAAGGAGTAGCTTATAGCGACCAACTTAACCTCATTTCTCAACGAGCTGTATAGCAGCTGTCAGTTTCAATAACGTTAATGACTATATAACTTTATTATAACAATAACAAACAATTAAAGGAGCTGCGGAAAGTGTCCCCTCCTTGTTCCAAGCACTTTTCACACCTGTTCCTCAAAGAATTAAAGACATTTTCTAAGATGCTCGGCGTATTGTTAATTTCACGAATCTTGTCTATAAGTCGAGCCTGCAGATGGTTTAAATCAGGAATAGGCAGTTCAAAAATAGTGTTTTTAAGGTAAGGCCACAAAAAGAAATCACACGGCGTAATATCACATGACCTCGGGGGAAATTCATGTTCAGCATTGAGACTTATTAGTCGATTTTGGAAAAGTTCCCTCAACATATTCATCGTCTCGCCTGCCGTATGTGCCCTTGCGCCATCTTGTTAAAAGTAAAAGTTTGTAATTTCGTTTTCTTCCAGCTGGTTAACAAAAGGAGCGATAATTTCTTCTCTATACCTTTGCGCAGTAAGAGTATCATTAAAAAAAATAGGTCCATAAATAATCCTTCGATTGAGAGCACACCAAACTCCAATTTTTTGAGCGTGTAGAGGGCCCTCGACAAAAAAGTTATCTGGTTTTTCAGAAGACCACATTCTCATATTCTGTGAGTTTATGTAACCACTTAAATGAAACCAGGCTTCATCAGAAAAAAAGGTGATATTATGAAATTCACCGTAGTTGTTTAAAAACCATTCACAAAATACAGCCCGTCGCGGAAAATCAACTTCATGAAGTTCTTGCTGACAAGTTAAACGATAGGAGAACAAACGCAAATCTTTTTTTAACACTGTGTGGCAGGTACCGACTGATACTCGCACCATTTGTGATAAAACACGTACAGAAGTTCTTGGCGCATTTTCCATTATTCGTTGGACATTTTCTTTTAATTCTTCAGTCCGCTTTTTAGGTCGGCCGCTTTCTTCTTTTCTTGTTACACTGCCCATTTCACGAAAAACATTAACAATGCTGAACTGCACTTTGAAAAATTTTGTACTCAACAACGCCGGGAAATTGATTTTGAAATTCTATGAAACATTCCTCAATAGAATACTTCCATATTTCATCAATCTTGCGTCCATTTCTAAAGTAGGACTCTTTGATAAACACTTTTTGTTCTTGAGAAAACACCATTTTAAACGCTTTTTAAAACGAAAATATTCAAATTGATAGCGGCGATATAGCGCTTTGACAGATGACGTTTAAGTTCATTTGCTATACGCTACGCCCTACGTCCAAATTTTCAGAACCAACTTGACCACGTTTTTATTTGAACGCTCGTTATTTTTTGGCCTATACCCATATGTAATATATTTTCGACTAATTTTACTTACCTCCGATTTTAAGTTTTGAGGAAGTCTTGAGCTTGTACTTTTCAACAGTACAAGAATACTCATCTTCGTCCTCACGGGTTGTTTTGCGAACTACTAATTTTCTGAACGTGTGATCTTCGGTTATCGTATACCTGGATGATCTTTCAATTTTTCTATTATTTCTAAGCCACGTTACTTCGACGTCTTCTCTAGATAGCTCCACGAGGAATTCAGCATCAGTCTCAATAGGAATTATAGTGTATTCTGGTAGAGGTTTTATAAATGTACACGTCGGAACTTGTACTGTTAAGGAAGCTTTCGATGATTGGTTGCCCACCTACAATGATATAAAGATTTATTTAATACAATATCTAATATTTGATGTATAAAAATGTTTTTTTGGAACTTCTTTAGTAACAATTTAAGATTTAAAAGATTAGAAGTACGTGTCACGTGTTCAACAACCTTTGTATCCATACAATCGACTGAATTACTCACCTCGCATGAATAAATACCCTCGTCTTCAGGTCCAGAATTATAAATCTTTAGTTTTTGACGTTTGCCGTCAATAGACAATTGTACGTGTTCTGAAAATTGAATTTCTCTACCATCTTTGTACCACCTTGCTAATGCGTCACCTTTAGACAGTTCTATTTCAAATACTGTTTTTTCTCCTTTCATTACAGTTTTATCTTGAAGTGGAGTTATTATTTCAGGAGGTAGTTCGATTACAGTTACCTCAGCTTTGCATTCTTCTTCCAAAAGTGTACACGAATATTCACCTTCATCATGGATGGAAGTGCTTCGGATGAGTAATTTTCTTACACCTCTATCCTTCTCTGTTTCAAATTTATCATTGTCGTCATCTAAAACTATTCCATCTTTGTACCAAATTACCTCGGCGGTATCTGATGTAATTTCTACTTCCAATATAGCTGTGTCTTTTTCTGTTATTTCTAAGTCTTGTAGTTTCCTGACAAATTCAAGCTTACGCTGTTGTACCTTCACTGTGGTCTCGGTTTTCTGATTTTTAACGGTACATTTGTAGTGACCTTCATCTTTCAGTGATATATTTTTAATAACAAGTTTATGGGTTCTCCCATCCTGAATTACTAATCGGTGATCCATTCCACTGATCTCTGTGTCATTGAACCACCATTTGGTACGGACGGAATGAGACGTTTCACATTCTAGTTCGAGGGTGTCCCTTTCTGACGATTCATACAATTTCTTAAGTTTCTTTGTAAATTTAACCGTGTCTACTTCGACGGAGATCCTTGCGCCATGTGACGCTTTACCCATAGAATTGACAGCAATGCATTTATAATCTCCAGAATCAAATTCGGAATTGGTTTCCTTAATAGACAGTTCTATATTTTCACCGTCGTATAAAATTCTTAGACGATCCGAGGGTTCCAAAGGTTCATTATTGCGAAGCCAAGTCACTTCGGGGATAGGATTTCCAGTAACTTTTGCTCTGAGCACCAAAGGACTTTTTTCGGGTATGTTTTGCTCTTCAAATCGTTTTACGAACATGGGTGGTTCCAAGTTTTCAGGGAACTCTGAAATATTATATAGTCGTTAGTCTCTCTTATAACCTTAAACATATAAAAAGGTATTTGAAGCAAAAAGCAAAGACAAATGTAGATATAAAAAATTTATTGAAGAGCAGGTAAAAAAATATAAAAGCTGAGGCAATTTATTCATTTATTTCTCGTTAGCATTTTGCAAAAGCAGTTTTTTTCTGAAAAAAAAAGAAAAACGTGTTAGTTTATTTGCGTAGCCACTATAAAACAATGAAATAAATTTTACCCTCGACTGTCAATTTCGACGTGGTTTCTGCAGTTCCAAGAGGATTAGTTGCTTTAACCGTATATTCTGCGGAATCACTTAATTCAGCACGTCTTATCTTTAAAGAATACGTGTTTCCATATTTAGCTAGCAATGCATTAGATAGTGGCTTATCGTCCTTAAACCATTTAATTGTAGGTTCTGGATTACCAACAATCGTGGTGCTGAGTGTTATTTCTTCTGTTTTTCTTACGGTAATCGACCGTAGTGGTTCCAAAATTTCTGGTGGCTCTTTCTTATTCGTTAATACCTTTAATGTAAATTCAACCGATGATTGTCCCTCTCTATTTTTAGCTACAATTCGGTATCTACCTTCTTGTTTTCTTTCGATTTTTGTTATCTTCAGAATCGTTGTGTATATATGTGTTTCGGATGTTGAAACTATTGATACGTTACCTTTCGAAGAAATACGTTTTCCGTTGCGATACCATTTTATGTCTGGTTCTGGAATGGCTATTAAAGAGCTTTCAATTTCTAGGTCCGATTCCTCGGGTATAGACTGGGACAGAGGTTTCTTAGAAAATATTGGGGGAACTCCTTCTAAAATATCTGCTAGGGATGATGTTCTGGATAAGCTTTTTCTTGAAATTGATGTTAAATCAGATCCATGAGAGGAAAGAGGATATTCTACTGTTAGTTCAGTCGTACTTGATGCGAAACCTGCTGAATTCTTTGCCACGCAGGTGAATGTTCCAGCATCTTCTGGAAAAACTTCCTTAATGATAAGTGTCGCAGTATTGTCTTCATCATAAAACATCTGAAAATCTATAGATTCTTTAATAATATGTGTTTGTCTGAACCAAGTAATTTGGGGTCTTGGGAATCCCTCCACGCGGCATTCAAATTGTACCGTATACCCATCAGGAGTAGTTATTGGTTTCAACTTTTCAATAAATCTTGGTGCCCTTGCAGTCTCTTGAGATTTTGGCTCTGAAATGTGTTTATTGTTAAACGATGTACTAATTAAAATACTAACCGAACTTACTTTCAAACACTGGAAGTTTGTCAATCTTTTCGTTTAATTTTCTTTGGACGTATTTAACATACTGTGTTTCATCCATAAGAATTTTCGCCGGAACCCATCCGCTTTCTTCTGTTAGATGTTTCTTGACAAACCACCAGTCGGCACTGTGGGTTTCAACCACGTATACCTTTTCACCTTCAACTAGATCTATAGCCTGATCAGCTTCGGCATCATAGAAACTTATTGAATAGAAGACATCACCTTTTTCTATGTCACCCTCATGTATTACCTCGAATTCGTCGTCGAAAATCTCCTTTTCTTTGGTTATGCTTAACGTAACTGCTTCTAAAAATAAATAAGGAAAAAATATAACTTATATAAATGCTTAGCTTTAAAGGGATCACAATATTCTAGCGACCTTTCATGAAATCCTGATTTTTAGCCTTTTTTTCACAATATTTCAGGCACATATCCTGGATCTGTTTACTTTCTTTTAAGGCATAAAGCGCCACAATTTCTTTTATATTTAACCTACTTCGTATTTACTCGGGTTATTGATTGTCATTTGTGGGATACCGAATCATATTGTATAGAAAACTAAACATTAAGACTTACCTTGATCGAATGATGGCACAGATGCTTTCCTTTTAGGTTTCAAAGTAACAGTCTGTTCTTCGAAATCAACTTGTTCAGTAGGTTTCTTTAGACTAATTTCTGCTTCATCTTCTTCAAACACGGAATATTTTCGCGAAGGTTTTCTCTTGAACGCAACGTGGAAACTTCCCGATATTTCGTCTGGGGATATATCTTCAGCATCGCTTCCTTCGTCTATAATTTCCTCAATAACCGGACCTTGGTCTTCAATTTCTTGTGTTACTTTAACTGTGTCCTCAGCAGTTTCCTCAGAGTAAGTAAGTGGTTTTTGTTTCTTCAATTTTACTTTTGTTGACATAGAAATCTCTTCTTCAGCATATGAATCTAGGGATATTCTAAACTCTTGTTCAACATTTTCCTTGGTTTTTGTCGTTCTAGGTCTGAATGTAACCGTTTCTACTTCAGTATATTCTGGTATTTCTGGCTCGGATGGTTTCCTTACAGGACGCAATTTTTTTATGGTAATTTCTTCGGAATGTTCGTCAGTAGAGGGTGTTTTGGTCGGTTTTTTCTTCAATTTAAATTCGGCTGTATCATCACTTTGCTCTACTGGTTTTATAGTTTCCTCAGATTCAGTTTCATCGACTTCTTTAGGTAGCTTTCCCTTGAATACCGCTTCATTGTCTTCATCAGATTCTCCTGGAATCGGCACATATTTTTGTACTGTAACTTCATCATCTGCTTCATCTTCTTGTTTTTTAGGTTTCTTTTTTATTTGAATTTCTTCTGATTCTTCCACAGGTTCCTTAGGTAGTGAAGGCTTCATTGATATTTCAGTGTCTTGTTCAGAGACTTCTTTTTCCTCTGGTTTGGGTTTCTTAATAACTACTTCTGTTTCCTCATTGTCCTCATCCTCAGGTTCTATTTTAGAAATAGGCATTATTTTCTTGACTGTAATTTCTACATTTTCTTCGTTCTTAGGAATACCTTTATCAGTTTTTTTAATGAAAGTTCCTTCAGTTTCATCTTCAGGTGGAAGTTTAAATGCTGCTTCAGTCTCTATTTCAGACGTTTCTGTGTCGTAAGGTACGAGTTTTTTCACTGTAAGTTCAGTTTCGGCTTCATCTGGAGCTTGACTTTTCTTTTTGGGCTTCTTTATGGTTATTTTTGTCTCGTCATCTGATGGTGGTTTGGATTTAATTTCGGTATCTATTTCTTCTTCTTCTTTCGTAATAGGTACGATCTTTTTCACTGTAACTTCCGCACTCTCCTCATCTTGTGGTATATCTTTATTATCCCTCTTAATAAAGGTTTCTTCGGCTGCATCATTTGGGGTAGGTTTAACTGTTACTTCAATCTCATCTTCAGTTTTTTCCTTGGGTATGGTTTCCTTTTCTGGTTTCTCTATAAATGGTTCCTGTGATTGATCTTCTAGTGGAGGTTTTACTTCTTCTTTCTCAATTTCTTCATCTTTTGTGATGGGCACAATTTTCTTAATGGTAATTTCATCGTCCCCTTCATCTTCTTTAGTTTTTGGGACCTTATCTTTAACTATAGCTTCTTGAGTTTCGTCTTTTGGTGTTGGCTTAATTGTTACTTTAATATCATCATCAGATGTGTCCACTTTCGGAACAAGTTTTGCTATAGTAATTTTAGTATCATCTTCTTCAGGAGTTTTGGCCGCCTTTTTAGGTTTCTTAATAGTAATATTTTCTAGTTCCTCTGTTGGCGATTTTAATGCTTCTTCAGGTTGTTCAGTAAATTCTGTTTTTTCTTCTGATTCTTCTATTGGTTTGGGTAACTTCTCATCAGTTTCCTCCGCTTGTGGAAGTATTTCTTTCTTTATAATTAGCTCAGCTGTTCCTTCATCGCTTGCATCTTTCTTTGGTTTTTGAGGTTTTACTTTTACAGCAATTTCCTCAGTAGAATAGGCGTTCTCATCGTCAGTAGGTTTGTCTTTTTCCAAAGTAAATGAAACCTCAGCCTCTGTTTCAGTATCTGGTTTAGGTTTCTTGTCTTTTCTCTTTTTAATTACTACTTTTTCTATAACTTCTTCAGGTGGAACTTGTTCTGTTTCTTCGATTGGTTCTTTTTGAAGAACGGTAAATTCTGCTTCTACATCTTCACCTTGTTGTTTAACATCGGGAAGGTTTTCTTTCGGCTTGATAACTGTATCAATTTTCACTTCACTTTGTTCTTCAGATGGTTGTTTTGGTAATTTTATTATTTCTTCTACGTCTTCCTTTACCACCGGTGCTTTACGTTTAATAACTACTTGGATGGTATCTTTTTCTTCAGTTGGCACAGGTGCTTCATCAATAGTTTCTGGAATTTGCTCAGCTTTCTTCTCTTCTGTTTTAGGTTTCTTTTTCTTTAACGGCTTCTCGACTTGTTTGTCCTCTACATCTTCTGGTAATTCCTCTTTCACTGGAGTAGTTTCTTCTTTAATTTCTTCTTCAGAGATTGCAACGGGGCTTTCTCTTTCTTCTGGAATTTCTAGCTCTAATTTTTCTTCAGTTTTGTCCTCTGGTTTTGGTTTCTTAGATTTCTTTTTGATAACTACTTCAGTAGTATCTGTAACTATTTCAGTAGTATCTGGTCTTACTATTAATTCTGCTTCTATAGCCTCTTCTGGCTCCTTCTTAGGTTTTTGCTTCTTAATAATTATCGTCTCCGTTTCTACTTCAGTTTGATCTTCAGTAGATGGTTGTTTCTTTAACATTTTAACTTCCACATCTAATGGTTCTTCGGGTACTTTTGACTTCTTTTTCAAAACAATTGTTTCTGATAATTCAGCTACTGGAACTTGTTCTTCATCGGTTGGCTTTTCTGGGATCTCTTCTTTTGCTTCGTCTTTCTTTGGTATCTTCTTTTTCAGTTTTCTTTTTTCCGGTGCTTCATCTTGAGCTTGTGGAATTTCTTTTAATTGTGCTACAGGTTTTTCAGGCTTCTCTGTTTCATATGTATTTTGTTCTTCTTCGTCTTTAGGTTTATCAAATGGTTTTAATGTTATATTCTCGGGTTCTGTTTCTGGTTTATCCTTTTGCACAGTTTTGAATGTTTTTTGCTCCTCTGGTTCTTGTTCACTTGATTTCGGTAAACCTTTTTCTATAGGTGTTTCGATAGTTTCCGGTGCTGGTTTCTGTTTATCTTTGGGTTTGTATTTTCCTTTTTCTTTTGTAGGTTTTTCCTTATCCGGTTTATCATATTCTGGCATTTCTAATTCTAATTTTTCAGGTTCATCGCGATCAATATCAAATGGTTCAAATGGTGCTACCTTGACATCATCTTTTGCAACTATTTCTTTAGTTTCTTTTTCATCTACTTTAAATATTTTTTCTTTAGCAACATCGTCTGGTATTTCCTCATCTCTTTTTTCGGGACGTTTTTTCAACTGTATTGTATCTTCTGTTTCAGATTTTTCTGGAATCTTGCCTTTTCCAATTTTTAGGGGAATAGTTACTTCTTCCGTTGGCTCCTGCTTCTCTTTGGGTTTCTTTTCATATTTGTAAGCTTCGTCGACTTTTTCAGGTTCCTTTTTCTTAAGCTCTTCAAATTCCATATCTAACTTTTCTAAATCTTCAAGTTCCTTTCCTGTATCTTTCAGTTTTCGAACCTTAGTCTTTATTTTTTTCTGCGCTTCTTTTATGTTCCTAGAAATCACTCCATTATCTTTCATTGCATCTATATTTATTACTTGTGGTATTTGCAAAATTTCGGTACCAGATGGAAAATCAATATAAACAATTCTACTTTTAAGTTTAAATTTAGGCATTTTAACTGGTTTTTCTTCTTTCTGAGGAATTTTCTTTTTAACGGTTTTTGGTACATCTGGTTTTTTAGGAACTTCTTCTTCTGGCTTAACTTCCTCTACAGGAACTGGTTTTTTAATAGCAAGACTTACATCTTCAACTTGTTTAAGTTTTTCTTTAGGTTTCTTTTCATATTTATATGCCTCGTCTACCTTTTCTGGTTCCTTCTTCTTAAGCTCCTCAAATTCTAAATCCAATTTTTCTAAATCTTTCAGATCTTTTTTTAAGTCTTTGGGTTTACGTTTTTTTGTTTTTATTTTTTCCGCATCTTCAATATTTCTTGAAATTACTCCATTATCTTTTGTTGCATCTATATTTGAAATCTGTACCAATTGCGATTTTTCTGAGTCTGATGGGAAGTCGACGTACACAATTCTACTTTTCAGTTTAAATTTGGGTGTTTTGACCTCTTTTTCTGGTTTCTTTGGAATCTTCTTTTTAATCTTAATAGTAGTTTGTTCGACGTCTTCTAATTTTTTAGGTTTCTCTGATGTTTCTTCCTCGGTTTTGAACTCATCTTCTTTCAAGGACGGCCTTTCAGTTGGTTTAAGAATTTCTGATTCGGAAGGCTTTTCCTCTAAGACCTCTTCCGGAACTTCATCTTCTTCTAATTTCTTTGGAATCTCTTCCTCCAGTTCTGTTTGAGCGGATTCCGGTTTTGGCTTTTCTTTCTTTCTTATTACTTTGGGTTTCGGCTCTTCTTTTATATCCGGTTGTGTAGGTACTTCTTCTTCAGCAGAAGCGGGTTCAATATTTTCTTTTTCTTCCTGCACTGGTGTTTCAGGTTTTTTCTTATGAATTTTCTTGGTAACTTTTCTTTTTCTGTCCAAATCTATTTCATCTGAGTCCGGTTTGATATCCTCCGTTTTTTGTGTAGGCAATTCAGGGCCTTCAATTTTGACTTTATGAACTTCTATTGCCTCATCAGGTTTTTTGAATGGTTTTAATGAAATTTGTTCGGGTTCCTCTTCAGGTTTTTCTCTTTGAAGTTTCTTAAGTTTAATTTCCTCTTCAGTCTCAGGTATAGGCGGTTTTGGAATACCCTTTTTAATTGGTATTTCAACGGTTTCAGGCACTGGCTTTTCCTTTTTCTTCTTCACTAATTTTGTTTTAGGTTTTCTAGGTTGATCTGTGTCTTCTTTTTCAGAATCAAAGTGATCAGGTTCCAATTTTTCAGGCTCGTCATGATCAATATCAAAAGGTTCAAATTTGAGATTATCGGTCTCTTCAATGGGTTTGTCTTCAGTTGGTTTTTCCTTACTTTCAGGTTTTGGTTTAACTTTATGTTCTTCCTCCAACACTATTTCAGTAGGTTTTTGGGGAGTTTTCTTCAACGTTACTGTTTCTTCTTGATCTACATTATCAGGGATTTTTCCTTTTCCCATTTTTAAGGATATAGGTGTAACATCTTCCACTTCAAGCGGTTTCTTAGGTTTCTTTTCATATTTAAATGCTTCATCAACTTTTTCTGGTTCTTTTTTCTTTAGTTCTTCAAATTCCTTATCAAGTTTTTCTAACTCAGGCGTTTCCTTTTCTATATCTTTGAGTTTCTTACGTTTGATCTTTTTAATTTTTTCGGCTTCTTCTACATTTCGTGAAATTACTCCATTGTCCTTCACGACAGGTTTTAAATCAGTAATTTTAGGTTTTGTTTCAGCCTCCTCGAGGGGTGGAAAATCAATATATCTAATTCTGCTTTTAAGTTTAGGGAGCTTTACTGATTTTGGTTTTTCTTTCCGTATTACTTTGGGTTTCGGCTTTTTAGGCTGTTCTTTTATATCCGGTTGTGTAGGTACTTCTTCTTCAGCAGAAGCGGGTTCAATATTTTCTTTTTCATCCTGTACTGATTCAGGTTTTTTCTTATGAATCTTCTTGGTAACTTTTCTTTTTCTGTCCAAATCTATTTCATCTGAGTCCGGTTTGATATCCTCCGTTTTTTGTGTAGGCATTTCAGGACCTTCAATTTTGACTTTATGCACTTCTATTTCCTCATCAGGTTTTTCGAATGGCTTTAATGAAATTTGTTCGGGTTCCTCTTCAGGTTTTTCTTTTTGAAGTTTCTTAAGTTTAATTTCCTCTTCGGTCTCGGGTATAGGTTGCTTTGGAACACCCTTTTTAATTGGTATTTCAATGGTTTCAGGGACTGGCTTTTCCTTTTTCTTTTTCACTAATTTTGTTTTAGGTTTTTTAGGTTGATCTTTGTCTTCTTTTTCGGAATCAAAGTGCTCAGGTTCCAATTTTTCAGGTTCGTCATGATCAATATCAAAAGGTTCAAATTTCAGTTTATCGATCTCTTCAGAGGGTTTGTCTTTAGTTGTTTTTTTCTTATTTTCAGGTTTTGGTTTAATTTTATGTTCTTCCTCCAACACTATTTCAGTTGGTTTTTGGGGAGTTTTCTTTAACGTTACTGTTTCTTCTTGATCTACATTATCAGGGATTTTTCCTTTTCCCATTTTTAAGGATATAGGTGTAACATCTTCCACTTCAAGCGGTTTCTTAGGTTTCTTTTCGTATTTAAATGCTTCATCAACTTTTTCTGGTTCTTTTTTCTTTAGTTCTTCAAATTCCTTATCAAGTTTTTCTAATTCAGGCGTTTCCTTTTCTATATCTTTAAGTTTTTTACGTTTGATCTTTTTTATTTTTTCAGCTTCCTCTACATTTCTAGAAATAATGCCGTTGTCTCTCTTAGCTCCCAAATCAGTGATCTTAAGTTTTTGCAATATTTCTGATAAAGGTGGGAAATCCATATGAACAATTCGGCTTTTCAGTTTAAATTTAGGAACTTTGACACTTTCAATTTCCTTTTTAGTTGGTATTTTCGGTTTTTTAAGTTTTACATCGGCAAGATTTATCGCGTCTGGTTTATCTATATTTATAATTTTTGGTTTCTGTGCTATTATTTCCACATTTACAATTTTCATTAATACAGGTTTATCTTTCTTTGACTTTTTAGGTCTCTTTCTGTACTCATCATCAACTTTTTCAGGAGCTTCCTTCTTAAGATCTTCTAATTCCTGATCTAACTTTTCCAAGTCTTTAATCTTCTTAGAGATTTTCTTACGTTTTGGTTTTACTTTTTCGGCCTCTTCAATATTCCTAGATAAAATTCCATTATCTTTATGTACGGGTTCTAAAACAGTAACTATAGGTCTTTGTTCCTTTTCTGAGATTGGAGGGAAATCTAATCTCTGCAGTCTACTTTTTAATAATATTTTGGGTAGTGTTACATCTGTTTCTTTTTTCTTTCCAATTGGTCTTGATTTCTTTAGTTTTATTTCAGCAAACTCTGGCTTTACCTCCATAATAAGAGGTGTTTGTGGTTTAGCAGCTGTAATACGTTTAATCTTCATTAAAACTGGTTTTGTTGCTTGCTCTAACGGAGTTTCTTCCTCCTGTTTTTCAGTTTTCTTAGGTTTCTTTATTTTTTTCTTAATAATTCTTTTTGTTTCATATTCTTCAATTTGTTTGACAGTTAAAGGTTCTATAAATTCTTCTGATGGTTTCATCTCACTTATCGTTTCTGGAATAGATTGGTCCTTTTCATCTTCTAGTATTTCAGTTGGAACAGTTTCATATTGTGTTTCTTCTAAATCTTGTAATTCCTCACTAGGAGTTTCTTCTTTCACATTGCTCTTGGGGATTTTGACCCTTTTTATTTTCTTTTTTGATATGGTTGGAGTTTTCTCAGGTTCTTCTAATTCGAAATCTCCAACAGGAATTGCCGTATGTTTCATAGGCGAGTACTCCGTTGCAATTAGTTCTTCTTTTTCATCAGACTTTTTAAACGGTTTAAGTAAAATTTCCTCTGGTAATTCGTCTGGTTTATCCTTCTGCTTATATTTTAGTTTTATTTCAGGTTGTTCCTCTGGTGCTTTTTCTTTTGGTACTCCTTTTTGTAACGAACTTTCAATTGTTTCAGGAACAGGTTTTGTCTTCTTCTTTTTAATTTTCTCAGGAGCTTTTTGCATTTCAGGTTCTACTTCTGTGCTTTCAGGTTGCCCAGGTTCATATTTTTCTTTTATGGGCGATTCTCTTTCAATATCATATGGTTCAAAAGGTTTCATTGCAGGAGTTTCTCCTTCTTCCACATCAGGTGCAGTTTTTACAACATCTTCAGTCTTGGGAACGTTGTCTTTGACTTTTACAATTTTGTCCTCTTGTTTTTTCGGTATTTTTTTTAGACTAATAGTCTCATCGTCCTCAGGTTTTTCTGGAAGTTTTCCCTTTCCAATCTTAAGTTTTTTATCGTCCTCCGGTTGTTCAATTTTCTTTTTCTGCGGCTTGAAGCTTTTATATTCGTCGTCAATTTTTTCTAGCCCTTGCTTCTTTAGGTCATCAACTTCAAAGTCTAATTTTTCAAGATCCTTAATATCTCTTTCAATATGTTTTATGCTTATACGTTTCTTTTTTGGCAATTTTTCTGCATCTTTAATATTTCTAGATAGCACTCCTTTATCGCGGCAAACCGATGGAAGGTCAGTTATTTTAGGAATTCTTTCTGTTTCAGATTCCGGTGGGAAAGGAACAATATTAATTCTACTTTTCAACAAAAATTTAGGCATTTTAGATTTTTCTGTTTTTCTTGCTGGAGCTCTTGGTTTCTTTAACTTAATTTGTGCCAGTTCCACAGTATCTTCTTTAGGTGTAGTCTCTGGAAGTTGTGGTTCAACAGGTGCTTCATCAGTAGTAACTTCTGTCTGTAGTGGACTTTCAGTATCTTCTTCAATAGGTTCAGACAACGGCTTTTCTTCTTCCTGTAATATTTCTTCTTTATCTCCTACATCAAGTTTTTCTTTAGGCACTTTCTTCTTTACGACAATTTTCTTTTTGATTTTCTTGGCGTCATTATCACTCGTATCTCTAGGTTCTTCTGGTCTGTATTCATTTGTAGGCAATTCAGCAGTTTCCTTCGTTGAATCATATGGAATATCAATGACTTGTGGTAGCTCACCTTGGAATATTTCACTTACTTGCTCTTCAGTAACATGCAATGCATCAGAATCGGGATGTTTAGGCTTTATTTTTTTAATAATCTTCTTTTTCTTTGTTTCTTCAGTTTTAGGCGTATATTCAAATTCATCTTCATCGCCTGTTGTCGAAGGTATTTGTGACAGTTTCAAGTCGGAAGTAATTTCTGGTTCCATTTTTTCAGTTGACTTGTCCCGTTTAAATGGTTTAAGCGTAATATCCTCTGGCGGTTCTTCCGGCTTAGGTTTTTGTTTGTACTGCAAATTGATTTCTGGCTGTTCTTCTGAAGGTGTGGGCTTTGGTTTTCCAATTTCAATTTCACTTGTTTCGACTTCAGGCAAACGTTTACTCTTCTTTTTCTTTGGTGGTCTTACTTCTTTATTTTCTGGTAATTTTTTATCTTCGTCTTCGGGTACGGTAGGTTCATATTCAATTTTTTCTGGAGACTCTCGGTCAATATCATATGGTTTAAAGTCCAACTTGTCTACTTCATCCTCTGGTTTTCTTGGAATCTTTTTAGATTCACTAGGTTTCTTTTCTTTTTCCTTCTTCTCAGGTTTATCAACTTCCTCTTTCAATTTCTTTGGAATAGCTTTAAGTTTGACTATTTCGTCTTCATCTTCTGGCGGTAGAAGCTTGCCTTTTCCAGGTCGTATATCTTTGAGTTCATCTTTCGCAACGGATTTTTTCCTGGGTTGTTTTTCAAATTTGAACCCATCGTCAACTTGTTCCAGTTCCTTTTTCTTTAACTCGTCAAATTCCAAATCTAGTTTTTCTAAATCTTTCAAATTTAAATCTTTATCCCTTAATCTTCTTCTCTTCGTTTTTGGAATCTTTTTAGCTTCCTCAACATTTCTTGACAGCACTCCATTATATCTGTAAATTGGTTCAAGAATTGATATTCTTGGTAACTGTTCTTGTTCACTTATAGGGGGGAAGTCAATGTGACAAATTCGGCTTTTAAGTAAAAATTTCGGGAACTTTGTAACATCTTTTTTCTTTTGTGGAATTTTTGGTTTTCTAAGCTTAACATCGGCTAATTGAGAAATATCTTTCGTTTCGACTATTTTAGGTTTTTGAGGTTTAATTTCTTTATGTTCAATTGGCATCAGAATAGATACTTCTCTTCTCAACTTACTTCTTAATTCTGGTTTTTGATCAGTCGGAGTTTGTTCATCAGGTTTGAGTTTTTCCTTAGGCTTTTTCTTTATAACCTTTTGTTTCAGTTTATGAGGAACCGGTTCAACTAAATCAATTTCTTCTACATTTACAATGGTTTCAGGAGTTTTTCCTTCCTCTTCAGTAGTAACTATTTCTATTATTTCATCTTTTGTACCTTTAGGTTTTTTGATAACTCTCTTTTTTTGTAAAATTTTCTTTGGCTTGCCTTCAAGTGTAACAGTTTCAGTAACAGTTACTTCTTCAGGAAGCTCTTCTATGTATTTTACCTGTGACAATTCTGGACTTGGAATTTCTTTTACATATTCTTCAGGAATTTCTGATTCTGTAATTGTTACAGTTGTCTGTGGAGATTTCCCTGCCTCTTCTACTGTCAAAATTTCAGTAGCTTTCTCTTTTTTACCTTCACGCGTTTTTATTACTCGTTTCTTTATCAACTGTTTTTTAGGTGAACCTTCTTTTGGAATTATTTCAACAATTTTTATTTCTTCAGGAAGTTCTAGTATATAACTAGGTTCTTTTGGTAGAATTATTTCCTCTGGAATATCAGTTTCTTCTATAGTTACAGCAGTTGTGGGCTTCTTGCCATCTTCCTCAACTGTAGTTATTTCTGTTACTTCTTCTTTATTTCCTTTTCGTTTTTTCAGAACTCGTTTTTTGACAGTAATTTTTTTTGGAATACCTTCGTCACTTATCTCTTCAGATATTGTTATCTTTTCTGGTTCTTCAAAAATTATCACTTCTGGTGATTTTTTAGTTAGCTCTTCTAAAATTTGCTCCTCAGGTAAATATATTTCTTCAACCGACACTGTACTTACAGGCATCTTACCTTCTTCTTCTATGGTAACTATTTCAGTAATTTCTTGTTTACTTCCTTTTCTTTTTTTAATCGCTTTCTTTTTAATAACTTTCTTCTGTGGAACATCGCCCTTATATTCTTCTATTATCTTTACTTCCTCGGGGAGTTCTTCTATGTAAACAGGTTCTTCTGCTGAAGGTACAGTCTCTTCACAAGGAAGGTCGACTTCCATTATGGTGACCGTGGTTTCAGGTTCTTTGCCTTTCTCCTCGGCAGTAACAATTTCTGTTACTTCTTGTTTATCCCCTTTACGTTTTTTAATAGTTTTCTTTTTAACCGTTTTCGTTGGACTGCTCTTTGTTGTTATCTCTGTTACGCTAACCTCTTGGGGTATTTCCTCTATTTCCATTGCTGTACTTGGTGCTATATCTTTTTCTGTTTGAATAAGTTCCAAGGGCAAATCCATTTCTTCAATAACTACAGAAATCTGAGGCTGTTTGCCTACTTCTTCTACTGTTACAATTTTCGTTGTTTCTTGTTTATCCTTGCTGCGTTTTTTAATTGTTCTTGTTTTAATTATGGTTTGTTGAGGCTTACCGTCTTCAGCATCTTTCTCAATTATCTGAATTTGCTCTGGAAGTTCTTCAGAATAAGCTTCTGGTAAGTCCTTTTTCTTTTCTTTTTTCTTCTTAGGTTTCTTGATTTCGTCAGGTTTTTCTTCATCTTGAGGATGCTCATATGTTGGTTGTGAAAGTGCCTTCTTGAGGAGTTCTGTTTGAACCAGTTCTATAATATCTTCAGATTCAGGTTTATTTTGCAAAGTAGGAACAATAAGAATATTATCTTCGGAAATTAATTCCTGCTTTTCTGGTTTAACCTTCTTAACTTTTCTGATTTTCTTTACAGGTTCCTGTGTTGTATCTATTTCTTGAATAGTTACTGTAGTCTGTGGTAACTTTCCTTCTTCTTCAACAGTTAATATTTCTAAAGCTTCTTCTTTGCTACCTTTACGTTTCTTTATAATTTTCTTTTTGATAATCTTCTTTCTAGGACCACTTTCAGTCTCTTCTTCAGTAACTTGTACTTCTTCAGGTAGTTCCTCTATGAGCATAGTTGATTCCTGTTTTACAGGCGAAACTTCTTCCAAGGTCTCTTCAGGCAATTCTTCTTCTTCTACAGTTACTGTTGTCTGTGGCTTTTTTCCTTCCTCCTCAACGATTACAATTTCTGTAGTTTCCTGTTTGCTACCTTTGCGTTTCCGTATAACCCTCTTTTTTACTGTTTGTTTTTTAGGACCTTCTGCTGTCTCAACTTTAGTTACAGTCACTTCCTCCGGAAGCTCTTCTACTGAAGTTTCTTCAGGCAAATCTACTTCGTATATGGTTACTGTAGACTGCGGCTTCTTTCCTTCTTCTTCGATAGTTACAATTTCAGTGAGTTCTTGTTTGCTTCCTTTCCGCTTACGCATTACTTTCTTTTTCATGACTTGTTTTTTAGGTCCTTCTTCGGTGTCAACTTGAGTAATTGTTACTTCTTCTGGAAGTTCCTCGATAAGGGTTTTTGGCTCTAATTTTAAAACAGGCAATTCCTTTAAAACTTCTTCAGGCAGTGTTGTTTCTTCTATAGTTACTGTGGTCTGCGGTTTTTTCCCTTCTTCTTCAACAGTCACGATTTCTGTAGATTCTTGTTTGCTACCTTTGCGTTTCCTTATAACTCTCTTTTTTGTTGTTTGTTTTTTAGGACCTTCTGTTGTCTCAACTTGGGTAACTGTCACTTCTTCTGGAAGCTCTTCTACAAAAGTTTCTTCAGGCATATCTATTTCGTGTATCGTTAGCGTAGACTGCGGCTTCTTTCCTTCCTCTTCGACAGTTACAATTTCGGTGAGTTCTTGTTTGCTTCCTTTCCGTTTACGCATGATTTTCTTTCTGATGACTTGTTTTTTAGGTCCTTCTTCGGTGTCAACTTGAGTAATTGTTACTTCTTCTGGAAGTTCCTCGATAAGGGTTTTTGGCTCTAATTTTGAAACAGGTAATTCCTTTAAAACTTCTTCAGGTAGTGTTGTTTCTTCTATAGTTACAGTGGTCTGCGGTTTTTTCCCTTCTTCTTCAACAGTCACGATTTCTGTAGATTCTTGTTTGCTACCTTTGCGTTTCCTTATAACTCTCTTTTTTGTTGTTTGTTTTTTAGGACCTTCTGTTGTCTCAACTTGGGTAACTGTCACTTCTTCTGGAAGCTCTTCTACAAAAGTTTCTTCAGGCATATCTACTTCGTGTATCGTTAGCGTAGACTGCGGCTTCTTTCCTTCCTCTTCGACAGTTACAATTTCGGTGAGTTCTTGTTTGCTTCCTTTCCGTTTACGCATGATTTTCTTTCTGATGACTTGTTTTTTAGGTCCTTCTTCGGTGTCAACTTGAGTAATTGTTACTTCTTCTGGAAGTTCCTCAATAAGGGTTTTTGGCTCTAATTTTGAAACAGGTAATTCCTTTAAAACTTCTTCAGGCAGTGTTGTTTCTTCTATAGTTACAGTGGTCTGCGGCTTTTTCCCTTCTTCTTCAACAGTCACGATTTCTGTAGATTCTTGTTTGCTACCTTTGCGTTTCCTTATAATTCTCTTTTTCGTTGTTTGTTTTTTAGGACCTTCTGCCGTTTCAACTTGAGTAACTGTCACTTCTTCTGGAAGTTCTTCTACTAAAGTTTCTTCAGGCATATCTACTTCGTGAATGGTTAGTGTAGATTGCGGTTTCTTTCCTTCTTCTTCGACAGTGACGATTTCAGTTAGTTCTTGTTTGCTTCCTTTACGTTTGCGCACTACTCTCTTCTTGATAACTTGTCTTTTAGGTCCTTCTTCGGTGTCAACTTGAGTAATCGTTACTTCTTCTGGAAGTTCCTCGATAAGGGTTTTTGGCTCTAATTTTGGAACAGGTAATTCCTCTAAAACTTCTTCAGGCAGTGTTGTTTCTCCTATTGTTACAGTGGTCTGCGGCTTTTTCCCTTCTTCTTCAACAGTCACGATTTCTGTACTTTCTTGTTTGCCACCTTTGCGTTTCTTTATAATTCTCTTTTTTGTTGTTTGTTTTTTTGGACCTTCTGCCGTTTCAACTTCGGTAACTGTCACGTCTTCTGGAAACTCCTCTACATAAGTCTCTTCTGGCAAATCTACTTCATGTATGGTTAGAGTAGACTGTGGTTTCTTTCCCTCTTCTTCAACAGTAACAATTTCAGTGAGTTCTTGCTTGCCTCCTTTGCGTTTACGGATTACTCTCTTTTTAATAATCTGCTTTCTTGTGCCTTCTTCAGTGTCAACTTGAGTAACTGTTACTTCTTCGGGAAGTTCTTCGATAATATTTGCTAATTCTGCCTCAGGTTTGTCTGATATGATTTCTTCTGGCAAGTTTTCTTCTTGTATAGTTACAGTAGACCATGGCTTCTTTCCTTCTTCTTCAAGCGTTACAATTTCTGTGGACTCTTGTTTGTTTCCTTTGCGTTTTCGAAGCACTCTCTTTCTGATGGTTTGTTTTTTAGGTCCTTCTTCAGTATTGATTTGAGTGATTATTACTTCTTCTGGAAGTTCTTCAATGAGGCTTTTAATTTCAGGCTTTTCTGTATCAATTTCTTCAGGAAACTCCAATTCGTGGACAGTTACTGTAGATTCTGGTTGTTTTCCTTCTTCTTCGACAGTTACAATTTCAGTTAGTTCATGTTTGCTCCCTTTCTGTTTCTTAACTACTCTCTTCTTTACGACTTTAGTTTTAGGTCCTTCGTTAGTTTCCACTTGTGTTATTGTCACTTCCTCAGGAAGTTCCTCTATTAACATTACTGGCTCTAATACTTCTTCGGGCAAGTCGACCTCTTCTATAGTCACCGTTGACTGAGGTTTTCTTCCTTCTTCTTCCACTGTCACAATTTGAGTGGTTTCCTGCTTGCTTCCTTTTCGTCTTTTTATTACCCTTTTTTTAATAATTTGCTGTTTGGGTCCTTCTTTAGTTTCAACTTGAGTAACAATAACATTTTCTGGAAATTCTTCAACAGGTTTTGATTGTTGTGACATTACCTGTGGTATATCTTTCAGGGCTTCTTCAGATAATACTATCTCTTCTACTACAACTGTTGTCTTTGGTTTTTCACCCTCTTCCTCGACTGTTAATATTTCCGTTTTTTCCAGTTTGTCACCCTTGAGCTTTTTAATAATACGTTTCTTAATCCGTTTTTCCTTAGGTTTTCCATCTTCCAATAAGCTTCCGATGATCTCTACTACTTCTGGAAGTTCTTCTATAAATGTTCTTGTTTCAGGAACCTCTTCAATGGGTTTTTGGGTTTGAACCGCTTCTACAATAATAGATTCCTTTATATCATGGACTAAGGTTCCCTTGGCTTTAATAATTTCAGGAATTAGCCCACCTAAAACGTATTCATTATTATTTAATTTTCAAATTAACAATATGTCAGTTTATAAAGTCTTACCTACTGATGTATCCTGTGTTTGTTCAAATGTGTGTACTTCTGTAATTGTTTTTGTGGTAGTATGAGGTGTAATTTTTGGTGTAATTTCTGTTGCGTCTATTGTAAATTGAGTAGGAACAAGAGCCTCAGTTTCCATGTCATCAATACTTAATACCGTAATATTTACAATAACTTCAGGTTTTCTGCCTTCTTCTTCTATTGTTGTAATTTCTGTAACTTCCTTCTTATCTCCTACGTTCTTTTTTAGAACCCTTTTTTTGATTTTTCTGATAGGCGCTTTATCTTCTTTATCCTCCACCAAGTGAATCTGTTCAGGTATTTCTTCTATAATGGTTGCCTCCAAAGGAATCACTTCTTCCGTATTTATTTCTTCATTTACTTTAATAATTACTTCAGGTATTCCTCCTTCAGGAATTATTGTTTCTATGGTAGTTGTTTCCTGAATGGGTCCATGTTTTTTCCTTATAACACGTTTTCTTATAGTTTTCTTAATAGGTTTCCCTTCTGGCGATATATCTTTAAATTCTATAGTTTCTTCTGGTAATTCGTACACTTGTGTACCTAATGTATCTGGTCTTCCTATCGTCTCCCCTACTTTATATAGCTCTTTATCAGCGTCTGGTTTTTTAAACGGTTTTAATTTTATACTATCTGGTGGAACATCGGGCAAGTCCTTTTGCTTGAATTTATATTTTTTATCTTCATCTTCAGGTAGAGATTTTTCTTTAGGTTTTCCTGGCACAATGGTTGTTTCTTCTACTTCAGGTTCTTTTTTCTCCTTAGGTTTACTCAAATATTTTTTCTTTTTATCTTTCTTTTTCTTTTCTGTGGTATCTGCATCTAATTTCTCTGGTTTTTCTAAATCATAGTCATCTCTGTCAATATCATAAGGTTCAAATTTGAGAGGCTCCGTGTCTTCCTCATTCTTATCTGCTTTAATTTTTTTACGATCACTAGGCTTTTCTTTAGGTTTGTGTTCTTCATCTGATTTTTTAGGTTTTGTTTTTTCAGGAATTTTCTTCAATTGCACAGTTTCCGGAGAATCTTCAGTTTGTGGAATGTTTCCTTTTCCTATTTTCAAGGATTTTGGTTCATCTATTTTTTCTTCCACTTTCTTCAATTTTCTTTTGTATCTTAGCTCATCATCGGGTTTATCTTTCTTTATTTTTTCAGGCATATCAGCTTCCTCATATTTTTCTAACTCAGGCATTTCTCTCTCTATATGTTTAAATTTCTTGGGTTTCTTCTTCTTTAAGATTTCCGTTGCTTCTTTAATATTTCTAGACAAGGAACCGCTGTCTTTTATGTAAGGTGGCAAGATATTTATAATGGCTTTTTGTTCTATTTCTGACTCTGGTGGGAAAGATATATGACGTATTCTGCTTGTTAAGCGAATCTTAGGAAATGTAACTTCTTTCTTTTTCTTTTGAGGAATTTTTGGTTTTTTAAGTTTCATCAGTCCAAGTAAAGGCAAATCTTCTTTATTTACAACTTTAATTTTACTTGGCTTTACTTCAACAACTTCGATAGACTGCTTTGTTAGCGGTATTTTAGTTGGCGCGGAACCCTTAAGTTTTGGTTTAGTTTTCTTTCTTTTAGGGATTGTGCCGGGAAATTCCTTAATAATTACTGTTTGTAGAGGTTCTTTATCATCTTCCAATATGGTCTGGATTTCAGTCACTTCTATATTTGGACCGACCTTCTTCAAAAGTGTCCTTTTTTTGGTTATCTTTTTTTTGGGTGTTTTGTCACTCGTGCTTATTTCGATGACATCAATGTCTTCTGGTAATTCTATTACTGGAACTACGGGATACCCTTCTTCTGTGGGTTTTATAAATTCCTCAATAGTGACAGTAGCATTTAAATCATTTTCTGGAGTCTCTGTTACAAATATCTTAATAATTTCATCTTTATTTCCCTTATCTTTTTTTATGGTTCTTTTTTTAGTAATTATCTTGTCACCGTTAGGCAAATCTGATTTCTCTATTTGTTCAGGTAATTCATATAATATGCAGCACTGTTCTAATGGGAAATCAAATTCTAATGGAAAATCTGGTAAAGAATGTGCTAGGAATTTTCTTATAATTTCAACTTTCAGAAGTTTTATTACGTCTTCAGGTGTTGCAGTCTCTTTTTCCTCTGCCAGTGTTGGCACAAACAATATTTTTTCAGGTTCAGTTATTTCTTGCTCCAGTGATTTTTGCTTATCGTCTTTAGTTTTTTTCTTTGGATGTTTTTTAACAACTTTTCTTGGTGTTTCCCCGGTTATTTCAGTAACTTCATCTGGAAATTCTTCTACCATTGGACATTCAATTTCCTCTATTGTGACAGTTGTTTCAGGTTCTCTTCCTTCCTCTTCAACTGTTAAAATTTGGGTTCTCTCTTCTGTACTACCTCTACGTTTTTTAATAATTCTTTTCTTTGTAGTTTTCTTTCTAGATATACCGTCATCACCTATTGTATCAATGACAACAACTTCTTCAGGCAATTCTTCTATATAAGAAGGTTGTTTGGGTTCTACATTTTCGGCATCAATTTCTTCTATTTCTACAGTTGATATAGGTTTCTTTCCTTCTTCTTCAACAGTTAAAATGTTAGTTATTTCTTCTTTATTCCCTATAAGTTTCTTTATAACCCGTTTTTTGACGGTTTTTTTCGTAGGTTTTCCTTCGTCATTAATTGTTTCAGTGACAGTAATTTCCTCTGGCAATTCTTCAACAATCGAAAATTCAGAATATTCAATTTCTTCATCTTGAGGAAGGTTAGTTTCCACTACTGTGACAGATATTTCAGGTTTCGTTCCTTCTTCTTCTACTGTTAAAATTTCTGTTACTTCTTTCTTGTTTCCTTTGCGTTTTTGAATAACTCTTTTCTTAATAGTTCTCTTTTTAGGTTTACCATCTCTCATCACCATGTCGGTAACAATCTCCTCAGGCAATTCTTTTATGCAAGTAATATCTGCAGTTTCCAATGGGGTAAACCCTTCTGGCAATTCACTTTCATGGATAATGACAGTAGTTTCAGGTTTCTTCCCTTCTTCTTCTACTGTTAAAATTTCAGTACTTTCAAGTTTGTCCCTCTTTTGTTTTTCAATGGTTCGTTTAGTAACTACCTTCTTTGTTGGTTTGCCTTCTTTAATAATTATTTCCGTGGTAATTTGTTCTGGCAGTTCCTGTATGGGATACACCTCTTTAATTTTTTCTGACTTATCAGTAATCTTTTTCTTACTAACTTTTCTTTTAGGTTTCTCTTCAGTACCGACGACTTCTTCTAAATCTCCAGCTTCTGATGTCTCTATTGGGCGTATTGCTTTTTTCAAAACTTCTAATGTAACAAGATCTATTATATCATCGGGTTTCGATTTATCCTTTTCAGCTAAAGTGGGAACAAATAATACTTTCTCAAATTCATCTCCAACTTCTTCAACAGTTACAGTAGTTTTCGGTCGTTTACCTTCTTCTTCGACGGTAACAATTTCTGTCCTTTCTTCTTTCTGGCCAATTTTCTTTTTAATAACTCTCTTTTTAATCACTTTCTTCTTTGGAATACCATCTTTTGAAATTTCCTCAATTACTTTTATTTCTTCAGGCAACTCCTCAATAGAATATGCCGATTTTTCAGCTAGAGTTTCTGCAAATTCTTCAACTTCCTGAACAGTTACAGAAGTTCTTGGTTTTTTACCTTCTTCTTCAACTGTTAAGATTTCAGTTTTCTCCAATTTTTTACCGTCACGTTTTTGAATAACCCGTTTTTTAGTTACCCTCTTTCTAGGTTTACCATCTTTTGAAATTGTCTCAGTTACTTGTATTTCTTCAGGTAATTCTTCTACACAATACATTGGCACTACGGACATTGCTTCGTCTGGAATTTCGGATTCTTGTACTGTGACAGTGGTTTCTGGTTCCTTACCTTCTTCTTCAGTAGTAACTATCTCTGTCTTTACTTGTTTCCCACCTACTTGATTTTTAATCACTCTTTTTCGAATTACCTTCTTTTTAGGCTTACCATCCTTTGTGGTTTCCTCTATAACTTGTATATCTTCCGGTAACTCTTCTACGATATGTGACGGTAATTCCAGTTTATATTCTTCGGGAACTTCTAGTTCTTCTACTGTGACAGTGGTTTTAGGCTTTTTGCCTTCCTCTTCAACTGTTACTATTTCTGTCATTTCTTGTTTTCTGCCTACTTGTTTTTTAATTACTCTCTTTCGAATTACCTTCTTTTTAGACTTACCATCCTTTGTGATTTCCTCAATAACTTGTATGTCTTCCGGTAACTCTTCTACGATATGTGCCGGTAATTCCGGTTTATATTCTTCAGGAACTTCAAGTTCTTCTACTGTGACCGTAGTTTGAGGCTTTTTGCCTTCCTCTTCAACTGTTACTATTTCGGTCTTTTCTTGTTTTCTGCCTACTTGCTTTTTAATTACTCTCTTCCGAATCACCTTCTTTTTAGGCTTACCGTCTTTTGTGAATTCCTCCATAACTTGTATATCTTCCGGTAACTCTTCTACAATATGTGACGGTAATTCCGGTTTATATTCTTCGGGCACTTCAAGTTGTTCTACTGTGACCGTAGTTTGAGGCTTTTTACCTTCCTCTTCAACTGTTACTATTTCTGTCTTTTCTTGTTTTCTGCCTACTTGCTTTTGAATTACTCTCTTTCGAATTACCTTCTTTTTTGGCTTACCGTCCTTTGTGATTTCCTCAATAACCTGTACATATTCCGGTAACTCTTCTACAATATGTGACGGTAATTCTGGTTTATATTCTTCGGGAACTTCAAGTTCTTCTACTGTGACCGTAGTTTGAGGCTTTTTACCTTCCTCTTCAACTGTTACTATTTCTGTCTTTTCTTGTTTTCTGCCTACTTGCTTTTGAATTACTCTCTTTCGAATTACCTTCTTTTTTGGCTTACCGTCCTTTGTGATTTCCTCAATAACCTGTACATATTCCGGTAACTCTTCTACAATATGTGACGGTAATTCTGGTTTATATTCTTCGGGAACTTCAAGTTCTTCTACTGTGACCGTAGTTTGAGGCATTTTGCCTTCCTCTTCAACGGTTACTATTTCTGTCTTTTCTTGTTTTCTGCCTACTTGCTTTTTAATTACTCTTTTTCGAATTACCTTCTTTTTAGGCTTACCGTCCTTTGTGATTTCTTCAATAACCTGCACATATTCCGGTAACTCTTCTACAATATGTGACGGTAATTCTGGTTTATATTCTTCGGGAACTTCAAGTTCTTCTACTGTGACCGTAGTTTGAGGCTTTTTGCCTTCCTCTTCAACTGTTACTATTTCTGTCTTTTCTTGTTTTCTGCCTACTTGCTTTTGAATTACTCTCTTTCGAATTACCTTCTTTTTAGGCTTACCGTCCTTTGTGATTTCCTCAATAACTTGTATATCTTCCGGTAACTCTTCTACGATATGTGACGGTAATTCCGGTTTATATTCTTCGGGAACTTCAAGTTGTTCTACTGTGACCGTAGTTTTAGGCCTTTTACCTTCCTCTTCAACTGTCACTATTTCTGTCTTTTCTTGTTTTCTGCCTACTTGCTTTTTAATTACTCTCTTTCGAATCACCTTCTTTTTAGGCTTACCGTCCTTTGTGATTTCCTCAATAACTTGTATATCTTCCGGTAACTCTTCTACGATATATGACGGTAATTCCGGTTTATATTCTTCGGGAACTTCAAGTTTTTCTACAGTGACAGTGGTTTTAGGCTTTTTGCCTTCCTCTTCAACAGTTACTATTTCTGTCTTTTCTTGCTTTCTGCCTACTTGCTTTTGAATTACTCTCTTTCGAATTACCTTCTTTTTAGGTTTACCGTCCTTTGTGATTTCCTCAATAACTTGTATGTCTTCCGGTAACTCTTCTACGATATGTGACGGTAATTCCGGTTTATATTCTTCGGGAACTTCAAGTTCTTCTACTGTGACCGTAGTTTGAGGCATTTTGCCTTCCTCTTCAACGGTTACTATTTCTGTCTTTTCTTGTTTTCTGCCTACTTGCTTTTGAATTACTCTCTTCCGAATTACCTTCTTTTTAGGCTTACCGTCCTTTGTGATTTCCTCAATAACTTGTATATCTTCCGGTAACTCTTCTACGATATGTGACGGTAATTCCGGTTTATATTCTTCGGGAACTTCAAGTTCTTCTACTGTGACCGTAGTTTTAGGCCTTTTACCTTGCTCTTCAACTGTCACTATTTCTGTCTTTTCTTGTTTTCTGCCTACTTGCTTTTTAATTACTCTCTTTCGAATTACCTTCTTTTTCGGCTTACCATCCTTTGTGATTTCCTCAATAATTTGTATGTCTTCCGGTAACTCTTCTACGATATGTGACGGTAATTCCGGTTTATATTCTTCGGGAACTTCAAGTTCTCTCTTCTACGATATGTGACGGTAATTCTGGTTTATATTCTTCGGGAACTTCAAGTTCTTCTACTGTGACAGTGGTTTTAGGCTTTTTGCCTTCCTCTTCAACTGTCACTATTTCTGTCTTTTCTTGTTTTCTGCCTACTTGCTTTTTAATTACTCTCTTTCGAATCACCTTCTTTTTAGGCTTACCATCCTTTGTGATTTCCTCTATAACTTGTATATCTTCCGGTAACTCTTCTACTATATGTGACGGTAATTCCGGCTCATATTCCTCGGGTACTTCAAGTTCTTCTACTGTGACAGTGGTTTTAGGCTTTTTGCCTTCCTCTTCAACTGTTACTATTTCAGTCTTTTCTTGTTTGTCGCCCACTTGCTTTTTAATTACTCTCTTCCGAATTACCTTCTTTTTACGTTTGCCATCTTTTGTGATTTCCTCTGTTACTTGAACNGCTTTTTGCCTTCCTCTTCAACTGTTACTATTTCAGTCTTTTCTTGTTTGTCGCCCACTTGCTTTTTAATTACTCTCTTCCGAATTACCTTCTTTTTACGTTTGCCATCTTTTGTGATTTCCTCTGTTACTTGAACATCTTCAGGTAATTCTTCTACAGCATATGTAGGTAGTTCAGGTTTCGTTTCCTCTGGAACTTCAAGTTCCTCTACTGTCACAGTGGTTTCAGGTTTCTTACCCTCTTCTTCCACAGTAACAATTTCTGTTTTCTCTTGCTTGTCACCTATTTGCTTCTTAATTACTCTCTTTCTTATTATCTTCTTTTTACGTTTACCATCTTTTGTGATTTCCTCTGTTACTTGAACGTCTTCAGGTAATTCCTCTACTGCGTATGAAGGCAGTTCAAGTTTCGTTTCCTCCGGTATTTCCAGTTCCTCTACTGTCACAGTGGTTTCAGGTTTCTTACCCTCTTCTTCTACAGTAACAATTTCTGTTTTCTCTTGTTTGTCACCTATTTGCTTCTTAATTACTCTCTTTCTTATTATCTTCTTTTTACGCTTACCGTCTTTTGTGATTTCTTCTGTTACTTGAATGTCTTCAGGTAATTCCTCTACTGCGTATGTAGGTAGTTCAGGTTTCGTTTCCTCCGGTATTTCAAGTTCCTCTACTGTCACGGTGGTTTCAGGTTTCTTACCCTCTTCCTCCACAGTAACAATTTCTGTTTTCTCGTGTTTGTCACCCACTTGCTTTTTAATTACTCTTCTCCGGATTACTTTCTTTTTACGTTTACCGTCTTTTGTAATTTCCTCTGTTACTTGAACGTCTTCTGGTAATTCCTCTACTGCATATGTAGGTAGTTCAGGTTTCGTTTCCTCCGGTATTTCAAGTTCCTCTACTGTCACAGTGGTTTCAGGTTTCTTACCCTCTTCTTCTACAGTAACAATTTCTGTTTTCTCTTGTTTGTCACCCACTTGCTTTTTAATTACTCTCTTTCGAATTACTTTCTTTTTACGTTTACCTTCTTCTGTAATTTCCTCTGTTACTTGAACATCCTCAGGTAATTCCTCTATTGCGTATGTAGGCAATTGAGGTTTCGTTTCCTCTGGAACTTCAAGTTCCTCTACAGTCACAGTGGTTTCAGGTTTCTTACCCTCTTCTTCCACAGTAACAATTTCTGTTTTCTCTTGTTTGTCACCCACTTGCTTTTTAATTACTCTCTTCCGGATAACCTTCTTTTTACGTCTACCGTCTTTTGTAATTTCCTCGGTTACTTGAACGTCTTCAGGCAATTCCTCTATTGCGTATGTAGGCAATTGAGGTTTCGTTTCCTCTGGAACTTCAAGTTCCTCTACTGTCACAGTGGTTTCAGGTTTCTTACCCTCTTCTTCTACAGTAACAATTTCTGTTTTCTCTTGTTTGTCACCCACTTGCTTTTTAATTACTCTCTTCCGGATAACCTTCTTTTTACGTCTACCGTCTTTTGTAATTTCCTCGGTTACTTGAACGTCTTCAGGCAATTCCTCTATTGCGTATGTAGGCAATTGAGGTTTCGTTTCCTCTGGAACTTCAAGTTCCTCTACTGTCACAGTGGTTTCAGGTTTCTTACCCTCTTCTTCTACAGTAACAATTTCTGTTTTCTCTTGTTTGTCACCCACTTGCTTTTTAATTACTCTCTTCCGGATAACCTTCTTTTTACGTCTACCGTCTTTTGTAATTTCCTCGGTTACTTGAACGTCTTCAGGCAATTCCTCTATTGCGTATGTAGGCAATTGAGGTTTCGTTTCCTCTGGAACTTCAAGTTCCTCTACTGTCACAGTGGTTTCAGGTTTCTTACCCTCTTCTTCTACAGTAACAATTTCTGTTTTCTCTTGTTTGTCACCCACTTGCTTTTTAATTACTCTCTTCCGGATAACCTTCTTTTTACGTCTACCGTCTTTTGTAATTTCCTCTGTTACTTGAACATCCTCAGGTAGTTCCTCTATTGCATATGTAGGTAGCTCAGGTTTCGTTTCCTCTGGAACTTCAAGTTCCTCTACAGTCACAGTGGTTTCAGGTTTCTTACCCTCTTCTTCTACAGTAACAATTTCTGTTTTTTCTTGTTTGTCACCCACTTGCTTTTTAATTACTCTCTTTCGGATTATTTTCTTTTTACGTTTACCGTCTTTGGTAACTTCCTCTGTTACTTGAACGTCCTCAGGTAGTTCCTCTACTGTATATGTGGGCAGTTCAGGTTTTGTTTCTGCTGGAACTTCAAGTTCCTCTACTGTCACAGTGGTTTCAGGTTTCTTACCCTCTTCTTCTACAGTAATAATTTCTGTCTTCTGTTGTTTGTCGCCCACTTGCTTTTTAATTACTCTCTTTCTTATTACCTTCTTTTTACGTTTACCTTCTTTTGTGATTTCCTCTGTTACTTGAACATCCTCAGGTAATTCCTCGATTGCGTATGTAGGCATTTCAGGTTTCGTCTCTTCCTTAACGTCAAGTTTTTCTACTGTCACTGTAGTCTCAGGTTCCTTCCCCTCTTCTTCTACAGTTACAATTTCTGTTTTCTCTTGTTTATCACCCACTTGTTTTTTAATTACTCTCTTTCGGATAACTTTCTTTTTACGCTTACCGTCTTTTGTAATCTCTTCGGTTACTTGTACGTCTTCAGGTAATTCCTCAACTACATCTGCTAGCAACTCTGATTTAGTCTCCTCAGGTGCTTCAAGTTCTTGTACTGTCACAGTTGTTTCAGGTTTCTTGCCTTCCTCTTCAACAGTTATAATTTCTGTTTTCTCCTGTTTGCTGCCGATTTGCTTTTTAATTGTTCTTTTCTTAACTAACTTTTTCTTCTTGCCTTCCTTTGTTTCTATCTCACTTACTTCTACTTCTTCTGGTAGCTCTTGAACAATGTATTTTGGTTTGTCTTCAAATTGTTCCTCTTCTGATACATCTTCCGTTATTTCTGTTATATCAATTGGGGTCTGCGTAATATGTTTTTGCGGTTCAATTACATCTAAAATCTCGTCGATAACTATATCACTATCATTTTCCCTGTCTCTTCTACCTTTTAAAATAGTGCGTTTGGTTATGATTTTGGTTGTCTCATCACTGTCGGGAGTTGATTTGAATTTTGTTATTATTTCATGTGTTTCTTCGGTATTTGTATCTTTTTGAATATCTGTTTTGTGTTGTTTAGCGGTGAACGTCTGGGTGGTTGTTTGTGTAATGCTGGCACGTGTTTTGTGTGGCTCTGTCTCATCCAGTGGTCCTGTAATTGTATTGTGTTATCTTAAAAAATATTATAAATTTATTCGTGTTAGTGTGTATGTGTTGTGTGTACTGTAATATGTTGTACGCTTCACCTACCCATGAATGATTTATTATTTTAAATTAACTTACCTTCTACCTCATGCGGCTGTACTTCACTTATCTGCAAGCTTGGAGAAATTTCATCCATTACTATTTTAACTGTTCTGGAACTTGGTATTTCGTATTCTAAAGATCCTAGATTACCCGTTGATTTTTGTTCAGTAACAATAAGTCCATGCTGGATATTGGTATATTCGGGTTTTATTTCCATACTTTGCACTTTTTCGGTTTTAAAGAACTCATGTCCTTGTAGTGGAGTTATTTCTTCATTTACTACCACTGACCTTTGTTCTATTTCTTTCTGTGCAGTAGTTTCCTTGGCAGATACTCCTATGATTTCCTCTCCTGTCTGTCCTTGCGTCAAAACTTCAGTTACAATTACACTTGCTTCAGTCGTTACATCAATATTAACAGTTTTTGCTGAGGGTGTTTCGATGTTAATGGGATGCGCATCCCCTTGCACAATTACGTCTGTCTGAATTAAACTGCCTAAAGTATCAGTTTGAGGTGTAGCTTTTCGAGTTTTATCAGATTTACTTTCGTAAATTTCCTTTAGCCCTTCAAGCACATCTACATTTCTGCTTTCTATTACTTTATGTTCATTAATTACGACAGTTGCTATATCAGTTTTAGGTTTTTCTTCTAACAATGGCCTTTCATTTTCAATTATGTCTGTTTCTGTGATTTCTACCGTTTTACCAGCCTTTTCTAGTGACACATCGACAGACGAAAATTTTGGTTTTTCATCCTTAAGATTCGATTCTCTTTCAGATACTAGGGTTTCAGTTATATTCACAGTTTTATATAAAATATGGTCTTGAACAGCACTGTTTTGCTCTTGTACCTCAGTTTTAAGTTGAGACACACTATGCTGTGCAGTTGCTTCTGATATTTGAGTTGCTTCTTGGGGCGTAAGTATTTTTTCGGCAACATATCCTGTTACTTCTTTATCTGCAAATGTTGACTCCAGTTCAGTAATAACTGTTTCTGTAGTAGTTAAGTGTTCCTCTGGAAGAAGTGAAACATTTGCTGTTTTCCCTGTGGCAGGCAGTTCATCAAAAGGAACTTCGTTTTCTTGAACATCTTTTGTCAAAACAATCAAACCTTCATGTTTGCCTTTGGTCATCTCAGCTGTTTCTTGAACAGGCGACGAAGTACTAAATTTATCAATATTTTCGCTTGAAAGGATTACTGTCTGTGATAAAGGAATATTTGGAAAAACAGAACTTGTAGAGAATTCTTCTTTTCGATCTTCAACTGTTAATGGCTTTTCTGTCTCTTGCGCAATAACTTCAGAAATCTTTAAGCTTGACATTTTGTCTACAATAGTATCTGCCTTCCTTAACTCTGCCGTAGGAGTTTCTTCGAGTATTTGTTCCGACTCGTGAATAACATTATCAGTCAGTATTATACTTTCAAATGTGTCTTGTTTAGCTTCCAAGGACAATAACTCTTGTTTCTTAATTTCATGATCTCCTATATTCTCAGAAGGTACAACCTCAGATTGTAAAATAGCTTTATTAGAATCTATAAGTGGTGAAGCTGTTTGAGGTTTTTCTGGATGATATTTAAAGTCTTTGGCTGTAGTTTCTGTAATGGTCTCTTCAATGATAATTTCGTTGAGTTCATCAATTTTTCCTTTGGCGTTGTCAGATTTAGGTTTAAATGTTTCATTGAAATCTTCCGAGGTGTCCAAAACAATAGGTGCAGTTTGAACCAGATTGGACATGACGTCCATTTCGGGCTTTGCTGTTGCTGATGTAGGTTCTTGAGTAACTAGATCTTGGGTATCCAGATTAGTTTGTACATCAGATACTTCAGAATGTATGTTAGCAACTAAATTAAAATCTGCAGTGCTGGTGTGCGGTTTTCGCTCTACCTCCATTATGTCTTCATTTTCTGCCAAAATTACCACAAACGTTGAAGGAACTTCGGTCTCTTCAACCACAGGTAAAGCACTTTGAGTAAGTGGTTTCTTACTTTCAGTAAACGTATCTTCTTTTTCTTGTATTAAAGGTTGGGTCTGAATTATTTTCTCATGTATAGTATGTTTCACAGTTGCAGTCGTTAAATCAGGCACAGTGGAGGTACTTTCTTGGAAACCTTCTCCTGTAAGCGTTTCACAAGTTTCTGGAACAGTAATAAAACTTATCTCTTTCGTTGCTTTTTGTTGAGAGGGTGTAGTACTGCTTTCAAATTCTCCTTCCTTATCTTGAAGAATTACTTCAGACACATTTGTACTGCATTTATTTTCTTCTAATGATATTTCAGCGTTGTTAACATCTGGTTGAAATTGTCCTTCAAACCTTTTTTCCTTCTCTTCTACAATATTTTCAGTAATAATTACACTATCGAAAGTTGATTCAGTTTCCAGTGCCTTTATACTATCTGGCATAGTAGGTTTATAAATATCTGAAACTTCTGACGTTTCTGTGATATTTGATTCTGCTATTTTATGAGTAACATCAATTGTCATATCTGCCTTTTTAGATGTGGGTAAATCAAATTCATTAAGATTTTCTTCTTTTTGACCAGTAAAGGTTTCAGTCGTAGATAGTCCTTCTGAAGGCTCAATATCTATGGTGGCGGACGCTTCCCTAGCTTTCGAAATATCACTTAATTCTTGTTCTGTTTCTATTGTAACTTGTTCTGATGTTACAGCTGCATCATAAGGAATCGTTGTACCCTCTATCAGATTTTCTGTGGGCTTATCGAAACTAAATTCTTTCAGATCATCTTCTGATCTAGTTTCAGCTTGAGATGCTACATATTTAGTGTCACTAAGTGTTTGTTCTGCATATGATTTATTCACTGCCGCTTCTACAAAATCTTGTTCTTTTTCGCGTGGAAATACGGATTCAATTAAAATGCTCTGATCTTCGTTAAAGCTTACTAACGCTTTTCTTGTTTCTGCTTCGTGCGTTTTAACTTCTGCCGATTCTGATTCAGTTGGAATGGTTTCTGTGGTTACTGCAGTTTCCAATGGAAATAGTTCGGAATGCGCAATTGTTGATACTGGATTGAAGGTAATATTTGATTGGTCTACGGCTTCTTGAATACTTATTTCAGTGTTCACAGGCAATTTGTGTACATCGATATCTACAACTGCCTGTTCCTGTAATGGTCTTTTCACTTCAAGTAAACCGGATTCAGTATCTGTGCTTACAATTTGAGTTACCACAATACTTTGATCTTCTCTGAATTCTATGTTGGCTTGCTTTGTGTTTTCTGGTTGCTTTTCAAAGTATTTTTCGCTTTCTTGAACATTATGTTCTGTTTTTATTATGCCTTCAAGTTGAAGTTGATTGATATTGGCCTGAGCCGATAACGGTTCCTCTTTTAACACGTTTTCAGTTGAATCCTGTGCAAATACAACACTAGTTTCAGCAACTGGCTGAACAGTGAAAGAAGGAGTGGCTGTTTTATTATCAATAAATTCTGAATCTTTTCGAACGGCTTCTTTTTCGTTTGGTAATGTTTCTGTAACTTCGGCAGCTGTTTTAGATTCAACGGCCAATTCAGCTTTTTGTTTAGATGGCTTAATGGCGTCTTCTAAAATTGATTCTTGTTCAGCTGCTACTGCTTCAATGTTTATAAGGCTTTTATACTCTGACTGACTTGCAACAGCTGTAACACGTGTAGGGGAAGTTCTCTCGAAATCCTTTATTGTGTCACTTGCTACAGTTTCAGCAATTTCTAATACATCGTGCGGAGAGAGGCTGGAACTCGCAGTTTCTTCTATTTCTTTTTTCTGGCTCAAATTTCCTTCTTTAATACCAGAAGTGACTGATGTTATACATATACTTTCTGCGGACTGATATTCGGGATAAGCAACTTTTTCTTCCGGTTTAATTTCATTTAAACTTTTCTCTGCTTCGATTATCATTGACTCAGTGGTGGTAAAAGAATCTAATAATATGCAATCAGGCTTCGCTTTCTCAGTTTGTTGCAGTGATTCTGAAAATTTGTTGACTGAATCGTCAGATATAACTTCTTCTTTTATCGCTGTCACAAAAGATGATACAGTGGGTTCCCCTTTTACACTTTTAGGTAAATCAATAAGAGATAGCTCGTTTTCCTTATCATCTGCATTTACTTCGGTTACATGCACGCTTTCACTTTCTGTAAAACTAACGTTAACATGTTTCGAATCTGGTTTAACGTCGGTTTCTTTTTGGCCTTCTTTTTCTCCAGGCGTGAATTGCATTTGTATAACTGGATGTGAAACATCTTGATGACTTGCAGCAAACAACTTTTCCGGAGATATTTCAACCAGATCTTGCGGTAGAGTATTTGCTACTACTTCTTCTTTTAAAGCCACTTGCTGTTCGCTGATATTTATATTAGCTAAAGAGGTTTCTGTTTCGGTTATGTCTAGATTTTGCTCTTTATTATTCGTCACTGTTTCTGTAACGGATATGGCTTGCCCAGGTAAAATATCTATATTAGCTTGCTTTTTAAACGGAAATATATCTGAAGGCAATTTTTTTTCTACATCTACTACATTGGTTTCTGTGACTATAAGCTCTGTATACGGCCTAGCATATTTTTTAGCTCTTCCGGTTAAGGGTTCTTCTTCCTCAATATTATCAGCGTGGACTACAGTTTCAATTTCAGATGTAATAATTACTTCCTGAGTTGCAACAGCAGAGGAGGCAAGTACTTGTAACGGTTTTGGTAGCGGTTGATATTTATCTTCTTTTTCGTTAGAAACTACTTGTAAAATATGCGGACCTGAAAGAGTTTCACTTAGCTGAATTTCGGCTTGCTTTGTTTCAGGTTGGGATTCGACATGTTCACTTTCTCTCTCTGCTGTCTCATGTTGAAGAATTTGAACTGATTCCAAAGTACCTTGTTCGGATACAGCTTCCATTTTCAAAGGCGCCATAATATTTAATTGTTCAGTAGTATCATTAGGTAGAACAACAGATTTACTTGCTACTTTTTGAGTGTCTATATCATACGTAGCATGCAGAGAACTTGGTAATTCTCCTGGAATATATTGCTTTTCTTTGTCATCAGCTAAGATCTCGGATACATTCAGTGCCTCTTGCTGTAGTAGAGTCGGCACTGCTTGTTTTGTAGCTGCTTCTTCTAATACGAATTTATCAGTTGCTTCACCTGCCACCGTTTCAGATATTATAGTCTCATTTAATAAGCTCTGACTAAATGCAGCTTTAGTTTCATCGATTTTATCTTCCTCTAATTTTTTTGCACTATAATCAGCAATTATTTGTTCTGTTAGGCCAGCGGATAAAATATGCGATGGGACTTTCTTGCCTTTATGAGAATCTGGTAATGTGAAACTATCGAGTGTATTTTCGGTTTCCAACGCATGTAATTCCTTAACTTCAATTTGTTGGTGTGGTCTGGTAACGGTATTTTCTATGTTAAAATGTTCTGGTTGTTGTTCGTCATACGACAGTTCCGATTCACCAGCTAATGTCTCTATTACATTAGTAGCTTCTAATGTTTCAATATCTTGATATGCAATATCTGTAACAATTTTAGGATAATCCTTAAATTGTGTGGATGTATCGCCTGTTTGTACCTGTTCCACTGTGAGTGGTTCATTAGGTGAATAACTTGAGCTTGCTAACACTTTAGTAGGTTGTTTATCTGGTGCTAACATTTCTTCAGATTCTTGAATTGTTGGTATAGATTTACTACTAATTTCAAGGCAAGTTATATTAGAATCTGCGTTCTTGTATGCTGTTTCTTTCTGCTCATAATTGTCCTCAGATTCAGCAGCTATCGTGGTTTCAGAAACCACTGACATGTTTGGTAAAATATCTATGCTAGCTGTTTGTTTAGAAAGTTCATCTACTTGGATGTCTGACTGAGGTTGTTGGGAATCGACAAGAGTAATTGCTATACCTTCAGACAGAATAATGTCTGATAGAGCCTCTGCCTTTTCAGGACTAGAAGCTTTTTGGAATATATCTTCTTTCTCGGATATATCTGTTTGTGATATGACTAAACTTTTATCAGTTCTAATTTCGACATTAGCAGTTTGGGAGGGTGGCAATCTTCCAGGAATATATTCACCTTCTAACTCTGGTGCAACTGTTTCCAAGAGATTAATGGACTTCTGCGGAATAATATTTTTCGTCGCTATTTCGGTAGCCACGAACGCCTCTGGCAAATGTTTGCCTGGTTTAATCTCAGGCAAAACTTCTTCCACGGTTATGGGCTCTTTTGAATCTATTTTATACTTTGGCTTTACAGATATAGGTTTTTCGGTGGTATCCAACTCTTTTTCTGAAATTCCTTGCAATATTTCTTCAACATTGATACTTTCATTAGTAGAAAAGTTTCCTACAGCTTGAACACTTTTAGGTAAAGTAAATTCGTCCATAAGAGATTCCTTATGTGAAACTTCAATTTCTGTAACATTTTTTGCTTCTTGAGGTAGTAGTGTGATGGAAGCTGTATCAGTTACTTCTTGTTGTTTAATTAATTTTGAGGGAGTATCGCCTAAATTAATTTCTTCTACTGAAATACTTTCATTAGGTATAATATCCATTGACCCTTTCGACATATTTGGATGGAAAACATCCTCAAACTGGCCTGTAGTATTATGAACGTTTTGCTCAGATATCTGAAACGCTTCAACAGTATCAAATGTCTTTCTAGCTGAGAACGAAACAGCTTCTGATTTAGAATGAGGACCTTCTTTTTCTTCTGGTTGAGTATGCTGTTCGATTAATGCTGCATGTGGAATAACATCTATCTCTGCCGTCATTTTTTCAACATCTTCATTTATTTGAGCCACTTGACCAATATGCACTGCTTCAGAATAAGTACCAGGAGATTGTACTGAAAGTAGTTTTTGACTTGTTAATTCAAATGGAGGAAGTTCCTCTTCTTTAATAGAAACCTCAATCTGAGATACATTTTTTGCTTCTTGTGGTAAAAGAGAAAATGTCGCTGTATTTGTATTTAGTTGTTTTTCCAATAATACTGAAGAACTATCTGAAGGTGTAGTTTCTTCAACGAGCGGCGTAATATTTGGTAAAATATTTTTTGTAGCGGTGGATGTAGCTGGTTGAAATTTATCTTCAAACTGTTCGGGAGCACTTTGCACATTGTGTTCCGTGACTTCTAGGGCTAACACCTCATTGGCAGTTTTATTTGCTACAGCAGTCGTAGAAGATTTCTCCTCTTGTTCTCTTTCATTTTCTTGGACCATTGTGTGCTCTTCTACTAAAGCTATGTGGGGAATAACATCAACAGTTGCAGTAGATTGCGGTATCCACTTGTCCATGTGAATTGTTTCTGTTAAACCTGTTGTTTCTGACAAAGCAGAAGAGGTATTTAATGGAAATTGTTTCTGTGGAGACGCTTCTAAAGGAGATATTTCATCACCAACTTCTTCAGGGAAATATTGATCTGTTTTCGGTTTTGGAGTTTTTATTATTTTTATCTTCCTCTTTTTCCCCTTTCTCACTTCTTCGATTTCCTCGATCTCTATTTCAGTATCACTTTTAATTTTAGATATACGTTTAATTTCAGCATTGGACTCAAGTTCTGTTTTTTGTTCATCAACGGGTAATTCAGTTATATCTGTTATTTCCACTGAATGTTTCTTAGGTAGTCTAGATTCACCTTTTGCTGATCGTTCTATTTCTTCTTCGACCTCAAGGGTTTCTGTGAAAGTGTTTGTATGATAGTTTGGTGTGTTGTATACCTTATAAATATTATAGTGACTTAGTAGATAACTATTAAGGCTAAAGCCTAGCTTGAGCCTAAATATTGGTGTGAATAAGTAGGTATAGAAGCGTTAAAGAGTTTTTGAGTGGCGTTTTGTGTAAGTAGGTAATAGAATAAGTGTAGAAAGAACTCACCTCAAGCTGAGCTAATATCACTAATAAGCCATGCTTTCCACAAACACTGCTTCTACGCAATTGCACATTTTAAGCTTCTACTTTTAGTTATGCGCCATATAAATAAAATATAACTCAATGAGCTAACGATCTTCAACACAAGAGAATTTCCATTCATACTAGGTGTACTTACCAACAGAGCTAGTATGAATATAAAAATATTGTAGTTATTTGTAAGCGTTCTTATTTCACCGAAAAAATCTGTCACACATTATAAGCTTACCCTCTATATCTCCTACAGTTTTGATTTCTTTCTTAATATGTTTTCCGGAATCTGTATGTATATATAAAAACACAGTTTTAGCGTAAGTATTTAATATGAAAATAAAATAGTTGTAATAACTTTCTATAAAATTAATAATATAATGAACACTGACCGGCAATAATATAACTTTAATATCAACAAAACAGTTCATGCTGCAACAACACTCAAAACTCACCCTTTAATATTTCAACTTCTCTAATTAATGTTATTGTTTCTGATACTCCTTTCGTTGTAACCTGAAGAAAAATTAATGTTCAATAATTTTTGTACCAAGATTAATTTATTTTTCTATTGTGTTAATAAATATATTATTTTCAAATTTCTATTAAATGGGTTTCTAAAATATGATTCACAAATGGTGACCAAAAATGAAACCTCGTATTCTTTGGTGAATTTCAAGGGAAGTCTTTCATATAAAGTTTTTATCTAGGACGCTTCGTTAAAAAGATACAAGGTGTTAAACTTCAAAAAATATTCACCAAAGAATACGAGGTTTCATTTTTGGTCACCATTTGTGAATCATCCTCTATGATTTTTCTATTGTTCCTTAAATGATGCTTGTGTTTCATAAACCTTCATGTATACGTTGGACAAATAGGCACACAACCTCACTTGAAGGGTAATAGTGTCGAGCTGTTAGCTGTTGCGGAGCACAGGTCATTTAGATCTAAGCAATATCAGACTCTACTGAGGCTGAAAAGGAATCTACTGAGAATTGTCTAAAAAGTCTGAACCGACAATGACGCATTTTTTCAACCATCGTAATTTTAAAAGTGTTTCAATTTGTAATTTTAGATAATGTTTTTTTTCTGTGGGTGTACTGTAGCTTCTGTTCAATTTATTCCAAGATATATAAAATGACTTACCTCTGTTGTTTCTGTCGATTCCCAAGCCCTTGATATGAAATCTTCTGGAGTAAAGTGAGTGATCACTTCCTCAATGGTTACGTAATTTGCTTCAACCATTTTCATAAATGCTCTGAAACCAACAGTAGCCGCAAGTTGACTCTCATCGATCGTAGTTTCCTCCGTAAGAACTTCTGATATAAGAGCTCCGTGACCTTTTCTTTCTACTACGTTTACCAAAGCTGACTGCGCTTCTGGGGATTTTAATGATGGAAATTTGTTTTCATCATAGAGCACTGTAATTTCCTTTACGGTAATTCCATTTTTAACAAGATATCCTATTTCAGCAATTTCACGGAGAGGACTTTGACCAGGCCCAAAATCTTTCGCGTTTATTAACTCCAATGTTTGTGTTACTTCCTTTGCCATCTTTAATTCGCCCTTTCGAATTATTTTTTCACATCGTTCGATGATTTGTTCTAATTTAACTTCAGTAATATCGGCAAACTGTGACACGCCACTTTCGGTGAACGGTTGTGCTTTGCGGGTTCTTGGAATAATTTTCTCAATGTCTTTAAGAATTTCTTCAGGAAGAATTTGTTCGGAGTATGTAGGTTCCATTGGCGACAATATTTCCTTCGCTTTCTCTTCAGGTTTTTCTTCCGGTGATTCATCGATTTTCTTGCAAGTTGCAACTGCTTCAATTTTGAGGGGCTCTTGTATATCCAGTTTTGGTTTAGCTTTTACTTTGTCTGTTGTAGTTTCTACAATTTCGGATGTTGTTTCTATAGCTTGCACTACCGTAACATCCAAAGGCTTGATTTCCTCTTCGGTTGTGACAGTCGTTCTCTGCTTCTTGCGTTCCAATTTCTTCTTTTCAATTTTGATCCTTTCTTTTTTAATTCGTTCCTCTTCTTGTTTTGCTCTCTTCAAGAGGATTTCTGCTTTCTTATATTCAGGTATTTCTTGTACATGTAGTTCTGCTTTAGTAACAGCGACTCCTATGTCGCTAACAGCTTTACAAATGTAGGTTCCCACATCGTCGGTGTTAACTTCAGATATTGACACACTGGTTTTGTTATCTTCAATTCGAACTTTGACTCTTTTGGTGTTACGAACAATTTTGTCGTTGTGATACCATATGATATCTAAAATGAATAAATACAGTCCATGAGAAACTTTGTTATTTTATTTCTGTGATAATTTAATTTACTACTTATAGTCCGGGCGAATTAGGTTTTTTTTTTTAAAAAAAATCGGGCCTACCTCGAATTTTATGGGCTTAAAATTAAGTAAAACATACACAGAATAAATGCCTAAATTTGTGTATTTCTAGAGGTCGAGCGTCATATTGTTTGTAACAAAAGAAAAAAAAAATGTTCTTTTTTCAGTTTTTCGCTTATATCTTCGAAAATAAGCTTCTAATCGACATGAGCTATACTTGTCGATTCTGTTCCTGAAGAAATTTGCTATAAGAATAGACTCGCAAATTTTTTTTACATTGCTTTGCATTGCATTTTTACATTAACGGTAAAAAAAAAATTGCAAAATTTTCGGCATTAAATAAAATGAACGAATTTGACTAAAATTGGATGATGATAACTGTTGGAGTGCTCAACAAATACCCGCAATCCGGACCCCCAATTTCAATATGGCGGCCTATTGCAAAATTACAAAGTCGAAAACGCGAGCGCGTATATCTTCTGCCCAAGTCAAGATATCGAAATTTGGTAAAAAAGGAGCCAAATTTAATTAGATTATCTCGCGTCTGTGTAAATTTGAGATTTTTAAGTTGCAAAATAAAAAAGTTATTAACAAAAAACCAAAAAAAAAGGTAACTAGGGTCCTTATCTCGGTAATTTTTTGATATACAGATTTCTAGGAAATTGCATCAAATACTGCTTAAAAAACATGAATTAAAAAAAGCGTCACGATCCGACCAATAGAAGTCGAGATATTTTTTTTCCTTTAAACGGTAATTTGGCTGTTCTATTTAATATTTTGTAATAAACTTGATCCCGTTGTAAAGTAGAAGTCCTATACACGCAGATTTTTTTTTAATGGATTCGACCAAGAAGTGACTAAGTAAACGTTCGTTAAAAACAGCGTGATCCGCGCGGCTGAGCGGTAGCTAAGAGAGGGGAGCTCTGTGACGTCATAGTGCCCATGCTGGGCTTGACTTCTCAAAATTATTTCTTAGCAAATGGATTGTGGAATTTAGAGAGCAGCTACCGGGATGTTTTTTTTTTAAATCAACTCATTTTTTCCGCTCTTTTGAATATTTTATAAGCAAAAGTCTGTGAAAGTCATCGCCAGATCCCGAAAAGTACATTTTTATTGACTTTTCACGTTTTATTTTGTAATTTCATTGTGCTTTCGATATTTTGAAAAGTAAGGAGGTATTTTTACGTATTTAAAAACAAAAGTCAATTATTTCTTTGAAAAAAAAAATGATCAGTATTCTATTATAAAACATGGTAGAATTAAATGTAACAGTTCTTTTAAATACTATAAAATGCAATACTTATATGTAATGTTGATATTATAACATTCAATAATATTCTAGACACAATTTACGCAATAAGTGTTAACAGTTAATTTTAAGACGATATTTTAAACGTCGACCTCTTCTGAGCACGGTAAATTTTCATTCATTCATTTTTTTAAAGAAATAATTGATTTTTTTCTAAATACGTAAAAAGACCTTACTTTTCAAAATATTGAAAGCTCAATGAAATTAAAAAAGAAAACGTGAAAAGTCAACAAAAATGTATTTTTCGGGATTTGGCGATGACTTTCGAAGACTTTTGTTTACACCATTCGAAAGAGCGGAAAAAAATAAGTTGATTTAAAAAAACATTCCGGTAGCTGCTTTCTACCAATAAGTGCGAAATCCATTTGTTACGTAAGAATTTTGAGAAGTAGAGCGCAGCATGGGCACTATGACGTCACAGCGCTCCCCTCTCCTGGCTACCGCTCAGCCGCGCGGATCACGCTTTTTTAACGAAATTGGTCACTTCAAAAAAAATTGAGCGTATAACGAGACTAAGTATTACAAAATATTAAATAGAACAGACAAAATACCATTTAAAGGAAAAAATATTTCGGCTCCTATTGGTGGGATCGTGACGCTTTTTTTTCTTAATTCATGTTTTTTTAAGCACTATTTGATGCAATTGGTTTGAAATTTGTATATTAAAAAATTGCCGAGGTAAGGACCCTAGTTACCGTTTTGTTTTTTGGTTTTTTGTTAATAACTTTTTTATTTTGTAACTTAAAAATCTGAAATTTACACAGATGCGAGATAATATAATTACCTTTCGATCCTTTTTTACCATATTTCGATACCTTGACTTGGGCAGAAGATATACGCGCTCGCGTTTTCGACTTTATAATTTTGCAATAGGCCGCCATTTTGAAATTGGGGTCCGGATCTTTTCCTGTAGTTTCATCCAATTTCAGTCAAACTCGTTCTTTTTGTTTATTGCAGAAATTTTGTTTTCACCATAAATTTTGCAATGTAATAAAATTTTTGCGAGCTTTCGCAAAAGCCTATCCTTGTAGCAAATTTCCTCAGGAACAAAATCGATAAGTATACCTCATGTCGATGAGAGGCTTACTTTCGGAGATATAAGCGAAACATTGAAAAAAGAGCAATTATTATTTTTTCTTTTGGTATAAACAATATAACGACAGATTTCTGAAACAGTCATGTGTTTGATCTAAATCGCCCGAATAATTAATTAAATCTAATTTTGGGATTATAATTTATACCAACTATAATTTTGGGATTATAATTTATACCTGGGGTAGGCGTTCCAGAAAACAAGCACTCAAATTTGATTGTCTCAGCTTCCGTTGTGTGGATGTTGGTAATCTCTTGCACAAATGTAGGAACGCTTTGAGAAGCTACAAAAAAATATATATACATATTTTGGTATAACTTTATATATACATATATGAAAATGAAAGTTAACAAAGGGTGAATTATTCAATCGGGATGCACAAAATGCATTATATAACTACAGATGGTAAAAATACCTAATAGTCCAACCAAATTACACTTGGAGAAAAAAAAAATTGTTACCTGGACTGTTATAAGTGGAAATGGTAAAAGGGCTTATATTAAACCTAAAAAAAATAAATGCGTGAGCAGGGGCGGCGGAGGGTTGATTTGGGGGGTTGAAAAGTTATAAAAAATTGTATCATTGGGATTTCTGGCGAAAGTTGACGTCAAACAAAAAAGTATCCAATACAAAAGTTGTAGATCGTACAAAAATCTACAACTTTTGTAGAAGTCACTTTTTAACATAACCTCTAAATTTCCGAGAAAAATGCGAAAAACAGGTTTTTTTCTGATTTTTCGTTTTTTATTTCTTATTTCCGTAAAAATAATTTAATTTTGACGAAACTTGGCGAAAGTATACCTTTCTCCGTCTTAAATAACCTCAAATTTTTTTAGATAAAAAAATCAAGAAGTTTCTGAGATATTCATTTTTTTCGGCCTGAAACACTTTTTTTTCAAAGAAAAATTCTACTTAGAAAAATCATCGTACAGAGTTCTGCCGGTAATAATTTTTTTCGTGAAATAAAAAAATCTTTTTTTTGGTGAAATAAAAAAATCTGTAAAAACAGTTCAGACATGCTCTAAAATACAAAAAAATAAAAAATGACTTGCAACAATGAATTTTTCAGTTATTGTTGATAATTTGTTTAAATTAAAAAACATTCAAAAACTGATTACACCATTCAATTCTACGGAAAAAATTAAAAAAAACTGTCTCATTGTTTGATCCAAAACTTTATTTTTGTACAGTATTGCTATAATCATCTAAGTCGAATTACAAATGCACAAATGATAAATTATCTCTGGATGATTTGAGATTTCAACAATACAAAAGTATTAACTGCAAAGTCTACTGTTGACGCGAAATCCGAAACCTCAAAATTTTGCAAAATCGTTTTAAGTTTTTCCTGACTTTATTTGAAAACGAATTTTAAATAAATTGCATATTTACATTGCCACATTTTTCGCTCTATCCACTGGCGTCGATATTTTTGCAATCCGACGTTTCGTCTTCGAGGGGCCATCAGCAGATTAATTTTTTTAAATATATCGCTGCTATTTTCTAATTCTGTATTAGATAATATTACTATTGTTTAAAGAGATTTTTAGCTATCATTAAAAATTTTTCCTGAGTACGGCTCTGAACGCTTTTAAAATAACCTGTATCTATTGGAGGAGAGCAATACAGCACAAAATATTTAACAATTTTTTTTAATCCATAATTTAAAAAGTTGTACCTAATAAAAAAATAATACGAATTTATGAAATACCTATTTTATTATTTCTAATTAGTATTGCTAACAGTAAAAAATTGTTGGATATTTTGTGCGGTATTGACCTGTATACTATTTTGACTTCATCCAATAGATATTTTGAAAGCGTTCAGAGCTGTAGTCAGGAAAAATTTTAAGCTATAGCTAAAACAAGCTAAAAACTTTTTAAGCGATTGCAATAATTGTAATATCCTCTAATTCAGAATTAGAAATGACTTTAGATTTTGTCATAAAAATAGCAGCGACTCATTTAAAATAATTAACCCGATGATGGCCCCTCGAAGACGAAACGTCGGATTGCAAAAATGTTGACGCCATTGTAAAGAGCGAAAAAAGTTCAAACTTTAAAAAAATAAGTACACTAATCGATCCTACGGAAAAAAAAAAAAATATTTATTTTATTTATTCACTATTCGACTTATGTTTATAGCAATACTGTACAAAAATAGTTTTGGGTCAAACAATGAGACAGTTTTTTTATTTTTTCCGTACAATTGAACGGTGTAATCAATTTTTGATTTTATTAAATTTAAACAAATTATCAACAATTACTGAAAAATTCATTGCTGCAAGTCATTTTTTACTTTTTTTTTGAATTTTTGAGCATGTTTTTGAACTGTGATTACAATTTTTTTCTTTCACCAAAAAGTATATGTCAAAACGAATAAAATGATTACCGGCAGAACTCTGTACGATGATTTTTTTAAGTAGAATTTTTCTTTGAAAAAAAGTGTTTCAGCCCGAAAAAAATGAATATCTCAGAAACTTTTAGATTTTTTTATCTAAAAAAATTTGAGGTTATTTAGGACAGAGAAAGGTATACTTTCACCAAGTTTCGTCAAAATTAAATAATTTTTGCGGAAAAGAGAAATAAAAAGCGAAAAATCAGAAAAAAATTTTTTATATTTTTCTCGGAAATATTCAGGTTATGTTAAAAAATGGCATCTACAAAAGTTGTAGATTTTTGTACGATCTACAACTTTTGTATAAATACTTTTTTGTTTGACGTCAACTTTCGCCAGAAATCCCATTGATACAATTTTTCATATGTTTTCAACCCCCCAAATCAACCCTCCGCCGCCCCTGCTCACGCAATTATTTTTTTCCGTTTATTATAAGCCCCTTTACCATTTCCACTTATGAAAGTCGAGGTAACAATTTTCTTTTTTTTCCCCTCTAAATGAGTTATTTTGATCGGTCTATAAACATATTTTTGAACTTTAAATGTGGTGATAAATGGAAACGTAAATGGAAACGTATTTGTATTACCTGTTTTAAAGGTTTATTGCCTGGCCATGCTGGTAGGAGATTTTATTGGTCTGTTCAAAATGCAAAAAAAAATCACACAAAATTAGTAAGCAACTCACAACTTGGCAGTTAGTTTACCTTTGCTTGAAGGGGAAAACGTATATGTAGTTTCATCAAATGCAGACGCTAATCCACGACCCCTGTTACAGTCACCCATACATTCGCTTTCAAGTAACAAAAATTCTTGCAATTCTTCCTGACTGTCCGCAGTATGTAACTGAAAAAAAGGCGCTTGGATCTAATTCCCTTGGTTCTAGTGGATACATGGTGTTTTCGTTATAATAATTTTCATAGATTCTACTCTCTTTAGATATCGATTCATTTTTTACTCTAGGAAAAGTTTGGAATTTCTCAGGTAAATATTCAACCCCCATAGGGTGGGAAGGTATTGCATTGCAAGAACTGGAATACTTTGTCAGCAATTCACTTCCATATCTGCGTTTTCCAGATCCGTTACTGCCTTTTAAGCTGCTGCTTGTGGTAGAAGGTTCGCTTTTTTCCTCTATGGGCGATAATATGTAAAACGCGTCAGGGGTAATGGTGGCTTCATATTCGCACATTTCTACTTCTTGTGGCTCTATTATGGGATCTTGTAACTGGAAATCGGTTTTCAGAATATCAAAACTTTTGTAATGGTCATCATCCTGATCAAAAGGGACCGTCGAATCTATTAGTTCCAATACGGAACTCAAGGAGTGCCTATGCGAATTTAAATATTCTGCCATTGCCGAATTAACGAAATCGTGTTTGACCTTTGCTTTGCTGTACATTGGTTCACTGAAGACGGACGTGCAAGACGAAGCTTGAGATGTCAAAGTAACGTATTCATTCAAGTAAATCGATTCTCTATGAGCCTCAGCAGCAAATTCTTGACATTCGGGAGCTAGCTTACCTTCCTTTTTAATTTTTTTAGCTACCGTAATGCTTTCTAAGCTGTCAGTAGATAAGACATTAGAACATGCATGCTGCAAAGAACACTCCACGTTTGATTTACCTTTTAACGCTGCTGATAGTTCTTCCATGTGTGTTACCCATTCGGGTTTCCTGTACTCTTTCGTGCCTACGATACCTAAGAGAAACAATTCAAAAATTAATAAATGACGCTTCAAGTAACTAATAGTCCACAGTACAGGCCCCCTCTGGAAAGTTGATTACCACATACTTTATAACTCCAGAGGAGCTTCGTTTTGACGAGTCTACCACATTTTTCCTCTGCGACTTTTCTCGATTCCTCCGCTTTTCCACTCGGATTGTCCGACAAATTTAAATCGGCATTTGCAACAAAATTTCCAGTTACTTAAGCTAAGAATAAAAGATGTGGTCTTGACTTTTCAAGACCCCGGGAGATTGCCATGTTTTTTAACTTTTCCGAGTGGAAAAGCGGAGGAATCGAGAAAGGTCGCAGAGGAAAAATGTGGTAGACTCGTCAAAAGGATGCGCCTCAGGAGTTATAGAGTATGTGGTAATCAACTTTCCAGGGGGGGCCTGTACTGTGGACTATAATGCAGTGATAGTAATTATGTATATATTGATATGGTTTAAAAGAATGTATAGATGTGTTATTTCTGGAAATAGAGGGATTCCGGTATAGCTTAGGAAAGCTGAAAAAATTAAAGCCTAGATTATTGAATAATAATGACTACTGTTACAAAACATTTACCTTCTGTAGTTTCTACTACTAATTCAGTACTGGTAACAGCCACACCCAGAGGATTATGTGCCTCAAATACTATTTCCCCAGAGTCATCTGGGTACGCTTCGTTTATTGTTAAAATGGAAGTGCCGTCGTCCAAATTTTCAATGGTAAATTCATTTGATGGGATTATTTCCGTTCCAGCTTTAAGCCATTTACCTTCCGGTTTGGGCTTACCTAAGGCTTGTACTTCCAATCTGTTAAAACAATAACCAGGTTAATACAAGTTTAGAGATATTAGTTAGAAGCAAATTTGGATCATTGGATATACAGGGTGTTAGAAGTTTGACTGCCTTAATTTAAACAGACGATAGAATACATTAAAATAAACAAAATAACCTTATATGACATGGGTCCTAAACTCAACCATTTCTGAGAAAAAATTATCAAAATATTGACGTAACAGCGTGCATAGAATACCATAAAATACAATGTTTATAGTGATAAAAAAGTGTTTTTGAACTTCTTTATGCTTAATTCTAAAAAATAATTAGCGTTGTAATAAATTTAAAATTCGATAAAATTCATATGGAGCAATGTGACAACGGCGCGGCAGATAACACGAAGTACTAAGCTGTCCAGCAAGACGCAATTCAGTTGGTATCTGGAATTGGACTGTGTTTGAGTGTTTTTTGTGTACCACTATTTCCTTTTCTTGAGGTGTTTTCCAGCGAGTGCGCGAAAATTGGATTCGAAGGCGTCGTGCGTGCATCGATAATGGTGGTGGACATTTTGAGGATATGTTGTAGTTTGTTTTGTACTCGTGCATTTAAAAATTACTCAATTTTGCTTTTTTCCTAAACTATTTTTAATACGTATGATTATTCGGATGACGTGAATCTTTGGGTACTTTAATTACATATTTTCCAAATTCATAATTTGATTAAAAGTTAAGTTCTTGTTTTAAGAAATTCATAATTACTAAAATTCGAGCTAAAATTTAAGCACAACACCATGTTCGTACTACAAAATCGATACATTTTATTTTATTTATTTATAAACTGGAAAACAGTTGTCTTGAAATTTACTAAATGTTTCACAATAATAGTTGTTTACATTTTTTCCGTAGGACAAGTGTAGCGTTAGGTTAAGCGCTGTTGTTACATTGTGATGAAACTCCCCAATATTAATACTCGCTGTATTTTGAAAACTGTTAATCTTACGCCCCTGTAATATACAACTTTTTTGTTCATTTATGATTACTCTATCTCATGCTGAAGTAATGGCAGTCAAACTTCTTACACCCTGTATAAAATTTTATTATTTTATTTATAGGAGCGTTGAATAAACTAACCCCTGACTGATACTTTCGGGCAAATGTTTATTTCTTATTTTTTTTTATTTTGTTCACGGGTAGGGAAATATACAATAAACGAGAAAAAACGCAATTGAATGATTTCGACATTCTTGAGTTTTACTAGACACTACACTATTAGATATTTGTTATAACTACACTTTTTTCCCAATCTCTGAAAATAAAACAATAAACACGTTTCATTTGAATGATTTATTAATTTAAAGATTGTTTATGAGAAACTCGCGGCTAAATAAATATAGTCTGAAATGTTTTTATACACGGTGTCTGGTAAGTGGCATACTCTCGGGAGTCATTTGATCAATTTTCAATTCCATAATGAAATAAGTGAATAATCAGATACAACGGTTAATCTTTTTCTTTTAAATGTAAATGAATATAGGTACTAACCGAGTAACATCTCCATCTTTTGTAGAAACTACTTGTGGAAGCTTTTTCACTATCTTCGGCGCACATTCTGTCTCAATGTCAGATTGGAAGTCAGTTTCGCTAACAGTCTGCAATGAAATTGAATAAAAAAATAAATTTCTTAATTAATTTCTTAATTGCTACCTTTTCAGCTAAAAGATCTTCTTCGGAACCTGTGAAGTGACTTAATTCTGAATCAGGGTTATATTCATAAGCTTCAACTATGAGGGGTGACTTGCAAATAGCTTCCCCGATTTTGTTTACAGCTCTGCACACATATTCCCCAGCATTTTCAGGAAATACCTCTGAAATTGTTAATGTACAAACGCCTTGGGTGTCCTGGGAAATGATTACGTCCTTCGCTTCTTTGACAAGGGAGTCGTTGTGATACCATTCAACTTTTGGTATTGGTTTTCCAGTTACAACACAACTGAATGTGACCTTTTCTCCATCCATTACACGAACGGGATACATCGGTTTAACAAATCTGGGATATTCCAATTCCTTAGTATCTTCCCATTCAGTTTCTTCGATAACATTTAACGATGCAGTACATGTTACCGAACCGACGGCATTTTCTGCTCTACAGGTTATTAAACCGGCAAATTCAGGTTTTATTTCGGTAATTAATAAAGTGGATTTATTATTTTCTGTGACGATTCTGCGCTCAGGAGAAGAAACAATTGGGGTGGATTCGTGGAACCACTCAAAAGTGGCAGCTGGGATAGCTTCTACCACAGATTCCAAAATCACAACTTCTCCAATGGTTGCGACATGTGGTTTCAATGGTTCTATAAATTGAGGAGGTTGTGCTTCAGTGGTGTCTTCAGTTATGACAACTGTACTCGACGAACGGGCTTCTCCTTTAGGGTTAACAACGCGTACTTCATATTTACCTTCTTTTTGCTTTTTAGTGGCTCTTTTCTTGATTTTCAAAATTGTTTTGCTTTCTTCTACTTTTATGTCATAATCGTTACTAGGTTTAATAGGTTGGCCATTTTTCAACCATGTGACTGTTGGTTTCGGTGTTCCTTCAAAGTCGGCTTCAAGTACAATGTCCTCGGTTGCTTTAACAGCTATTGGTTTGAGAGGTTTTGATATTTTAGGAGCATACATTACCACCGGTTGAGTAACAGTTACAGATTTTGATATAACAAGATTTGCTCGACACTCAGCCTGACCAAATTTGTTAGTGGCTTTTACGGTGTAAATAGTTTCATCTACTGGAGTTGGTTCTAGTATTTCTAGTTGGGCTACTCCTGTTTCGGGATTGTAGCTCAGCTTCTTGGTGGTACTAGGTATAATCTCTTCTTTTGCCTTAAACCATTTAACTTTAGGTGTTGGTTGGCCAGTAACTGTGCATCTCAATATAGCATTTGACGTTTCTTCTATGATTTGGGGTTTTAGAGGTTGTGTAAAGTGTGGGGCAATACCAGATTCTTCTTTTTCTGAAAAATATTATTAATAATTGAAATATTGGTAAAATTACAATTGTAGCACAGTGCCGTAGAGTTATATCAGTTTTATTAATTACAATCACAAAAAGCTTTTATTTTTTATTTAAAATACAATAAATACAAATTGCGAAGCACCTTTATTATGTTATTTTGTTTATTATAAATGTAAGGACAAGCTTAAATATCTGCGTTTTCAAAGAAAAAGAAAAAACGACAAGTAAACACCCAATAAATAGCTACCTAAAATGACAAGATTAGCTGTTGATGTAGCTACACCAGCCGGATTGGTTGCTTTGCATGAATAAACTGCAACATCTTGTGGTTCAACTTTGGAAAATTCTAATGTGACAGTATTTTCAACGATATTAACGAAAACACGTTCATTTGCACGAAATACTGCTTCATTTTTATACCAGGTGATATCTGGGAAAGGTGTACCTTCCACCGTGCACGTAAGGATTGCAGGTTTTCCCTTTTCTGCAACTACAGGCTCAACCCTCTGTATAAATCTTGGAGCAATGGTTTTTGTCTTTGCTCTTTTACCAATAGTTTTATGTACTACTGATTTTTGTACCACAGTTTTTTCTTGAACTTCTACATCTTCTGTAAGGTTTTCGTCTGGTACTTTATCTAATACTTCAGTAGTTCGTTTCTGTGAAATAATTTCTAATTCTGGAATAGGTTGACTATCATCAAATGATACAATTTTTCTTTGTTCAGTTTTAACTTTTTTGGAGGAAATTTGTACGTCTAATTCTTTTTGGAATTGAACTTCTTCTTCTTCAGATGGTTTTTCAACTTTCTTTTGTATTTCTTGTTTCTTTTTCTTTTTAGCTAGTTTAATTTCTGTTTCAGATTTTTCTATTTCTGGGACTTGGAGTTCTTCTTCTATATCCTCGATTTTAGTGGGTTTTAATTCTGGCTTCTCTTCCGCAATTATTGGCGTTTCTTCTGCATCTAAAGGTTTTTCTTCTTTAGCTTTACCTCTTCTCCATCCTCTAATTTCTGGCTGTTCGGTTTGTTTAGCTTTTTTAGGCGTACGCTTCTTTTCATCATCATCATCTGGCTTTTCAACTGATTTCAGAGGTGTTATACCAATTTTATCTTCATAATCGTCAACCGGTATTTCTCTTGCAAAATCTTGTTTTGTGTCTTCAATTTCTGGTTTAAATATAGGCTTTTCCGGTTTTTCTTTAGATATTGGTTTGAGTTGAATTTGTTCCTTTTCTTCTTCAGGTGCAGGTTTCCTTTTGCCTTTAGGCCATTCTTTAATTTCGGGTACTTCATCCTCCTTCTTTTTAGGTGTTCGCCGCCAAGGTACTGGCGCCTCAGGAGTAATTTCCTCAGGTTCAAGCTTTTCTTCTGGTATGGTTGTTTTGTCCATTTTTTCAACTTCGACGATGTCATCTTTCTTAACGTCAGATGGTTTAATTTTTTGTTTTTCGTATTCTTTCAGCTCGACATCGGCTTCAGGCAATTTCATATGTTTTGATAGTTCTGGTATATCCTGTTCAGGCTTTTTCTCTTTCTTAACTGGTTTCAGCTTAACTTCCTCCTCAACTTTCTGGTCCTCTGGTAATTTACCTTTTCCAATTTTAAGTGGTGTTTTTTCTTCTACTGGTTTTTCTTCTTTTGTCTTTATTTCTCGTCGCCATGGAACAGATGGTTTTTCCTCTTCCTCTTTTGGTTTTGCTTCAATTTCTATTTTTTCTGCGATCTCAGGGACATATTTATCTGAATCTTCAATTTCAGGTAATTCTTCTGGTTTTTGTTTCTTTCCTCTTCTCTTCTTTTCTTTGGTCTCCGCAACTTCGATAATTTCTTTTTGCGGTACGGGTTTCAATGAAATCTTTTCCAGTTCTTCCTCTTCTTCCACTTTGGTGGCTTTTGGAACAGGTTTTAGTTTTATAGTTTCTAATGTTACATCGGGTTCTTCTATTCTCTTTATAGATTTTGGTTTTTTATCTTCTTCAGCTACTTTAAGGACAACTGTATCTTCTACTTCTGTTATTGTCTCTACAATAACTGCTTCTGGAACTTCATCTAATTTGCTTGGTACTTCTTCTGATATCTCTACATCTTTAGGTTGTTCAAATTCTGTTTGTTCGCTTTGAGGAATTTGAGGACGAGTACGCTTCTTTTTCTTCTTCAACTTTTTCTTAGATTCGTCAATATCTAGTGGTTTTTCGTCTTCAGAGGATATGTCGGAATGAGTTTCTATAACTTCTCCTTTCTTCTTTAAAGGTTTAAGAGTAACGCTCTCAACTTCTTTTTCTAAACTTGGTTTAGTTTTAGTAGTTGGTTTTAAAGTTACTGTTTCTTCTGTCCAAGGAGAAACCTGTTCAGTTGTTTTAATATGTTCTGTATCAGAAGGTTTTAGTTCTGGTTTCTTCTTTCTCCATTCCTTAATTTCTGGTTTTTCTTGAGTGAGCGTTTCTTCTGGTAACTGTTCCTCGGACGCAGGAGTGTCCTCTGGTTTTACTGGTGTGATATCTTCTATTACTTCAGGTTTTTCTTCTTTTTGTTCTTCTATCTTGGGCTGTTTTCCTCTTCTCCAGGATTTGGTTTCTGGTTTTAAGTCAGGTTGTTTTTTAATATTACGTTCTTTGAGTTCTTGTTCTTTTATATCCATAACAATTTTTTCTGCTGTGATTGTGAGAGGTGCTTGTATATCCGTTTCAATTTTATCCAAGTCCTTCATTTCCTGAGGTATGATTGTTTCAGCTTGTGTTGTTAGAGGTTTCAACGTAACTTCTTCCATCTCTTTTTTAACTTCTTCTTTTTTGCTTTTTTGTGTTTTCTTAAGTGCAATAGGTTGTTTATTCCATGGAATGTCCTCCTCTGGTTTTTCCCGTGGAGAAATTTTAGATTTTTGTAAATCAGTAGTTTCCTTTTTATCTACTTCTTGAGGTTTATCTATAGGTAGTATTGCCTCTGGAACTTCCGGTTTTTCTTCTTCAGGTTTCTCAACTTCAGAGACCTTACCTCTTCTCCAGGATTTTGTTTCTGGTTTTAAGTCAGGCTGTTTTTTAATTTCATGTTCCTCGGACACAGGAGTCTCCTCTGGTTTTACAGGTGTGATATCTTCTATTACTTCAGGTTTTTCTTGTTTTTGTTCTTCTATCTTGGGCTGTTTTCCTCTTCTCCAGGATTTGGTTTCTGGTTTTAAGTCAGGTTGTTTTTTAATGTCACGTTCTTCGAGTTCTTGTTCTTTTATATCCATTACAGTTTTGTCTTCTGTGATCTTCAGTGGTGCTTGAGTATCTGTTTCAATTTTATCTAATTCCTTTGTTTCCTCGGTTATGATTGTTTCAGATTGTGTTGTAAGAGGTTTCAATGTAACTTCTTCGATCTCTCTTTTAACTTCTTCCTTTTTTGTTTTTTGTGTTTTCTTAAGTACAATAGGTTGTTTATTCCATGGAATGTCCTCTGGTTTTTCCTGTATCTTTGTTTCTTCCGTTTTATCTACCTCTTGAGGTTTTTCTTCTTCTGGTTTCTCAACTTCAGGCACCTTACCTTTTTTCCAAGATTTTGTTTTTAGTGTTTCTTGCGTTTTATCCTCTACACGAGATTCATCTACACTTGGAGCCACTTCAACTACATCTTGTTTTTCTTTTTTAACATCTTCCTTTTTCAAATGCTTACCTCTCCTCCAAGATCGTGTGTCTAATTTTTCCTCTTGATTGATTTCTGTTGAAGAATCATCAGTGAATTGTACAGGCGTTTCTGTTTCATCGATGGGTTTTTGTGTTTTATGATCTTTTATGTGTAACTTTTCAGTAACATCAGTTTTTTCTTTAAGCACTTTTGATTTATCAGTTTGTATTTCAATGGTTTCTGTCTCTTCAGTTTTAATTATACTTTCTTGAGGCTTTGTTGGTTTTAAGTGAATTTCTTCTACGTTTTCCTTAACTTCTTTATTTTCTCTTTGCGATTTTTTGAGAGTAATTTGTTGCTTATTCCATGGAATTGTTTCTTCTATTTTCTCTGACTCAGGTGCCTTTGGTACCGGAAGTTGCGGTTTAATTTCTTCCTGCGTTTCCTTTTCTGGTATTTCAGAGGGTGCAGTTTCTAATATCTCGGATATTTTATCTTCATCATCTTTTGGCTTACCCCTTCGCCAGGATTTAACTTCTAATTTTATTTCTTGCTTGGTTTCATCCGTTAAAGATTCATCTCCCGCAACGTGCTCTAACGGTTTGGTTAATTCTTCAGGTTTAATTTCTTTTGTAGCATCTGGTTTAGTTATTTTATCTTCTGGCTTTATGGGTTTTAGTTGAACCTCGTCAATGATTTCTTTGACTTCTTCTTTTTTAACCTTTTCAGTCTTTTTAAGAGTGATTTTCTGCTGGTTCCATGGGACTGGCTCTTCTTTCTTTTCTAACGGAATTATTTGCTGTTTTGGTTTTTGTGGTTTAATTTCCTCTTCTTTTATTTCTTTTGGAATTTCCTCTACTAATTCTGGCTTTACTTCCTCAGTAATTTTCTCATCTACGGATACTTTTCCTCTTTTCCACGATTTTGTTTCTGGTTTAGTTTCCAACAGTGAATCTTTTATAACAGATTTTTCTTCAGCAACTTGCGACGTTTCGTCTCTCCTAAGGTTTGTTATTTCCTTTTGTTCGATTTCTTTGAGATCGATTATGGATTTATCTTCTAAATGTTGTAGTGGTTTAACTCCTGTTTCTTCAAGTCCAGTTTCTGTTACCTCTTTCTTTTGAGTTACTTTATCATCTGGCTTTACAGGTTTTAGTTGAACTTCTTCAATTTTTTCTCTAACTTCTGCCATTTCCTCTTTTACTCTCTTTTTAAGAGTAATATTTTGTTTGTTCCATGGAACGGGTTCCTCCTTCTTTTCTAGAGGAGCAATTTTATGTTGTGGTTTAATTTCCTCTTGTTTTATTTCTTTTGGAATTTCCTCTATTAATTCTGGTTTTAATTCCTCAGTAGTTTTCGCATCTACGGATGCCTTCCCTCTTTTCCAGGATTTTGTTTCTAACTTGGTTTCCAACACTGAGTCTCTTATTACAGATTTTTCTTCAGTAACTTGAGACGTTTTGTCTCCTCTAAGGTCTGTTTTTTCGGTTTGTTCAGTTTTCTTGAGATCGATTATAGATTTATCTTCCACATGTACTAGAAGTTTAGTTTCTATTTCTTCAATTATGGTTTCTGTAGTATCTTTCTTTTGAATTTCTTTATCATCTGGTTTCACAGGTTTTAACTGAACTTCCTCAGTTTTTTCTTTAACTTCTGCCGTTTTCTCTTTTATTGTCTTTTTAAGAGTAATATTTTGTTTGTTCCATGGAACGGATTCCTCCTTCTCTTCTACAGGAACAATTTTTTGTTTCGGTTTTTGAGGCTTCAGTTCCTCCTCCTCTATTTCTTTTGGCATCGCCTCTACTAATTCCGGCTTTTCATCTTTATCTTTTTTCTCATCTACAGGCAGTTTTCCGCGTCTCCATTGTTTTGCTTCTAATTTAGTATCCTGTGACTTGTCTTCTTTTCCAATTTCTCTTATTTCCACCTTATCAGTTTCTTTAATTTTTATTAAGGATTTATCTTCTAAATCTTGTACGGGTTTAATACCAGTTTCTATTACCTTGTCCTTGTCTTCTGGTTTTGCAGGTTTTAATTCAACCTCGTCAATTTTCTCTTTAACCTCTTGTATTTTCTCTTTTTCTGTCTTTTTAAGAGTTATTTTCTGTTTGTTCCATGGAATTGGTTCCTCTTTCTTTTCTTCAGGTAAAATTACATGTTTTGGTTTATCTGTTTTAGGTTGCTCTTCTCCGATTTCTGCTGGTTGTTCTTCTTTGGGAACGTTATCATCAGCAGGAATTTTTCCTCTTATCCAAGCTTTTGTCTCTAATGTTTCTTGTTTCACATCTTTTAATGTGCTTTGTTCGGTTTCCTTAATGTCTATTGTTGACTTATCTTCTAAGTGTCGTAAAGGTTGTGGTCCTGCTTCTCTTACCTCTACTTCAGTTGCAGCTTCTGTTTTAGTTATTCTATCCTGTTGTTGAACTGCTTTCAACTGAATTTCTTCTGTTACAATTTTATCTTCCTTTTTCTCTTTTTGTGTTTTCTTAAGAGTAATTTGTTGCTTGTTCCATGGAACGGGTTCTTCTTGTTTTTCGAGTGGAGTAATTTTTTGTTTGGGTAGAATAGGTTTCACTTCTTCTTTTGTCTTTTCTGTAACTTCTTCGGTAGAGGTTTGGACTGTTTCAGATTCTTCTTTTGGAATTTTCCCTCTCTTCCACGATTTTGTTTCCAACTTGATTTCCTTTTTATCTTCTACTGTAGACTTCTCATCATAAACCTGTGTTACTTTCTCATGTACATCAATAATTTTCTCGTCTTTTACATGTTTCAGCGGTTGTTTCTCTGGCAGAGTTTCAATTTCCTCTGGTTTCAATTGTTCCACCACGTCTTGTCTTGCCTTATGAGTTTGTTTAAGGGTAATTTGTTGTTTGTTCCATGGGATGGGTTCTTCCTGTTTTTCTGCGGGAATTACTTTTTGTTTTGGAGTGTCTGTCGATATTTCAGTCTTCTGCTCTTCCGGTTTCCTTCCTCTAGGCCACATCTTCGTTTCTAGGACACTTTCACTAACATCTTCTGTAGCATCAATAATATGTTTATCCTCAATTTCTCGTAGTGACGTAATTTTTTCACGCTTTTCATCCCTTGCAGTTACATCTTTAAACTGTTTTTCTTCTTGTTTGGATACCACTGCCTTTTCAGGAACTGTCGGTTTGAGAGGTACCTCTTCTAGTTTTTCTTTGGGTATTTCCTTTTGTTCTCTAGGTGTTTTCTTAAGGATTATTTCCTGTTGGTTCCATGGTACTGCTTCGACGGGAATATTTTGCTGTTCAGGCTTCCTTCTTACTTGAGACGTTTCTTCTCTTTCTGATACTTTAAGTAAACTTATGTCTTCAGTCTCATCTTTTGATTGTTTTCTAACACGCCAGTCTTTTGGTTTTAAATCATCAGTCTTTGTTTTTACCTTTTCTTTTTCATCTACTGTTAAGATCGATGTTTCTTCTGTGTCTGAATATTTTTGAACACCCACTTGAGGTCCTCTTGACTTACGCCAATCTTTCACTTGAGATGTTTTTGTTTGATCCACCAATTCTCTTTCATCAATTTGTAAGAGAGTTTTATCTTCAGTATGTATCAATTTTGTCATTTGATCTTTTGATTTTGATTCAACCTCCAGAGTTTCTTTAGTAATGTCTTTTCCACCGCGATGCGTTTCTTTTAATTTTATTTGTTCTTTTGTCCACGGTTGAGCCTGTGCAGCTTCTGGTACTCGATCTAAAGGTTTCTGTACAGCAAAGGGAACCTTAGTTTTATCTATTTTTCGCCACGGTAGTGATTCATCACCTACGGGTAATTCATTCTCTTCTAAGGGTTGCCCACCTTTTGATCCAGGTGTAGCTTTTAAAGTGGTTTTGCCCACCCCACCTGGTCCAGGACCAAACTGGGTTTTTGTGTGTGTCTGTTTTTCATCTTTACTTGTTATATCTACAGCTGAAGTTTTTCGGAATGTCCCAGGACGTTCTGAAATTGTAATACTTTTCTATACAGGCATTCATAACAGAATAAGTGTCGAAATATTCTGCTTAAGAAAAAGCTTATGGAAAATTTATGTTCAGAATTCAGTTATTATTTTTATTATTATATTACAATAGTCGGTTTAATATGACTTAAAATAGCTTTTGTCATATTTGTCCTTCAGTTTAAATACAGTTTCAAGGAAACTTTCGTTGTAAGATTGTGTACTAAATGGGAATGGATAATGATAGTTTAAAAAAACGATAAGGTTTGTAAATTATTTTAATGTTTTCTATTATTTTCATATTATTATCTTAATAAAATAATAGTATAATATTCAACGAGCGTATAATGATGGGTATTATTCACGAGGTGAAGTTTACGGCCACGAGCCGCAGGCGAGTGGCCTAAATCACCGAGTGAATAATACCCATTATACGGGAGTAGAATACTATACTTTATCCACGACTACTAAATATTTTTGTTGAAGTTTTTTTTGAAATGTTTCGAAAAACATGGTATGTTAAGAAACAGATATACGACTCGCACAAATGAAGTCGCTGATGGCTCAGTGTAGATGCTCTTTCCCTTCCAACCGCGGGTCCCGGGTTCGAGTCCGGTCTAGGAAAATTCACTTTTTTATTTTTTTTTTATATGTACAGCACTGAATTGAAAATATTTAGTGGTTTACACGATAAAATTTTAAAAACGGATTGTTTGTAGCAGAACAATATAATATTATAGCTAAATTAAGGAAGCATCTGACAGTAGTGATTAATGACTCATTAATCACTGCCGTGATTAATGGGTATTATTAAGGTCGAGCAAACAGACGTATAATGGGTACATTATACAATAGTCGTGGATAAATAAATAAATAGTTCAGTTCTATAGAGACTCTTATAATTCTTACAATTTATTGTTTCATTGTTTCCAAAATTGGTTTTATAATAATTTGCGTAATACCACCACAAATTTTATCGAGCTTTTCCTATTTTTGCGAGAACGATATAGTTTCTAGGATAGTTTTTTATACTCAAGAAAAACTGACAGGTTAGGAGAAAATCGAGAAGAAATTTCATCATGTTCGTTGTTAATTTATTTTTTTTACAATCTTCTATTTATTGTTGTTACAACTTTTGGAATCCAAATTGAACCTTCTTGCTTTGATTCTCTGAAGATAGTGAGATTGTAAAATGGACCTCGAAACTAGTAGCTTGTAATAGTAAAATAAGGACTATAAAATAAACTGATAAACTATTTTCTGTTTAGTATCTGGTAGTTTAGAAAGCAACTACACGAAAGTAAGTAGATTTGGATAGAAATATTTAATAATAATTTATTAAAATTAATTCAGTACCCAACTGGAAAATAAATATGAAATAGAATTAGTAAAAATGTGCCTAATTTAGAGATTTACTTATTTTTATGGATAATTGTCTTTCCCGAAGTTTAGAGTTGATTTGAATTTTTGAGAATTTACACATGTCAAGATTTGATAAAATTTTTCTTTAATTTCCAACTTTTCTTTGTTTCCGCGGTTTCCTAGAATGCCCTATTTAAGAAAAATGCAAATTTGTAGAAATGTTAATGCTCCGCCAGACCCTTTGGACCGTGCAAGAATGAGGAACGATATACATTAGGGGTCGGCAACCTCTTGGATAATGCAGACGCTAACAGTCATAAGATGTTTTTCTACCATAGAATTTTTGAATTCGTAAAACTATTAAGAAGAAAGAAAGCCATACAATTTACCAATACCGTCATGAACTTCAAGTTCATCAGGTTATAATTTATGTGAACGAAAAGTTTGATGTATACCACTGAAGTGAATACAGTAGAAGAATTATGCGAATGCATAGAGAATTTTGACAATTCTGAACATATTTATGCTGTTCCGGATTTCCGACCATAATTAAGACGTTATGCTTTTATTTGACATTATATTCTACATCGTGTTTGAAATACTTTTTTGTGTTACTGATATTAGCAGAGATACGGATGAATCCGTATTAAGTGGACACCCTGTACGTTATACTGACACTACAAGGATGAGTACATTCATGTTTCAGACCACCTTGAGTAAGAATCCGCTTAATTTTGTCCTTAAAAAGACCCAGAATAATGGTTATCTAATTTTTGCGTTATAAAAAAGTTTGTAGTTGTCCGTCGAATGGAATTATTGGAATATTTTTGATGCGCCTTCAAGAGACCTATCCAACAAGAAAAGATTTGTTGAAATGTGTTGATAAATAAAAAAAAAATAACAGGGGCGGGTCACTACTGTTTCTTCGTAGTGATATCTATTTAAATTTTAATTCAATAATAATATTCTATCTTACAAATTTTAGAAATATAAATTTTGCTTCAACAAGAAAACACCTGTTTGTAACTATCAGTTGATTATAAAAAAAATATATTGCAAATATATTTGTAACCCTTTTCGAGATCTCGAGGTCGGCCACCCCTATTTTAATTTTTTTATTTGGCAAATTCCTTTCGAAATTTTTTCATTACTAAAGTTTTCTAAGTGGGCGTAGAAATTATCCCCTAAAAAAACGGTATGGGTTCTGTGCATCAAAATTGGAATACGAACATTTTAAAATTCGCGAGTGGTCACTGTAGTAGATAGTGCTAAAGTAAAACGCACTGTATATTGGAATGGGCCAACTCAAATGAGAAAAAGTCTTTTTGAAATGTTACGAAAAGATTTGATATCTCAAAACTCTATTATAGTAGTAGGTACGAAACCGATAGTTTTGTAATATAGGTAGTTGTGAGATATAAGGACTAAAAAAAAGTTTATTTAAATTCGCTCAGCAAAAAAAATTCCAAATTTTTTTATTGATTTTTGAGATGCTGTAACAACAAATTTTTTTTCATTAAAAAAATTATCTTAAATTTTATTAACAAATTTTCTTTTCATTTGATAAGTATTTAATGTGAAATTGTGAAAAAAATAAGGAAAACAAATTTGAAAAATTGGATTTTTTTTCAAAATTTAGATTTTTTTCTATTTCGATGTTTGATAAGTATTTAACGCGAAAACGTGAGAAAACTAACCCAACATTTTTTTTCATCTTAATCATTAATTGATGTTTAAGAAGCAATAAACCTGATCATTTATTTTTTTTATAAAACTTTGACGACTCGGGAAAGGGCAACAGTTCCACCGATCGACTTCAAAATTTACAAGCCTCCTAGGCATGTACTGAGTTAAAAAAAAACTACAAACATTTGTACTTTTCGCAATGTTTGCAAAGTAGTCGTTGATTTCCCAAAACAGCAGAAAAAGTAATTTTTTGCAGTTTTTCAGATTAATATTGAGTATAAAAATATTTTTTTTCTTTAACCTGCTAAAAGGCCCTTGAAGAGGATTGATTGAAGTTTCCAAAACGCACATTCCGTTCGCTGTACGATCACTAGTTCATGAGATATCGATGATAAAGAAAATGTGACTTTTCACTCATTAGCCGATATCTAATGAGAAAAAATCGCAATAAAGAAAATAAAAAAAACAAATTGATGCTGAGAAATCATGCTAAACGACCTTGGCAATGATTAAGCCAGAAAACAATTTTCTGAACCGATGGGCAGTTTTGACGAAAAAATTTGTAAAATGTTTGCCTTGTGTTATTTCTTTTGGTTGCGTCAAGAGTGATGAAATTTTTTCACCTCAAGATTTTAAAATTAGAATTTTCAAGCTTCAAGATGCTTTCTTTATTTTCTAGATACGACCATTATTCACAAGTTACATCATTTCAAAAATCACTAAAAATATTTGTAAATTTTTTGTGCTCCATTAATTGTTTTGCAGAGTTTATTAAACGTAAAGCAAAAGTGCTGTGTTGAATATCCATTCGATAATTTACTATTTCGAAACTAAATGAGTCCCACGAGAAGGTGCAAAACAAATTTGTAAACAGTCTCATCTATCAGGGTCCCCTACTGAGTCAAACAACAGGTTAATCATAACCGAATCTATTTTAGAAGACTGGTAATAGCGTTGGTCAGAAACGCTATTTTCGGTATTCATCAGCGAGATATTTTCAACGCGTGAATCACATACATAATTTGAGGTGAACACACGCTGTGCGTCTACATTTTTTTTCATGTGCACGCACATCCCCACCTTGTGGGCCGTGCATGTGAACGTACGTTCCGGCATTCTTCAGAAAAACGGATCCCACTGGGTCCCGAGTAGTTGCTCTAGTAAGTGGGTTAGTGAATCGTGACACGAGCTGTGCGCGCCCGAGGACGGTGTCTGTGTTTTCATGTTTTCGAACCCAGTGCATAATGCAGAGAGTTCGCGTTGTGTGAAAAAGTGCGCTCAGTTACCTAAGCCACATAAAATTATGGTTAAATCGCTCAAACGAGCACAGAAATTAAAGTATAATTTTATGTGGCTTTACACAAACAGAATAGAACTTCCCCTTATCTTAAAATTTTGTTCAAATTCCAAGCATATTGTATAATTGTCTTTGTAACTTTTCTGTAATTGATTTAATTTACAATAATTGTTAATTATAGTGCTAAGTAATTAACCTACTTGTGCGAGAAAACGCTGTTCGGGTTTCTATTTATTAAAGTAGCTTTAAGACTTAATTTTGTATGAGATAACGTGTGTAAATAATAAATGAAAATGTTAAGTATGTTTGTTCTAAAATAAATTATGTCCATTTTTACCGATGTCTCAGGTGAGAAGGTGTTGGATTTTTTCCAACGATTTCTCAGGCATGAGTCATTCGCCTTTTGGTGAGAAAAAAAATCATTTTATTTTAGTCGAAGGGGATACGACAGACAGAAGCAGATAATCACAGTGACTAACGATGTTTATTTACCGAAATATTGGCAAAAATATAATTTTAACGTGTAGAACTGAAAACTGTAATGGATTTTAGTAATAAATTTATTTTATTACGTATTTTTATTAGCGCCAGTGGACCGCACCGTGATGTATTACAAATAAAGTTTTTAGAGAAGAATACGCGTGATACAGACATCTGGCAAGGTGCAGATTTCACTATGAGGTCTCCTAATTTAGAATCGTAATGTTATACACACACGTAAAGTTTAAAATAGTTCAGCATGTGTCATATTGCGCACGACTCCACAGTTTTAGTTAAATGAGTTTTTGTTTTGTTTGAAATTAGAACACAGAGATGTATGCGGCTGCTAATGATTTTAGCATGAAATACACTTCTATTTAGAATTTGTTGCTTCGCAGCAGGTGCGAATGTATCTTGGGCTCTGCACTTAATCACCTTTTGCTTGTCAGGTATTTTTAACCGTGTTAATTGTTTTCAAGGCGCCTCAAATTTATTTTTTTTTAAATAGAAATACTTTGGCCGAAAGTGGCGCTTTTAATGAACAGGTTCGTGAAGATGTACTTGAAACGCAGGTGTTCTTAACAATAGCAGTTTATTAAATAAATTAAAGCATGAATTATACAGTTCTATGACAATTATAATTTATAAACTAAGCCCAGCGTTCAGCAAATTAGTGCCAAAGCTGTATTCAATCCTAAAAATATCACTTGGAAGTTGAACAAATAAGATTTTAAATCCACCACCAGTAAGTAATCTAATGAAAGAAGGCTGCAAAATTTATACTCCAAAAATCCAGTGACTTAATGTTAAAATGAGACATATAAAAATTGCAGGGCAACAATTAAAGCTATAAACTAATTTCTAAATCAATAAATTAACGAGGCTTCAGTTAAACCGTCACCTCTTTTATGTATGTCAATTATTTTACAAAATGTGAGATATGGGAGTGGGTTTATTTCTTACTTTTAACGATCAATTTCGCTGATTGTTCTACTTGGCCAGCGGATGAAGTTGCTCTGCAGCTGAATGTTCCAGAATCTTCTTCGTACGTGGTTGATATTAACAAAATGGCATTGTTGCCTTCTTGGATCATCTGAAATAGAATGAAAGTGTTTACAAATCGATGCGTATTGGATAAATATACAGTCCTAGGCGATTTAGAAGCCATATTTCAATAATAATGTGTAAAGCCGTCTTTAACGTATAAAATGTTATAGGTACTTAGACGAATTTTTGAGATTCCTAAGGTAGCCGTAATTTTTAATATCTGAGGCAGTGTTTATTCTAGTTAATTATGCTGTCCTGTTGACGGACATTATCCACATTTACAATATACTCACATATTCAGCAACATGTAGAAAATATATTACGAAATATTTCCGACTGTTATAAAACGAACAAACTAAACATAGCTTTCCGCAGATATTCTAAACATGAGAAAAAAGTTATTTTTTGTTGTGCATTTGCAAATAAGATTTTTTTAGTGAAAGTTATTTTTTTTATTTCAAACAGGACAAAAGACGATTGATTGTAAGAGTCAAAAAAGTTATTAAGGGTGAAATATTAAATATTTACTGGAATTAAATATAGAAAACCTTATTTCAAGCGTATCTTTTTTTATTCTTACGAGAGTTATTTTGTCTAACAGGGGACACTCTTTATATAAATAGAAAAAAATTGTGTTTCCTATTTGAGATAAAAATCTACTTAATTTTTAGATAAAATGTTTTGATTTCTATGTTAATTTTTGTCTTTTGTCATTTTTTACTGGTGCGGTTGGACCAAACTGTTTTCACTCTCTTATTGTATTTAATTTTTCTTAATTTGCACACAGTGATCGAAGGATTTTAGTGTAGGTACACAAAAATGCATATATACAATTTTTGTAGGCCACACTAGCACTTTTATACAGGGTGATTCAGGTTGCATAATTTCAGGAATCGATAGAACAGGTTAAAATAATGTTCATTTGTGATATAAGCTTATTCCTAAATCGCACCGTTTTGGAGATAGAGGGCGTTGAAGTAGGATTTTTACCCGTTTTCCCTCATAACTTTTGAACTTGAACAAAAATCATAGTGCTTTTACAAATCACTATGATTTTTGTTTTTCATGGGTTGCTATAACGTTAAATAAAATGAACGCGGCTGGGCCGCTACACTGTCACGAATTTCATTGAATATCTCAGAAACGAGGCCAAATATCGAAAATAAAAAACTCGTGAAGCACAAGCGGTGTGCAGCTGTTTTATTGAAATTAATTAATTTTTTTCTAAATTAATGTAAGATGGGGTAGCACACAAAACACACTTTTAAAAGGGGTAGGTGGTTCAAACTTATGAAGCTTATGTAAAATCATAAGGAGTGTTTTTGTTCCGAATTTCACTTCAATCGGATGAGTGGTTCAAAAGTTACGAGGGAAAGACGGGAAAAAAATTCTATTTCAACGAAACGGTGCGATTTAGGAAATAAGTTTATAACATCAATGAACATTATTTTAACCTGTTCTATCGATTCTTTAAGTTATCCAGAATAAACCTGAATCACCATGTGTAGAGAATTTTCCCAAATTTTCTTTAAACATTAAATAAGTTTGTTGTAAATTTATTATTTGGTATAGTATTATTTTAATGCATTTGATGAGACTCTCTACTCAATTCGGCCTGCGTAATAATAATATGCCGCCTCCTCTCCCGCACAAGTCTCCGACTTCTGGGTTAATTCTTGTAGTTAGAATGAGGAGTAGAGATATTATATTATATATTATAATTGTTTAAAAATATTGAAATTATATTATTATAGTTTTAAAGACCTCAATCCCAGCAACTTCTTGTAGAATTTACTTAGAATCAAGATTTGCGTAAGTTGTATTCTTGGTAAATGTGTACTAAAGTATTAAAAAAATACAGGGGAAACCTAAAATTAATTGAAAGTCGCATAAATAAAAAAAATTACTTGTAACTAATTTTATAATTAAATTTTTTTGTTCAATTGATTTGACAATGTTAAACTCATTCAGTTGATGTATCTTTCGAGCTTTCTTTGCCATTTAAACAATTTGAAGTTGCTGCTGACAAGTAAACTTCCAAAATACGCAGTGTGCCATGCTTTCTGGGCACAATACAGGGTGTTAACTAAATAGGTTGCCAAACTTTAATAGGCGATGCTTTATAGATATTAAACCAAAAAGGTTATATAAATATATAACAAATGAATAATTTTCAAACTACAGGGTGTTCAAATTAAAAAAAATAATATTTTCTAACATATATTCGGATAAAAATACGTGTACCACTGGCGGAGATATCGGAAATCGCCCTCATTGAAAACCCCAGAAATCTATCCAAAAAAAAATCATCTTATTCGAGAGATAAACCATTTTTATTTATTACTATTTTAATTTTCATCAACTTTTCTTCCACAAATGTAAAATGACTTTAGAACTATACTTACGTTTTCCAAAAAAAATATTTTTTACCATTATTTTAATGCTATCTAATGGCGATACATCTGATAAAAATTAATAGCGGGAAATTGCGTTAATTATTTTCTTACTCTTTTCATGATTACGTTATATTTAAAATCGAACATTTCGAAAAAGAAATTTTTGCGAACTGAGTAGTTCTATAGGTTTAATGAACTGTTTGAAAGTAGTAAATCGAAAATGATACGTCTTTCGATTAAAATGAAAGATAATTTTTTTTTGAAACATCAGAAGGGGTTAGAATTAGTGAGAAAATTTTTTAAATATTCTGTGGCGTCGAATTCCTGCGGTTTTTAGTAAAAATAATTCCCTATACCTTCGCTAATGGTACATGCATTTATATCCGAATTCAGTGGACTTTTATTTTCAATTAAATAAATCATTTGTCTAGGTTTCGTCATTCTATATCAAACGTCTTCAGAGATATTATAGAAATTGTGATTTTTTTTAAATGTTCTCGAAATCTGTTGATTTACACGCTAATATTATTTGACTTAAAATCACTCGTAGAATTACGACTGAAAAATTTGTCTATGAATTAATTACCACTATACATTTTCATTTGCATTTTTAAATTTTCATTTTTCTCCAAAACGAAAAAATTCGCAAGTATTTAAATAATAGTTCAATGTAATCGTTTCTTCATTTTTTATACCGCAAAAAGGAAATGAAATAAGAACTTTTTGTAGTTATTTTCTGCAAACTATGAATAGTAATAAACAGATTTTCAACGACTTGTGGTGTTTTATTTCTTTATATACCTTTTATTTAAAAAAAAAACATGAGAACCACAATTTTGTACTTATCGTCAAAATAATAATTTTTATTATACCTACAATTTCATATCGTGCTCTTACATAGGGTGTTACATGGATTTCCTTACAAGTACCAATGCAAAATTTGGTACCTACACGGTTTTTGACCATTGGTGGGTCATATTTATAAAGGGCGATTCACAAATAGTGAACAAAAATGAAACCTCGAATTCTTTGGTGAATGCTAAGGGTAGTCATTCCTATAAAGTTTTTATCTAGGACGCTTCGTTAAAAAAATACAGGGTGTTAAACTTCAAAAAATATTTTTAATTTTTTTAAGTAGGTAATTTAAAAACTAGTAAGTGAAGTAATTTGAAATTAGGCACAGTTCGTTTTTCAAGTTTCATTCGAAAATCAGGCTTTTTTCGGAAACCATAAGAGAAGAGTAATTTGTAGAAAATTGAAAGACGAACCCGAAAATATCATGGTTGTTACCATAAACCAGAGCTGTATTATTTTATTTAGAAACATATGCCACCGATGCCCTGTATCTCCGCCACTGGACCATGTATATTTTATGAAAAGCCCTCAGATTTTGTACAATGTTTATATAAATACATGTGCCCAATTTCAAATTATTTCACTTACTAGATTTTAAATTATTTAAAAAAAATTAAATATATTTTTTGCAGTTTAACACACTGTATCTTTTTAACGAAGCGTTCTAGATAAAAACTTTATAGGAAATACTCTCCTTAAAATTCACTAAAAAATACGAGGTTTCATTTTTGGTCACCAGGTGTGAATCACCCTGTATAACTATAAAGGAATGAAACCCACTTTTCAGAGTCACCTTGACAGTAAAAATGTCACAACTTTTTTGTCTTTTGGACGATGTGAATTTCGATCCTGTAGTATAAAACAAACATGTCAAGTTGTCATCTTTATTAATTAGAAATATTTATTTGTATCTGAAGGTGAATGTAGCAGCTTTTTTTGACGAGTTATCCTTGTAATAATTGTTACCTAATGATAAATGTACTCTCTATTTTTACTCAAAAATCATTTCGTTTAACAAAATTTTAAACGCAGTAATTTGTTACCATAATTTTCTTGTATTTACAAGATGACAACTTGCATTTGTCAAGAGATGAAAAAGTCCACGCCTTTATCAAGGTTGTTATGAAAAAGTGAATTTCGCGCAATCCCTTGTGTGACCCTAATTCATCAATTAGTTCAGAAGGTATTGAAATAACATTGTCAATACTTCATCATCAATCTGTTATATTTTCGTTTAGGTAAGAATGAAGCTTTAGTTAATTTGAATATTTCTTTTGGCTGCCAAATTAAGGAAGACGCATTATAAGAACCCGGTTTTAGAGATTACTATTTTCTCTTTTTTTGTTTTTTGGAAACATTGACAATATCAGTACCTATACCAGTTACAGGACATTTTGATTTACTTTATTTTGTTGAAATATGGCTTAATGTACAGACTACATATTTTCTATGTGAATCCAAGATATTGCAGAACCAAAAAATAATTATTAATACTCTTGCATTCTTAAGTTCATTTGTTAGACAGGTTCATCTGTGAGATTAAAAGTTTACTTTTTGAATTTGAAATTCATTTTGTTTTATATAATTTTGGTAATCAGTTGTACAAGCCGTAATAATTTTTACAAACATAAGAAGTTTTATACAGGGCTGGAAAATCCGCATGGTCCATCTGCCTTAACATGAGAGCGACAAAGTAAAGAAATCTGTGCGATAGATAAGGATGGCTATAATGAAGACGTTTCATAATCTGAATAATCACCGCCCGTTTCGGGTTAGAAGTAGGACTGACTATTCAGATTATGAAACGTCTTCAATGTAACCATCCTTGTCTATCGCACGGATTTCTATGACTTACTTTATCGCTCTCACGTAACGGCCGATGTACCATGGGGACTTTCCGAACCTGTATATACTTAAAATCTTATACTTTTATATAAAGATTATAATAAAAAATATAATGAAGTAAATAAAATTATAATATACTTAATAAAAAATAGTGCTATTAGTGTTTATTACGTTGATAATACATTATTATATAGACCTCTAGGAATTCATAAAAGTTACATTTTTTGAATCTGTATTACATAAAAACGGATTCACTGAATATGACAGTATGTACACAAATAAATTGAGTATTAGTGCAAGAAGGAAAATATTGGCCAATTTTTAACTAGAATCTGTTCCGAACTGTGGTATTTTTTAATTATTTTCTTACATCAAGACGACTTTATGGCTTCATTATTTTCTATTTTGCTATACTAAGGAGTTTTATTTATAAATATTTACCTGGAAATCGGGCGATTCTGGAATGAGGAATCCTTCTCTCAACCATTGGATGGTCGGCTTGGGCTTTCCGGAAATGGTCGTTTTGAACTGTCCAGGACTTCCTTCAGGTACAATGACGTCTCTCATAGGAGTTAGTGAAGGTGCTACCTCTTGTGTTTCGGGCGCTAAAACTTTCAGTTTAGCTTGAGTTGCAATAGTTCCCGCTGGATTTTCGGCAATGCATTTATAAACACCTTCATCTTCAGGGAATGCTTCGGATATTCTCAATGTACAAAAGTCTCCTTCCTTCGTCATCTGGAAGTACCTGGACGGTTTGATCACTTTATCAGCCTTTTGCCATTTAATTGTTGGAGTTGGTTTGGCTGAAATTTTACATCTGAAAGCTACTGCTTGACCTTCTCTGACTGATTGTTCTTTAAGCGGTTCAAGGACAGTTGGTGCTTTTTCTGCGCCGGGAGTTGTTGGTTTTGATGGTTGCTGAGCCGTTTTTGCAGCTACTACGGAGCATTCAGCTTCACAGCGCGCTTCACCACCACTGTTGATGGCTACACATTCATATTTTCCAGAATCTTCAGGTACTACTTCAATTATGAGCAGTGTGTAAAGTTCATCTTCTTCTAGTGTCTTGTAGCGGATATCTGAGGTGATTTTCTTGCCGTTCTTAAGCCAGTAAACGTCAATTGGTTTAGTTCCAGTAATTTTAGCGTCAAATCTAACTAGCTGACCGACATTAGTGTTAGTGCTTTGAATTGTGGTTGTGAAGCTAGGCGGTATGACACCTGCTCTTCCTTGTCTCCTTCGTTCCTGTACTACCAAGTTAGCACTGCACTTAGCAGTGCCTCCTCGGTTTTCTGCTACGACGCTAAATACGCCAGAATCTTCCATAAATACTTGTCTGATTTGTAAGATAGATTTTGTACTAAATGTATATACTTTTAAATCTGGTGAACTGGTAATTGGGAAATCTTCTCTGAACCAAGTAATCTTGGGAAGTGGATCACCATCGAATTCGACTTCAAACTTCGCTGAATCGTTTTCAAAAGCACGGCAAGGTTGGATTTTCTTAGTAAAGAATGGTGGATTTGAGGGAAGCAACTGACCTTGAACCAGTCGTTCTTTAGTTTTGGCTTTGTGTTCGACGTCAGTGGTCTCTGTAGCAGTGATGTTTCGAGTAATTTCCAGATCACCTATCTGTTCCTTCTGAGTCTGTTTCTGTTTAGTAACATAAATTTCTCTTCCGTGAACGCCCGATTCTGTAGGTTCTGGTGGATATGCTCCACGTTTTGAATCAATTTCAACCTCTTCCTGGATAAATTCTTTGCTTTTATCCGTTTTTCTCAGTCTGATTTGATCTTTATGTGGTATCGGTTTTGGAGGTTCCGCCTTTGGTAATTTGGGTATAGGAGTTAGGTCAACTTCAAATGGTTTTTCTTCCCTAAAAAATATACAATGATCAGTATTATGAAGCACCGAGGTGTATTAGAGACTTACAAGTTTTCTTCGTATTGCTCCGCCATTCCTCTTGTCAAAGAACTGCTGACGATTTTTTCACCAGGGATTGTGAACTGGTGAGACGATTCTCGAAGCCTGATCTCTTTGGATACTTGTTCGTTTTCGAGTTCTTGTATCTTTGAATAGTATTCTTCGCCTTTTCTAGTTTTTATTGTCTTTTGCCATTCCGTTTCAGGTTCCTTGAATTCCCTTTGCTGAACGTGAACTCCAGTAACTTGCAGTCCGTCTTCGCGGAGCGTTGTATTCCGGTCATCAAATACTCGTTCTAGTTCAGATTCGGAACGCTCCTTTTGATATTGAGACAGCTCGAGGTCATACCAAGCTAGACATTAAATACATTCTTTAGTGGATAGATTTGGTGACTTATTTTATTGAAAATATAATAAAAAAAAAGAACAAATACATACAATACACATAATGCACATAGGATTGGATATTTAGCATGCAATAAATATAAGGTAACAATGGCATACCTGTTCATTATTTTCTTCAGTTGAAAGCATGAAAAAACATCCGTTGATAAATGCTTCGAAGCAGAATGATGCGGACTGGTGCGGAACAGGAGAGGTTTAAGGATTTGAGGAACCTTATATGTGTTAGAATAGTTTTTATAAGTGATTGTGCTGGATTGCTTTGCTTGTAGTTAATTGTGGGTAAATGTGCAATGTGTAAAGTATACGGTAAATGTAAGTCATTATATGTATTGTCGTATTAATATGAGTAACTTACGTCTCGGCGAGTTCTTCAAAACTCCTCTGTAATCGTCGTGCCTAGGAACAATTTTCAGTTCTGTTTCTGCAACAGCTTCGCCAACAGAACTGCGTGCAATAACTTCCACTTTACCAGTGTCATATTGGCGAGTTTTTGGGATATCCATGTGATACATTCCATCGTAAGTTAATTTGTAACGAGAGCCGTTTACTACGGTATGTCCGTTGATAAGCCACATAACACGTGGTCGTGGGTGGCCAGTAACGCGGCAGCAGAATCTGGCCCATTCACCTTCTTCTACTATGACTGGTTCCGGTTTGCTTACAAAAGCTGGAGCCGATCTCGGTTTAGATTCTTCCACTGGCTCCTCAGGGACACTAAGGTAAAAACACCATTTACTTTGATACTTTGAAGCGATTAAATATATACTTACACTTGCCAAGCGGCTTCCATCTCACGTATTCTCTCAATGCTCTTCATTCCCTTCGGCAATTGAGATTCATAAATTATTCCGGGTTTTCCAGCAGTTTTAATCACAGCTCTAGTTTCATCCATGCCGTATAAGTTAGTAGCGCGGCATAAATATTCTCCGCTGTCCTCTGGGTAGACCCATCCGAAATTCATAGCAACGTAACCAAAGTCGTATATTGGAGTAAATCTATTTTCTGAAAAACGAATGGATTAGGTATATAAAATAATACTTCCTTCTATAAATATTGAACTTACTGTGTGATAAAGGTTTTCCATTTAAGAACCACTCAACTTTCATGTTAGGATCTCCAACAGGAGCCAATTGGCATTCAAACTTAGAACTTTGCATTTCGACTAGTTCTGTTTGATCCTGAATTTGTGTAACGAATCTAGGTGGTTGTTTCTTATCTACATCGTAGAGATCATCCTCAGTAAGATAGATCTCCGAGGTGTATTTCTTAATGGCCGCTTCCATCTGCATAAGGGCTTCTGATCTCTTCATACCCTTGGGTATTTGGTTTTGCAAGATAATATTTGGAAGTTTCTTGCACGAAACGTTGGCCCTTGTGAAATCCTCGCCGTGATCATTTACGGCTCTACATACGTATTCCCCAGAGTCTTCAGCATAAACATATAAGATATCAAGAGATACAAATCCTAAATCAAAAACAGTTCTGTAACGATGTCCTGAAGGCAAAAGTTTGCCATTTCTGTACCACTCGATGCGTAGTTTCGGATCATCTTTTGGTTCGACTCTGCATTCGAAGTGTACTGATTCAGATTCTTCAATAGTGGTTGATTCAATTTGAGTAATAAATTTGGGTGGTGAGAAAACTTTGTCTTCTTCTGGGGCTTGAGATACAGGGCCTTTCTCTAATTCCTTTAATTTCTCAGCAGTCATACCAGATGGAAGCTGACTATCAAAATCGATGTTACGTTTAGTCTTAGAGGTAACGGTAGCTTTGGTGGTGGCTGATCCCCACTTATTTGTGGCGCGGCAAATATATTCGCCTGCATCGCGACTGTATGAGTAGTCAATATCAAGAGATATGAATCCAAAATCGTTGATTTGATGAACCCTTGAACCTGTCGCGAAAGGACGGCCGTTATGGAACCAATCGATCCTCATTGTTGAATCGTTAGTAGGTTCTACACGACAGTCGAAATGAATAGGACTGCCTTCTGGGATATCGATATTGTCTTTAATTTCAACAGTAAATCTTGGTGGGTTTGGTTTTTCTTCTTCAGCCAACACTTCTTCCTTTTTATATAACTGTTCTTCAAGTTTCTGGATACTTTCTGTACCAGTTCGGAAGTTAGATGGTAACTGTGGTTCCATAATAATGCCCTGTCTGCCTCTGACTTGTAATTGGCAGGAGACAGTCGCTTCACCATGACGGTTAGTAGCTTTGCATGTGTATAGTCCGGAGTCTCTTTGGTATACTCCGGATACCTCGAGGATGACAAAACCAAAGTCATTAATTGTTTTAATTCTAGATCCAGCCCAAAGGGGTTTGCCGTTGTGGAACCATTCCACGCGCATGCTTTGATCGTTCACAGGTATAAGTTTACATTCGAAGTGAGCAAGGCCATTTTCATTTAAGGTCAAATCTGAAGGAGAAGTTATAAATTCTGGTGGTCTTCCTGTATCGTCTTCGGGTGTTGGTTGGGATGGTGCAGCGCCTAAACCTTCAAGTTCAGCGATTTTATCTATCGTTCCTTCCATGCCTTTGGGCAATTGCGATTCTAAAATGATACTTCTCTTTCCTGATACTTTCATAGAGGCAGTTGTAACAGCCTCGCCATAGTCGTTGAATGCTCTGCATGAGTATTCGCCAGAATCTTCAGGATACACTGGAGAAATTTCTAGAATGACAAATCCAAAGTCGCAGAATGTGCGGAATCTGGATCCAGTCCTTAAAGGTTTTCCGTTCCAGAACCATTCAACTTTCAGTTTCGAATCATCTGTAGGAATTAGTCTTGCTTCGAAATGAGCATTTTCGCCTTCACGCAGACTGTCAATGTTAGATAAAGGTACTGTAAAAACAGGTGCTCTTCCTTTTTCAACTTCTTCTTTTTCGTCTCTCTGTCGGATTAAAGAATCTTCCAAGGTTTGGATTTTCTCCAATCCACCTTCCATGCCCTGCAAAAGAAATAAATTTTATGATAACGAATATTAATTATGAAATGTATTTCTTACCCGCGGCAGTTGCGAGTCCAGGATTAAATTAGTCTTCGAGACGCATTTCAAGGTAGCCTTTGTAGAATCTTCTCCGTACTTATTATATGCTCTGCATTCGTAAATTCCAGAGTTTTCTTCGTAACAGTATAGTATATCAAGTATTACGATACCAAAATCATGGAAGGTGCGGTATCTGTGACCATGAGGTAACTTTTTGCCGTTGTAGTACCACTCAACGACTAAATCTGGATCAGTGACAGGCGTAAGGCGAGCCTCAAAGTGGGCGCTTTGACCTTCAACAAGTTTTGTGACATCTTCAATTTGGGTAATGAATTTAGGTGGCTCAGTAACGGGAGTTGTTGGTGTTTGGGCTTGCTGTCCTTGTAAGCTTTCAAGTTCCCTAATTTTAGCAAGAGATTCTGGTTGCAAACTTTCACTAAATACGCCTCCCTTTCCATGAGCTGAAATGGTTGCCTTTGTAAAATCTTCGCCATACTTATTGTATGCTCTGCAAACATATTCTCCAGAGTCGTGACTTTGGATGTATGAAATATCCATAACAACAAATCCAAAATCGGATACGGTTTTGATGCGAGATGATTGTAGAATGTGTTGTCCGTTGTGGTACCATTCTACTTTAAGATTGGGATCATTGACAGGTACCAATGTACATTCAAAATGAGCAGATTGCCCATCTTTGAGACCAACGATATCTTGAATCTGGGTTGTAAATCTGGGTTTTTGCCCAGAAGATTTTTCGACGCATTCAAGGGTAACGCTTTGTTCTGCTACACCCCATTTGTTTGTAGCTTTACAAGTATAGGTGCCAGAGTCTTCAATCTTTGTGCCAAGAACTTCTAGAACAACCATACCAAAGGCATGTACAGTTCTAAATCTGTGAGAAGCCTCAATTGTCTTGCCATTGTAGAACCATTCAACAGTCATAGTTTGATCACCAATAGGTGTCAGGCCAGCTTCGAAGTGAGCAATTTCGCCTTCGCTGAGATTTACCAAATGTGTAAATTCAGATGTAAATACTGGAGCGTGTCCCTCATCTGATTCGGCAACCGGAACTTCGGGTCTGTTTAGAGAATCTTCGAGATCTTGAATCTTTTCAAGTCCTTCTTGTCCTTTAGGATGTTGAGTTCTTTCAATCAAATTGGCTTTGCTAGTGCAGTAAATAGTTGTAGATGTAAATGCCTCACCAGCCTTATTAGATGCTTTGCAGGTGTATATACCTTGATCTCTTTCATATACATCAGTTAAATCAAGAGTTACGAAACCGAAATCATTTGCTAGTTTAAATCTAGTTCCGTGGTCGAGCGACTTGCCGTTAAAGAACCATTCTATTTTTAAGTTCGGATCTTCTTTTGGTTCTACAGTGCCTTCTAAATGTAAAGGTTGCCCCTCTATTAATCTAAATTCTGGATTAAGTGGTATAACCCAAATAGGTTTAGGATAATCTTTTTCAGGTGCTGAAGTTTGTCGTCTGTATTTCGCTGCTGCAGCTTCCTCAACTTCTTGAACTTTCTCGAGGCCAGCTTTTCCCTGGGGATGTTGGGTGTCCAGGTAAATGTTTTGCTTAGCAATACAACGCAAGGAACCAGATGTTGTGGCAGAGCCTTTGCTGTTGGTGGCTTTGCAGGTGTATACTCCGGAATCTTCTTCATACGAATGAGTAATGTCAAGAGCAACATAACCAAAGTCGTAAGTTGACTTAAATTTAGCTCCGCTTTGCAATTGTTTGCCATTAACGAACCATTCTATTTTCATAGTGGGATCTTTGGAAGGTTCAACATTACATTCAAAGTGTACATTATCTCCTTCTAAACATTCGACGTTGTTAAGATGGGATATAAACATAGGAAGCTCATAAGTTGGCTCTGGAGCTTCAGGACGAACTTCGGGTGGTCTTTCTAAAGCTTCTAACTTCGGAATAGCATCTGGGTGAAGTGTTTGACCAAGAAGCCAGTGACGGTCTTCGATTTTAAGAGAGCATGTTGAAATAGCTTCACCTAATTTATTAGTAGCTTTGCATGTGTAAATAGCTGAATCGTCGTCCCTAAGACCATTAATGGACAAAGTGACCAACCCAAAGTCAAATGTGCTACGTAGACGAGTTCCAGTAGCCAGTGATACTCCGTTCTTAAACCACTCAATACGTAAGTTCGGATCAGCTCTAGGTTCCACTTGCGCTTCTAAATATACATGTTGCCCTTCAATCAAGTTATCGTAACTCTTGAGATGTGTCGTGAATACCGGAGGCTGTTGAGGTGTAGTATCAACAAACATTTCAGGTACTTTGTTCATTTCAGCTTCCTTCAGCTGGATCTTTTGCCAGGCATCGGGTTGCAATGGTTCACCTACGATATGGGATCTTGGTTTTACTTTCATTGATATAGATGACACAGCTTCTCCAGCTTTGTTGATGGCTTTACACATGTACACTCCTGAATCTTCGGTTACAGTGGACATAATGTCGAGAGTTACGAATCCGAAGTCATTGGTAACTTTGAATCTAGATCCAAGATTCAGTTCAACACCATTGACGTACCATTCAAATCTTAAGTTGGGATCACCAACTGGGACAACCCTAGCTTCAAAATGGGCATGTTGTCCTTCCCAGAGCTCTGTGGGACCAGTAAGTAATTGAGTAAATATGGGTTTTTCAAATTCTCTATCAGGTTCTTCTGGTCTAGGTGCTTGAGGTTGTTCGAGCTGGGCAATTTTACGTTGAGCCTCTGGATGCTGTGTTTCCAACTGGATGCTGGCTTTGGCTGAAAAAATAAATCATGTTAGTTATGTAGAAGGAGAATTACTACTATAATTATGTATTTATAAATTATATATAAAAACTGTAAATTTAAGACATCAATAAAGAATTGTCTCAGAGTTATTAGTTTTCATGTAATCATTTAAAATTTTAGTTAGAACAAAATTGTAACCTATTTGATTTTTAGTTTTTGAAAAATCTGTTATTTGTTTTTTTGGGGTTCATAAAAGCCTAAAAATACCTACTTCTAATTTTCATAGATGCAGTCGTGACAGCTTCTCCAAGTGGATTAGTTGCTCTGCAAATATATACACCTTCGTCTTCATCCCTGACATGGGAAATATCTAAAGAAACAAATCCAAAGTCATGTACTTTCTTTATACGTGAGCTGTCTTCTAGTGGCTTTTCATTCCTAAACCATTCTACTTTTAGGGTTGGATCACCTACAGGAATAAGGCGGCATTCAAAGTGAGCAGTTTGCCCTTCGTGGATAAAGTCAATATTCTGGAGGGGTTGTGTAAATACAGGCCGCTGTCTTGTTACAGGTTCTTCGTGTTCCGGACGTTTGTAGGGTTGTTGCTCCTCTAATTGTCTTATTTTCTCTAAACCTTCAGGTCTTTGAGATTCAAGGATAATATTGCTCTTGGCAATTACTCTAAGATTAATGGAGGATACGCATTGTCCAAGATTGTTAATGGCTTTGACTGAATATTCCCCGGCATCTTCAGGAACTGCATGTCCAATATCTAGAGCTACGTATCCAAAGTCAAATGTAATGTGGAACCTATTACCTGATGGAAGTGGTTTGCTATTGTGATAGAATTCGATTCTTAGATTAGGGTCATGAATAGGTTGAATTTGAGCTTCAAAGTGAGCCGTTTGGCCTTCATAAATTTCAGTAGTGCCACGTAATTCCGTGACAAATATAGGAGGAGTTGGAGTAGGTTCCTCAATTTCTAAACGAGCAGGATGTCCCTGTGCTTCCAATTCTCTGATTTTTTCAAGGCCTTCTGGATGATGAGTATCTAATAATATGCTCTTCCTTCCACCTACTTTAATAGTGCAGGTGTTAACGGCTTCACCAACGAGATTAATGGCTTTACACATGTACGTTCCACTATCTTCTGGCCATGCATATAGGATATCAAGAGCAACATATCCAAAGTCATGAGTGGTTCTAAATCTGTGGCCTGTCTTAAGTTTAACTCCATTGACATACCATTCGATTCTTAGATTGGCGTCATTGATAGGTTCGACTCTACATTCCAAATGCGCATGTTCTCCTTCTTTCAGATTGTCTAAGCTTGTTAGCGGCGTAAGGAAAACTGGTCTTTGCGGTTGAGGTTCAATCTCTTCCTTTTTGGGGCGTTCATAACTTTCTAGTTGTTTTATTTTACTCAAACGTTGTTCGTCTAGTGTTTCAAGATAAAGGCCAGATTTAGAAACGACAGACACAGCCGCAGTTGTGACTGCTTCACCAACAGCATTCCTTGCTCTGCACATATATGTTCCAGAGTCTTCGGCGTATGCATAAAGGATGTCTAAAGCCACATATCCAAAGTCGTAGGTTGTCTTAAATCTGTGACCGGTTTGAATCGGTCTGCCGTTGCAGAACCATTCTACTTTCATTGTTGGGTCGTTGACTGGTGTGAGTGTTGCTTCTAAGTGAGCGCTAGCGCCTTCTGCTAAATTTTCAATAGTTTTCAGACCGCGTCCGAATTGAGGCTTCTCGAGTGTAATTGCGTCTTCATGTGAAACACGCTTGTATCGTGATTCATCTTCTAAATGTTGAATCTTTTCAAGGGCTCCTTCATGTTGAGTTTCGCGAATAATTGAAGATTTTGCTAAAAAAAATAAATAATTAGTATACTGCTTCAATTAATGTTTACCTTTTTAAATTTACATTTTACGTTGGTTACCACGGAAGATGTTGCCTGTCCTATGCGATTTGTTGCTCTGCAGGTGTATTCTCCAGAGTCTTCTGCATAAACGGTAAGCACATCTAAGCTGGCAAATCCAAAGTCATATGCAGTTCTGAATCTGTGACCTGTGGTTAATGGCTTTCCATTGTGGAACCATTCTACTTTAAGGCTGGAATCTGGATAAGGTTCAATGCGGCATTCGTAGTGCGCGCTTTGACCTTCTACGAGTTCTGTAGGTCCATTTAGTTTGGTTGTAAATATTGGAGCTTGAGTGATTATAGTTTCCTGTTCTTCTTGTCTTTGATATTTGCTAGAGTCTTCTAATTGACGAAGTTTTTGTAGAGCACCTTCATGTTGTGATTCCAGTTGTAGGGAAGCTTTGGCTGTAAAATAATTAACGAAATAGTTTGCGATATTTCATATGTTTATAATAATTATAAGCGCTTTCTTACTTACATTGAACGAATAATGTAGCTGAAGTTACAGCTTCTCCTAAGTCATTAACGGCACGGCATGTATAGCTACCAGAATCCTCCGGATTTACGTATTTCATGTTTAGGGCTACATATCCAAAGTCGTGCATGGTCGTAAGTCTGTTGGCTATTAGAAAATAAAGGCATTTAAGTAAGTAACAATATTTTTATGACAAAGTTTATACTTACAGGCTTGAATTGGTACACCGTTTCGTAACCATTCTACTTTTAAACGAGAATCTCCTACAGGAATTAGTCTTGCCTCAAAGTGAGCAGCTTGATTTTCCGCAACTTTCAAATCTTTGATAGGCATTGTGAAACATGGAGCTTGGCTAATAGTTTCCTCTTGGACAGTCTTTCTTTGATAACGGGAAGAATCTTCCAATTCAGTTATACGTTCTAGGGCCCCTTCATGTACGGATTCAAGATAAATAGATTTCTTGGACTGTACATTGCATACAGCCGATGTTACTGCTTCACCTAGTATGTTTGTAGCTCTACAGGTATATGTACCGGCATCTTCTGGATAGGTGTATAAAATGTCAAGTGCTACAAAGCCGAAATTGTTGGTTTCTGTAAATCTTGATCCAGATTTGAGAGGCTGTCCGTTGTGGAACCATTCGACTTTCATGGTCACGTCCGATACTGGAATCAATCTACACTCAAAATGAGCCCTTTGACCTTCTTTAATGTCGATATTTTTTAAGGATGTTGTGAAAATTGGTGCCTGAGTGGTTATTTCTTCAACTTGTTCGGTTCTTTGATAGCGTGAACGATCTTCTAAGTGTTGGATTTGCTGAAGACCGGTTTCGTTTTGAGTACTAGTGATAATTTGACCAGATTGTCTGCATTTTAAAGCACATGTTACTTCGTCAGATCCAATAAGGTTGGTAGCGCGACAGGTGTATGTTCCCGAATCTTCGGCAATTAAGTCGACTATATCCAGAGCTACATAACCAAAATCATGGATTGGTCGGAATCTATGTCCGACTGTTACCGGTCTTCCGTTTTTGTACCATTCTACTTTTAGATTTGGATCAGTTACAGGTTCAATTTTACATTCGAAATGGGCATGCTTTCCTTCCGTCATGTTTTCCAAATTCTTTGGTTTTGTTACGAATGTTGGTTTTACAGTTACTTGTTCATCAACAAATTCAGTGCGCTTGTATCTGGAAGAATCTTCGAGGTACTGAATCTTTTCCAGTCCAGCTGGATGTTGGGTGTCGAAAAGCAGATCTTTCTTAGCTATTACTTTTACGGAGCATGATGTAACTGCTTCCCCTAATTGATTTCTCGCCTGGCAGGTATAAATACCAGAATCGACAGGGTATACGCTTAGTAAATCTAAAGCCACATAGTCAAAATCATAGGCCGGTCGGAAACGATGACCGGTTTTGACCGGTACGCCATTTACAAACCATTCTACTTTCATGGTCGAATCGCCAACAGGTTGAAGGCGGCATTCCATGTGAACGTTCGTACCCTCAACCGTTTCGATATTATGGAGGGAACGAGTAAATTGAGGAGCTTGAAGTACAGTTACGTCTTCCGTTACATGTTTGCGATAACGCGAAGAATCTTCAAGCTGTTGGATTTGTTCAAGCGATTGTTCGTGTTGGGTATCGGTAATAATGTCAGATCTGCCAATAACTCTTACACAAGCAGATGTGTGAGCTGATCCAAGCTGATTGACAGCACGCACTGTGTATTCACCAGAGTCTACAGCTGTTGCATGAATGATATCTAAGGCTACAAATCCAAAGTCATTGTACGTTCTGAATCTTGAGCCTACAGTTACGGGTCTGCCGTTGTAGAACCATTCGACTCTCATAGTTGGATCTCCCATAGGTTCTAAACGGCATTCTAAGTGTATGTTTCTTCCCTCAGAAACAGGTTGAGGATCCGAGAGTGGCACTACGAAAATAGGCTTGGACTTGCACAGTTCTTCAATGTGATATTGTGGTTCTACAAATTTCGATTCTTCCAAATGTTTGGTTTTGTCATAAGCGCCTCTGTGCATGCTCCTAGTGTCTATACTAGCACGGGCTGTAAAGATAACAGAAAAAAATTGATAACGTATTGAACATATTTTAAATAGAAATAGGTATAACAGAATTTAATATTTCTAGTACTACTAGTACACTTACTTTCAATCACCATGCTAGCTGAAACTTGCGCTTCCCCTAGGGCATTTCTGGCAACTACCGTGTAAGTGCCAGCGTCCTCTTCACGCACACTTAAGATGTCGAGAGCGACATACCCAAAGTCGTGATACGTTTGAATTCTGTTTGCTGATTGGATAGGTTTACCATTAAAATACCATTCGATTTTCAGCGTCATGTCACTTTGAGGTTCAACGCGAGCTTCGAAATGGGCACGTTGTCCTTCTACAATCTTGTTTGTGCCTTTAAGTGGTCCCAAAAACTTTGGTTTTTGTGTTACAGCGACTTCCTCCTTCGAAGTGCGGCTATAACGGCTGGAGTCTTCAAGATGTTGTATTTTTTCTAATCCTCCTGGATGTTGTGAATCAAAAATGATGTCTTTCTTACTAACAACACTCAATTGGGCTGTTGTTGTTGCTTGTCCCAATGCGTTGTACGCGCGGCATGTGTAATGGCCTACATCATGGATCGTTACTTCTTTAATTGTTAAAGCAACGTATCCAAAATTGAAAAAGCTGGTGATTCTGGAGCTGGCTTCTACTGGACGGCCATCTTTGAGCCATTCCACTTTGAGCGTTGAATCACCCACAGGTTCTAAACGGGCTTCAAAATGAGCAAAACCACCTTCTCGTATTTCATTCTGATCCTTTATTGGCGTTTTAAATTCTGGTGGTTGTGAACTTTCTGGTGATTCTAAGACATATTTTTGATGTTGTTGTTGCTGATATGCCTCGAGTTGTTCTACTTTCTCAATGTATTTTTGTTGTTCGGGAATACCTAAGTCACCAGTGACGGTAGAACGAACAAGGACTTGAATACTAGCAGTGCTTATAGCTTCTCCTAAATGGTTAACAGCCCGCACAGTGTACGATCCTGCATCTTCGGCCCGTAGGTGCATTATGTTGAGAGAGACGTAGCCGAAGTTGAAGATTGTCGTGATTCGTGAACTGGCGGTAATTGGTCGACCATCTTTGTACCACTCCACTTTCATCGTTGGGTCACTCACTGGGGTAAGTTGTGCTTCGAAGTGAGCATTTCTACCTTCTTGTAGTTCTCCAAGATCTTGGAGTGGACGGATGAAATGAGGTTTCTGATTTGTTTTTTCTTCTAAACTGTCTGTTCTTTGATATTTGGAATAATCTTCTAGCTGTTGAATATACTGTAAACTATCAGGATGTTGGCTTGATTGTTCTATTGATTCTCTTTGGTTGACTGTAAGCACTGCTCGTGATTCAACACATCCTGTTGCACTGGAGACACGACAAACGTATTCCCCGCTGTCGTTCAACACGAGACTGATAAGATCTAATGCAATAAACCCAAAGCGGAAGATTGATGTTGCTCTGGAGCCTGCAAGGTTAAATTAAAGTACTTAGTATGTTATTTTATTTGAGAATGTTTGTAGGCAAAAGATTACTACTTACTTGCTGCAATAGGTTTTCCGTTCAAGAACCATTCTACAACCATGGATGGGTCGCCAACTGGTTCAATCCTAGCCTCGAAGTGGACTTTTCCTCCTTCAAATTGAATAGCATCTCTCAAGGGGATGATAAATTGTGGTGGTGGATAAATACGATCTTCCTCACCAGGAGCCACATAGGGTCGAGCTCGTTCAACATGACGAAGGTAAATAACTTCTGGGCCAGGTTCGGGTCTGAAAGTGTCGTTATTATATTTTTGTTGGTTTACTGTATTCGAATATACTTACTCAGGTTCGATGACTTTCGTAGGTCGAGGTAGGTGAAGGCGTCTTGGTTCTGGTGGTGGACCTTGAGGTGTTTGAACAAATAATCTTGCGCGAGTAGCGGTGGAGCCGGCCACATTTTGGGCAGTGCATTGATACCATGCTGCATCTGATGCTTTAGCTCTCGGTATGTCTAAGGTAGAGGCTCCACCGTCAATCGCAATGCGAACATCGGGGCTAGTAACGAGAGGTACGCCGTCCTTCTGCCAAGTGATTCGTGGCGTTGGGGTGCCGACTGCTCTTGCATGCAATACCACAGGTTCACCTTCTGCGACGTTAACGGTAGTAAATCTTTCTACAAATTTAGGTGCTACTACTTGTTCTTTCTCAATTACGTTCAAGTTGCACTGGAAGGAGGTTTCTCCGGTTTTATTTCTAGCAACGCACGTTACAACACCGGAGTCGTTTCGACTAACAGTTGTGATCATGAGGGCATGATTTCCCGACTCATTAACTAGAATCTTGTGATTATGGTCGTCTGTGACTTGTCGGCCGTTTATATACCAAGTAACTTCAGGATAGGGGCGACCAGTAACACGACAATCGAAGCGCGTCATTTTACCTTCAGTGATATCTCTGTCGCCACATACTCTAACAAAATTGGGTGCTAAAGTTTTGCCGGTGTCGGTTTCTACGTCGGTCTGTTGCTGTTTAAATGTAGATTCGTGAAGTAGTCCTTCTTGAGTGGTGACAGGTTCGATTGCAAGATAAGCGGAGGACACTATACAACCTTGCGGATTTTCAGCGAGCATTGTGTAATGGCCGGAGTCATTCGAGGCGGTTTGTTTAACGCGTAGTGTTGCCTGGTTGTTCGAGAAAGTGGTTTCATACTTTTGCGATTCAGTGATTCGTTGGCCGTTCTTGAACCAAGTAATTCTAGGTCTAGGATTTGCTGATAATTTCGCACTAAATACAGCATCAGAACCTTCTAGCAACTTGGAGTTGCGAGGTTTCTGTGAAACTTGCGGTGGTGCGGGAGGGCCGAGCGATCGCTCTACAGTGGTAGATATTTGTGAATCTTTTTCATAAGTCGATCGTCTCGTAATAGACTCCCTGAAAGACACTTCCCTCAATAGCCTATATTCGAATGTATCAATTTTAAAGTCTTCAGTGATAACAGTGCCATTGGAATAAGTAGTGCTTTGTTCAAATTGTGAAAAGCCCTGTCGTTGGGGAATTTGCATTCCCTCTGGGGAGATGTAAACGGAACATATAGCAGCGCCGTATTGGTTTTTGGCGTTGCATACGTATTCGCCTTCATCTCCTGGTCCAATCTGATGAATCTGGAAAGTGATATCTCCAGTCGATTCGTTGTATGATAGTTTGTGTTTTTGGGAACTTAGGAGTGGGGCTCCGTTTCTTGTCCAAGTAACGGTTGGCTGTGGTTTGCCTGTTACTCGGCCCTCGAAAGTAGCCACACCACCCTGGGCAAAGCGGGCATTACTAAACACTTTCTCGAACACCGGCGGTTGTGCGTTGGGGCCAAATCCAATTTGCTGAAGTTGCTCTTGGGTCATTTGTCCTCCTAGAGACAAAAACATCAATTTATTACTTTATACATAATTAACCAAAAGTTGTGTCGATGTGATATTAGATATTTTTTCTTTGATTATTCCCGTATGTACATATATGTTTAGTTCTACAAAAGCAAGGCAAGGTAAAATGAAGAAACAGAATTTAGTAGTTCAGAAACAAACGCCATTTTCAATTTTCCTAATTATTTTATTACGATTGTTTTAGTATTATGAAGAGAGTTCAAGCATTGTTAAGAAGCGTTATTATTTATTAGACATACTGTAAAAAATATTTCACTTAAATTCACTCAATTTTACTCAATAATGTGTCAGTTTCAGTCCGTACACGATTGAGTGAAATTTTCACTCTATTAGTATGAGTGAAACTATTGCAACAGAAGTGAGTGAATTTTACTCTAATCCGAGTTTCCGCTAATTATCAAGTGATTTTTTACTCTATTCGGAGTATGTAAAACCAATTACGAATTGCCTTTTTCTCTTTAATTATTATCGAGTAATTTTTCAAGGGGGCGGCGCCCAGAGTCCCCCCCCCTCTGCTTCCATTTCATTAATATTTGTAATGGCTTTGCACCACTTTATATTTTCTATAAATTTTATTTTAAATATCATTGTATTAAAGTTCTACTAAGCTGCCACACTGGTTTCTACACAGATCTGTTTTAGAGACAATATTTTAGGTCTAGGTTAGAGGAATTGGTTAACTGATTGTATATTGTACGTTAAAGGTACGTAAGTAGGTATAGATAACAATTTAACTATCCTTTTAAATATAATTTTCATCAGAATAACCGGATTAACGGACATTTGTTCAACACTACACGCCAACATCACGTCACGAGATGGCCTAACGGGGACGATGGGAACAGGCAAAGACAACGCACGACAACCATAGAATGGAGTGAACTCACTCACTAATGAGTACATTTACTCCGATTTAGGTGCAAGTGTACCAAATACGAGTTTATCTACAGAATTTATTTAACCGGTACCTATATTTCAGTGAAAGTACTCAGTTTTAGTTCAAATATCATCACAAATTAGCAAAATTATCAAAATGCTCAATATTGAGTGAAAATTTACTCAGTAATTTCACTCAATGAATTCACTCCGCACCTTTATTGCTTTCACTCACCATTTTTTTTACAGTGTAGTAAAGTATCATGATATTGAACTTTCTTCAGGATGTTCTGATAAGGTGTGGCAAACTAAACTTATATGTTTTTCTGAAACCCATTAATATTTTTGGTATTCTCAAATCTACGTTTCCAAATCAAATTAAATCAAATCAAATCAATGTTGAATATTTGGCCTAACTCTTTTCAAATGTTATTTAACAACTCAGCCATATTTTTGCTTGGTTTTCAACATGAAAAAGAATATAGGTATTCTTTTTGTAAACGGAACTTGGGATATTTTATTAATATTTAGAGTAAATGTTCAAAATGGCATTCAGTTTATTATTATTTACGTTCATTAAATGTTTTGTTATTTGTGGTTCAATTTTATTGATTCTATTTCACAAGTTATTTTACGACAAATATTGTCTGAGTGGAACCACTACACTTCATAAAAGGTAATCCCACTAAAGTATATCCGGAGGACTTAAATCAGGGTTATTTGCGGGCCCCTGAATATAACTAAATATATTTAACCGAAAACTAAAAGTAGTATTCAATATAGTACTTTAAGAGAATTATATTGAGGTGCCTCATTCTGTTTGTGTTAACTAGGCTTTTTGAAAAAAAAAAAAAACAAAGTTCAATATCCGTATGCAAAAAATTTCGAATTGAAAAAAGTTAAAGGGTTAAAGGTTAAGTGGTGCTAAAATTAGTTTCTATATTGAAATAAATAAAGAATAGTTTCGTTTCGTTGAACCGGCTTCTTTCTTCTACTTTGTAATAAATTATATGGGGAATAAAAAAATTGCAAATTTTATAAATCATAACAAAAGTAGTGAGAGAAATTATAGGTGACTACCTACACGCGGAATTTTTAAGATGACAGTAAGAAAGCAATGGGGTACCGGGCTGTTACTATTTTAGATCTTGGATCGCGTTTCAGGCGTCCATTTTAGGAGCAACTATTTTTACTCCACCAATCAGATTTCCACTTTACTGCAGAGTGCTACGCCAGTTATGTAAAAAATATTAACAAACTCTTATTTTTCGGAATAAGTTCATACGCTTTATAACTCTAAACATGCGGATGCACAAATTAATGTTGTTTGTGTACGTAGGTATAATGTTCGAGTTGGTAATGGCGTAGAAAGTAAACAAATGAAGTAACACAAGTTCTAGTAAATATTATCATTAGAATTCATAGTACGAGGGTAGATGGTAATGTACTTTTCCGGTTCTGTTTACGAACCTTCAAGGTACTGATAACCGTATTAAAAAATATATATTTCAATGCATTTTCAAGTCCTTGTTTACCGCAGTATATTTGTATATAGTTATATTAAATGTAGTAGATATTTCAAATGGTTTGTAACATATTTTAATATTTTAGGGAACTAGGGAAATTTTCTTATTCGTTTATAAATTAGGCCTATTTCGTTTGCACATATATTAGAGAATTATATTAAAAGACAATGTTTTGTTATTCTAAGGTACTTTAGTCAAATTTTAATACAATTTTAACTATTAACTACCTTATTTATATCTATTAACACTTTAATTGCCACATGTGCTGCAACTAACATGGACTATAAAAGTTCAAATATAAATTTTAGCAGGTAATATCACTGTCAGCCACACTTTAATGACAAACATATTTATAGTTTTTAACAACATTTTCTTGGCTGTTTGCTTATTATTATTTATAATTATTTACTCTTTTCAACATGTGGTGTGGTATTCGTCGTTTTTAATTTTTTTTTAAGTAGCATAACAAAAAATTTTTAATTAGAATTTTATATATTTTTAAAATTATTGAACTATGTAGTTTTTAAGAAATTCGGAAAATATTATTTTAACGCTAATATTCTGCTTTTAAAAACTCAAAAAATATTTGAAAATTCAGTAATTTATTCCAGTTCCTAGTTTATTCATTTTTCGCCTTATAAATACATTTTTCAAGTGAACTAACTGACATTGAAACAGTTAAATACTTCAAATGTGTAGTACCTAGTTCTTTTTCTGAAAATTAACAGTTTTACTTGTTTGTACGTATATAAACAGGATTTTTATTTATTAACTGTAACATCAGAATAAATAATATTATGTGCAGCGTATGTAGTAATCTTCTTAGTATAAAAGAATTATTACTTGTGTATAGGCTGACTTTCTCAAGTTGGTTTTTTAAAACTTACCAAATCTAATTCAGTTGCGCTATGGCCTTAGATTTTATTTAAATAATTTCTTACTATTTTCGATCACTGAATTTTCCTTCTGTAGAATGTACTTTTCTGCAATATCTAAAACTAATGCTCTATTTAAATCTTTATTCGTAGAATATATTTAATTCATAAAATATACTCGTACTTATTTTGGATGCGCTCAAATAAAAGGTAGAATGATATGTAGAAAAATCTAGAATACAAATAAATACTTAAGCTCCATGTTTCATAAACGTGCTAAAATAATAAATCCCTAAGAAGACTAAGAATTGACGAAGAAAGATTGATTGAAGAAGTGTTGAAGTATTGACAAAGAACACTAGAAGGAAGATATAAAAAATCTGGGAATTATCAAGAAGCAACAAAACACAATTGGAACATATCTTATTGGTTTAAAAATTGTTTTTTACATATTCGAAACACAAAATTGGAATTTTCTGTTAAAAACCTGATGTGTATTTTTTAACAACGCGGAATACAAGTGAATACTTCTGCTTCTAAAATACGGATCCAAACTAAAACAGCAGATACAAAAGACCTTTAAAATGTAAAAAATTTCACATGAACCTGATTCCAAAAAAAGTTACGGGTCATAAGGGTGCATTGCCAAAAAGAAACCTTTTTTACATAACAAAATGGCTAATTAGATAGACATGAAACTTCGCATAGGTCTAAATTGTTGATTGCAATCACTGGCGGAGGTGTGGGGGTAATTTGGGTTCCTTTGCTGGCAATAAACCTTTGTATGCACTTCGATATATAAAATTTATTATGGAACTGGTTTTCTTCTTTTAACTATTATTAAAGTAAAATCATAGATAAATAAATTTATTGCAATTTTTTTCGAAAACAGTACAAATTATTGGTACTCAAAAAGGGTACCTTTTTGTGTTTCTGTGTTCTGTCAGATCAATATTATACTATTTACCCAACATATCAATGATAATTTTGTTAGATGAAAAAGCACCCCTGAATACCAACTGTATGTCCGCCACTGGGAATGAAAAAATAACGTTCCTCTGTGAGGCAATCCCTTATTGCAACCGAAAATCGTTTGGAATCTCTTTAGCCATTTTGTAATTATTTATAAAAATGTGTTTTTCACAATGCACATCAAATTGTAAGATTTTCTAAGCATTTTTGAAACTAACTTCTTACGAAACTGTTTCCTTAAAATCATATTTTCTATCTTCCGATTCGTTTTAGCATTGTATTTTGGAAATGTTCCCTAAGATAAGGTTAACCGCGTTGTTTTCCATTCTGATCCATTTTGCATTGATTATTTAGTAAAATTTTTGAAATGTTAATATTGAATATTTTAAAATTTGTGATCAAAAGGTTATATGTAAAATAATAGTTTTTTATGTTTTTCATTTTAAAACATTTTTTTTTTGCAAAATCAACAATATCAGGATATTCATATATTTATTATTTAGATTTATGTACATTTGGCAAATTACAAACCATGTACTTAAAGTTAGAGAAAAATAATTGTTTATTTTTGCGATTTTATAAAGAATGGGGTCATTAGTTTCTATATTCAATCATTAAATTCTTGCTGTATGAAATATATCGGCATCAACTTTGTTTTCTCGAACTAAATGACACTGAAAACCTCATAATTAAAATAAGTTCAGTTTTTCTCAAACAATTAATGAGGTAACGCTTAAAATTTATCGCAGGTGGCAAAATATCCAAGATAAACAGAAAGAACCAACAAATAATTTAATATTTGAATTATTTAAAAAAAAGAGGGAATATTGGAGCAATGGGATTATTCCAAAATAGTAATCTGACAGTTGTCACGATCACTCAAACTGTTTTATGCCAATTTTTCCCGCGCCGTCCCCCCCCAGCTTTCCTCCTCTATCTTCATTTAATTTAGAAATACGCGCATACTGGTGGTAGGGGAAGATGCGCAAAATGGGATTTATGCAGTTAGAATGGTCAAGTGTCATTAAGAACATATGAACATTCTTTTCAACAGCCTCCTCTTGAGGGTATACAGTACTTCTGCAGGAAACTGCTCAGTGTTAAATGTATTAAAAAAATTAGTAGAAATCAGAAAACGGTATTAAATGATTCAGATTATACGGAACTAAATCTTTTTTAAACAAAGTAGTAACTTGCCATTTTTTTTCTATTTTTACCATACATACTTAGGACATTTTTTATTCTTCTCGAAATATTCTTAGCACTGACAGCAACATTGAAGCAATTTTTGGCATAATAATTTGTATTTATACATTTTTATATAAAATTAGAAATGTTACAAACGAGTTAATTTTTGTCAATGTGAAAAAGATAATTTGGCACGCCTTTTAAGGATTGGTACTTATATATGTAATGGTTCTTTTGTGTATGGATTGTTATTTCAAATCATAGTTACAGAGATTTCTTTGGGACTGTCGATTCAGTTACCAACGAACGCTAGTGACTTTGGAAAGATCCGCCTTTTTATTTTTGAAAATTAAGCCTTTGTATCCAGATTTCATTTAATTTTTATGCTAAAGATCAGTAGTGACGTCTTCAGTAATTATGAAATTAGAAAGGAAGCAACTAGGCAATAAATTTGGACCATTTCGGATTGATTTTAATGTGTTGTGTCGCAAAGTTCTAGATTTTGAATTGCTGCCAACCAGGTTTATTTTTGCTACAGCTCCAGCGCCACACTAAATAGGTATTTTGGCACTATGCAGGAATAGAGGAATTGGAGGACTCATTTCCACATAAAAAATGGAATGATTTTTGTTTGGCGACCCGAGAAAAGAAGAAAATTTAGTCCTTGCAAGCAATTAATTATGGAATATATGGCCATGAAGACATGCACTCTACCAAACAATGATTTATGTTGGAATGGAAAGCATTATGGGCTTCTCGGAAGCTAACTGAGAAGGTTACAAAGCTCGCAGGTGATTTGGAATCAAGACTGCAGCAAAAAAAGCTTGAACTAGATAATAAAAAGTCTCCTAACCTGTCACGTGACCGGTGACTTGTCGAGTAACGTGCTGTTGAGTCCGGGTTACCCTCTGTGTTGTCTGTTGACTTTGCTGAAATTGACTCTGTTGGGTCTGGCTCTGGCTCTGCTGAGCCTGAGACGTCTGTTGCTGGTGCTGTTTCATCTTGTCACCACAAAAATCTCACAGATCGAAAAAATCGAAAAATACACAAAACACAAAATCACAACACGGTAAATAATAAAATGTTTATATGAGAAAAAAATATAACTAGTCTCTTATAGTACGTTTCGTTGCCTTCCACGGCTTCAGTTAGCAGAAGTTCAAGTCATCATCCCCGATATCTCTACCAAGACGTCGGTCGTTTGCGAATTGCGAGCGAAGAATGCGCGGTCCGGCGTCTCCCACTGCGGACGCCCCTGAAAGAAATTGGTGGGGGGGCCTGAAAATCCGACCGTAGACGATGATTTTGGGGCTATTTTAAGACGCGCTGTAGATGATACACGATACGCGTCGTATTCTGTAACTCAGACAATCTGTGCCCGTATGCCTGCCGTGAGTCATTTCTAATAAACTTATTCATACATTAAAATCAGAGTCGGTGGTAACTACTTGGCGATTTTCCCTCGGAAGGGAAAACCAAAATAAGTCAAGATTATTTGCCCCCAGTGCAAATTTTCGGTATACCTATGTTTATTATCTATTTACCTTAATGTGCATGGTCTGATGGAAACATCATTTTAAGAAAAGGGAAATGTCTATTCGGAAATAAAATGAAAGGCACTGGGTTTAAGTATAGGGAAACTTTAACAATGTTACACTTAATTTTAGTACAGAATGCGAATACGTTAAAAAAATTAGGGGTTTCCATTTGAAAATTTCGAGTTTTCCACATTTTCTGAACTTCATATTCGATCATTTTTTTGACCACCCTGTATAACAACTGGAAAATTTTCATGTCATGTCCGATAAATTGGGTCTTCTTCTACAAAATGTCCAATTTGCACAAAAAATAAACATATGTTTCCAGGAAAACAAAATTTTGCTGACAGTCTACATCTGTCAGTTTTTGCTTAAAAATCTAAATTTCCCAGAAACGGTCAATCCTAATTATGGAGTGTGCTATATGTTTTCAACTTAAAAAATGGATGCTCTTTCCAAAAATGCAATAATATACAAGGGGTTCCATTTAAAATAAGGAAGTTAGTATCTACTTCCGGTATAACTGGAAGTACGATGACGTTGAAAATATTTTAGCTTGGTAGGCCCCACGGTCCGTATCACATCGTCACAATTTCAAAAAAATGCTTAGGGCGGTTTCCCAGATATTCATCGACGGAGTTCGTGGTGGGACACCCTGTATTGAGGAGCGTGGTAATTAGTTTTTGGAAAACCCAAATGTTCAAATACTTTAAAAGAAGATTGGATTAGAGGACGTCAAAGTAATTTTTTTAATGTCAAATTTTGAAGCCATCCTTGAAATATGGCAGTTGTGTTTTTTCCAAAAAAGAGTGAGAAACACTTTTTTGTAATATTTTATATTATAATATATGCCAAAAAATTATTACTAGATGAAATATTAGCTAGCGACATTTAGCAGATTTCTTTGCAATAAATGTATTTTATTTAAAGATACAAAATTCGATATTAAAATACGACGACTTTCGACGAAATCGTTTCACTTTGTGATATTTTGTCACCCCTCTAATTTTTTGCGATCATTTCCGTAACATTCTGTATAACTTTAGGCACATTTTCTTTATAATCTCAAATAATATGCAGGGTATATGAATTTTTTATTACCTCTGAATAAATGAGATGAGATCCATATGTTTTTCAGTTTTTTCTTCATATAAAAATTAGATTATTTATTTACATAAATTGAAGTACCTAGAAATTTTGCTTAACTCGTATGAGCACATAGATTTCTCATTTTGTATTATATTTTGAATTAGAACACCTAACTTTATTAGAATTTTTATAGTTAATTGTGTACATTTCCAAAAATATTTTTTTGTTCATTTTCGTCACATGACATTTTATTTAAAGAAGTGTTTGAGTGGTTCAGTTTTATTTTGATGTTTAATGTTGTTTTTTATATTCTTCTTAATTTGGATCGTAATTGCAGATTGCAGACATCAGAAGAATTAGATTTGAAATTTATTTAATAATTTTCACGCCTTCAGCGAAAATCGGTATCAACAATCCGCTGTTCCAAGTTTCTACTCCATTTTCACTAAAGCTGTCTAAATTATGGAATAATTTTTAAATAAATCAAACTTTAACGCCCTGTATATGGTAGATCAACAACATTTTATTAAGCCATCTTTGGCTAAATCCTATTATTTTGATATCTACAATCTGCAATAACTCTGTGACCTATTCAGTACGGACCACTCTGTATAATTAATTTTTAAATATCACACAATGATTTCTAAGGGCCACTCAGTCTTTTATTTTAATAAAACGTATGAATTAACAAATTTTGATGAAATTATTTTTTTTTGGCTTTTAAGAAACTAATTGTTTTACATTTTTTTACGTAGGAAGTATGTAAATAGATATGTAAATACTTATGATTAAACTTAGTTTTTTATATCTCAACAAATAATATTAGCAATACAAATTGGAATATTACTACTATTTCTTTACTGTGCGGTTACCGTTCAATGGAATCGTATATGGCTTTTATTTCATCTTGTGAACACGTATCATAATAGTAACAGAATATCATGTAAACTATCTAATTTCAGAATTCTGATGAAGGCCACTAGGCGTGGGTAAACTCTATTGGTATGTAAAAGAACAATTTTTACGTGTGTATTTCATTTTTAAGTGAAATTAAAAATTCCTTCCATGTTATAATTATTTAACCGATATTTGCATAATAATGGAAGTAACTCATAAAAATACAGTGGTATGAAAGCTTTTGAACATTCTCAGTGTGACTTTATGACAGTGACCTTTATCCAGTGACCAGTGACTTTATTTTGTTTTTAATTGTTACGATGTATTTAAATATAATTGCTTCACGAAAATATATCTTTATTTAATTTAACCAGTTTGTATCTTAAAAAATATATTTCCAATAGCCCATCTAAAATGAAATTTATATATTTTAACAAAATACTTGGAAGAGAGAGTTATATATATTTACTCCGTAAGTATGTTAGAATCAGTAGTGTGCAGAAAAAATAACAGATTCTAATAAATTAAAAGATTGAAAAGGTTATGTTTTAAATAGTTGCAAATATTGCTGATGGTACCAATTATATTTCCAATTTAGTGTTAGCCTATTATTGACCAGTATATAGCACAAATTGTTGCATAGGAAAGAATTGTTTTCCTGCCTCTCGGAACACTGTCATTTGGAAACAATTGATAAAAACAAACTGAGGCAAATAAGGCTCAATAGGTAATAAGGCCCAAATTTAAAAATTGCGATCACTCTTCACGACACACACATGCGATTAGTTTACATAGTTAAGAGAAGTCTCATTTAGTTTTACTCGTAGATAGGGAATTTTCATTTACTGTACAACGAATTAGGCATTATTTCTTTGAATCAAAGAAAAAGTAGTCCCATTTATTTATTTTTTGTTATCGATAGAGAAGTTTTCATTTCTTTAAGAAAAGTTTGGTTTACCTAGTTTACTTCAGAGAGTACTTAACTAAACTTTTTGAGTAGCCTTTTTCTAATTTAAGCAGCCATTGTGAAGATGTTGCGAAAAACTGCAAGTTCACAAGAGGGCCTTATTATACCACTTTCGTTGGTTTAATAAGGCCCAGAGAACGAGATTTTTAAAAGTCAGATGTTTTTAAAAGGATTCTCTCTTGTACTGTTCGTTTAACTTTTGTGATAACTCAAATTAATAAAGGTTCAGTATATATGTGGCATTGGACAAAGTTACTGATAACATTATTGAAGTAACAACTATACTCTTGTATTGTTAGACTTTGTAACATTTTTAACAACTTTTCTAGCAATATTGAGACTACCTCAGGCGTGCTGCAGGGCTTAGTGAGACCTCTGTTAGTTTAATATATACTGGCGTTATTTTTAGGTCGTCATCATCATACTAATAATCTGCAAGCAGCAGAACTTATTAATGAAGATTTACAGCTGTTGTAACAAAAAACGTATAATATTTTTAAAAGAGAACTGTTTGGACACATGTTCTGTTCGTTCTACTAAAAATTTGGGAATTACTTTAGATTCGGATTTTCGTTATAGAAAAGAAATTGCTTAAAAAAATCTTTTACTGCATTAAAGCTTGTGTTTTCTTATGAACACATATAAAATGTCTCTTAAGAAACACCACTTTGTGGGTCACTATAGTTTTATCTATCCAGTTTCGGTGACTGGATTTATTTACGGTTATTGTTTAGATTCGAAAGAATATCTTTATATTTTGAAAACATTTGATCACATATCCCATTCGTTTAAACAGCTTCGACTAGTTAAAAATGGATAATTGAACAACACCTCAAAATTTTTGTTTCATCTTAGAAATAAATCATAGATCATGAATAATTAACTATGCCTCATGCTGTAGTTTTATTAAAAAAAAAGTACATACTTTATGTTTGCTATTGTCTGTGTTAATTAATCTTATTAAAAGTATTGTTATAAAACTACCTTTTTACGTGAACAGCTTTTATTAGTTTTATTGATTTACATTCAAAGGCAATATTATATGTAGCAGTTTGTTACTGTCTCTCTACAATATAAAACTATGTATTAATATGTATAGGTTAGTAAACGTATGTATAATATAAAAGATTTATAAGTCCTTTCTTTTTCAGTTTTCGCAGTTTTCTAGTCAGTATGGAAGACCATTTGACTTACCGACTACTTGAGGAGGCGTCTCGGGGGATTCAGGACGTCTATAGAGTAAAACTTCCGGAGAGACACTTCTTCTTCCTGTGTTCATCTGACGGTAAGTACCGTACATATGGGACGGAACTCCTGCAATTAAAGTTTCTCGAGTCATTATAATGTCTTTTTTCTAACAGATGCACAAACATGAAACATGTTTGTGTGAAAAAAATTAAGTAAATCTTCGGGACATAACAAAGAGAAGAGCATTTGTATTCCAATGTTAAAATAATAATTTATTATTATTTATATTAAATTTATCATAGTTTGAAAATACTTTTTGATTTTCTCTCAACGCTGTCAACCATTATTTTTTCTTTTTTCTTAATATATGGTTTTAGTCAGAGAGTTTTTACTGTAAACATTGTACCTGTATAATGTTTTTTATAAATATTGATAATAACAGAGCTACATTTTTTTAGCTTTAACCTTTTTAACAATGAAACTGTTTCTTTCAAAATAGACACACTAATTACCTATAAAATGAGAATCATCGAACTGAACA